ATAGGGAGAGGGTAAATCTGAGAAGTGAGATTAGGTAAGCTACAGAGGACATTAAAGTTTGAATACATCTGCGTCATCTTGACCGATTTCCAGCCATATCACTAACAGTCCACAACCACTGACTCCTATCATCTCACTGACTCCAATCAGGTACAGTACATTTAACCACATGACTCAAACTACCAGGGACTTCAACCATTGTTGTCACGTCTCGGTCCGGCCACTCTGAACCCTCTTCAAACGTAATCCAACTTCCCCTAGCACTGGACGCTGAGGTAGATGGTGGCTCGGCAAGCACACTACATGCCTAGGTCACCTCAGTCGCTGTAGTTTTAACATCTCATTGACCAACTTACCTAGTACCCTTCTCCTGACCTCAACATTGATCACACAGTGATTCCATTATACAACGCATGCAATGCGGAGTAGATAGTTGTGATCAAGTCTCCGTAATCGCTTCATGTCTTCTACTTTCAGCGGCCGTGTCACAGCCGTACGGCAGTGGCTCCAGAGCAGTATATTCGTCCTTTGATAGATAGTCGCATATCGCGCCAGTTGGCGCCATAGATGACGGAAGATGGAAATAGGCTTTCTGTATTCGAGCTGAGAGTTCGTCACTGACTAACCTGCTTGCACTGATACAACTTCCAAAGTGAGTGAAGTGGTCAACATATATCACCATTAAAAGTAGTTCCAAACCAGTCCTTGAGCATGGTCTTAGATTTCACGACATGTGAGACACGCATGCCAAACACATTCAGAATCCTGTTCACTGCTTTCAGATGACCCTGCTTTTTGTCAGTGTTTTATCCTAGAAAGACAATGCTGTCAACATACTCCAAGCCAACTAGATGTCCTCCAGGAAGTAGATCAATTCCTTTGAATTCAGATGTACCTAAGGATATGTCCATTGGTATATCTGTAATGAGGTTGAACAACAACGGTGACAGAAAGCATCACTGATCAACACCATTAAACGTCAACATTTCAGCTGACAATTCTTTACAAACTCGAACATGCCCACACGAGTCTGAATACACAGCCATGATAAGTGGTACATATCTGCTTGGTAATTCTCCCACAGTGAGGCACTTCCACAACAACTCACGGTCAAAAATGTCAAATGCCACCTTCAGGTTGAGAAATATGGCAAGTGTTAGCCACTGGCCGGTAAGTGTGTCTGTGTTCCAGGACCTGTCACGGAGTGAATATTTGATCAATACAGTCTCATTTAGGTCTGAGACCTGTCTGATTCTCTCGAATTTAGTTATCAGATAACCATGGATGCCAGGATCTTTGACACGATATAAGTCATACGGATTCTCCTATGCTTGTCACAGGGAGACGTTTCTCCTTTCTTAAACACTTGAACGATCGGTGAAGTAGGCCAGTCTGAGAGCACTACCTGTGATTCACATACAATACCTCCATCACTTTAGTCAGCAATTTCTTACCTCTACCTTTAAAAACTTTGGGTGACGAACTATCAGATCCTGCTGCTTTGTAAATTTTTACGTCCAAATTAACGATTGTCAGCTTCGGGCAAAGTTGGAGAACTGACACCTAGATTCCATCCAGGTTCAAGTTGGTTGCCGAGCGACTGAAGCGTTGCCGTCGGCCAGTTGCACTGTGCTCTAATATGTCCCACCCACTGTTCTATCCGCCTACCCTAGGAAATTAGAAGGGTCACATAATTTTCGGCAACGATCTTCCTAACTGTTGTCTGATTCTTGCCTGTATCCTGAATAAACCCAACCAGTTGCAGCGTATTTCCTAACACTAATATCTTCTCCAAGTTCCTCGCTTTCGTCACCCACGACTACTTGCGATCATTGCGAAGACTCTTGATAAGTTGACATTTCAGTTTCCTACGCTCTTCATTGTGGTCATAGCCAGCTGGAATCAGTCTTCCAACATCCATTAGTTTAGATGATATTTCAGAAATCCATTGAAGTTAACTAACCTTTGGGTGTAAGACATCGACTATCTTTACCGCAATTTCTACAGAAGACTTGTTATCGCGCCAGGCTTCTTCAGGATAAACATTACTGTCATGTTTAGACAAATGATTACCTGTGTCCTCCCTGAACATGTATATGTGGTCATCGTATTCCAATCGAGCATATACATGCTTTATCGTTGCCTGTTTCCTGCGACCAGTATGATGCAGACATATACAAGCGCACACTAGTGCGTGATCAGAGTCTATACAAGTACTTCACAAGGAGTGGTAATCCTCCACCGATCTTTTCAAACAATGGCTTACAGCAGTGTGATCTGTCTGTGTCCATCTTCGGTTTGAAGTCGGCGGACGCCCAATGAGACAGTGTCCCTTCTTATGCCTAAAGTTAGTACTGTCCAGAAACAAGTGATTACTTCGACAAAATTGCAATAGACGGTCACTGTTGTTGGTTTGTTGGCATGGGATTCCATAAATACCCCCGAGATGCCCTTCCGATTAGATCAGCTTCACTACTTCGACACTAAAGTCATCTACCATTATGACTACATCTAAACGTTTTGCTTCCGGTAGTAAAACTAACAGCTTCTCACTGAATTCATCCTTTACATCTTCCGAACCACAGTCGGCGGCTGCATAGGCAGAGATTACGAATAAGCATCACCTAACTTTACGATCCTTCCGAGATCCTACTGACCAATTTCAAGCAGTAAACAGACGGATGTTGACTAGCATCCACTTAAGAAGCACGCTTGCTGCTCTACAATGCAATGCTATGTCTACATCAACAAGGAAACGAGAGCCAACCATCGAGACTCCGGATACTTCTAAGGTTAGTTCCGAAGGTTCGCGACAATGACCAAGAGAGGTCAAGTGAATAACCACGCTGACGTCCTGTAAACATGTTTTAGAAACACAGCACATAAACATGGCCTTAAATTCTGGCGAACGATTCCTGTTGTCGGATTTGGCATAGAATTTGGACGTTGAAAGCTCCAGCATGAAACCGACAGCAGGTTATTAGGAGACTAGGAATGGTGTTTCGATGACTGACCGTTGGCAGTGGTTACAGAATGAGAGGTTAGGCAAGGCGTAAGAGACCTACCATTGGTATCAAAACGTGAAGGCAAAGAAGGATACAAAGGGAAGAAGGGTATGTTATTTTTATAATAATAATAATTATACTACCGAAAATGTGCAGATGGTTGACACTTCCCAGCTGCCCACACCATGAAAATTGTTTATACACGATACTTGAAAGAGAACATTTATGTGACCTCGGAGACTATGCGATATCTGCTTGGGGCCAGTTGAAAATCCGGATCTTGTTCACGCTTTATGCTAAGTACAGTAGATCTCCACACTGATTTCAGGTTAATGAAGGCCTGTGTTTCTGTTTTCCCGGTCCTGGCTTTGACATCCTCATCTGTGCCGCCCCCACCGCCTGTAGTTGGAACGATGCTGTCTAGATGGTAGGTGGAAGAGACAACTTCCTTTAGATTTCTTTCGCTGATGGTGATTGGTGCTTGTTGTTGTTGTCGGAAGTGGTGGTTGGGTATCTTCATCACCTCTGTCTTCTGTACGTTCACCTCTGCCTCTTCTGCCAACTTGTTAGTTCTCGCCTGTAGTTATTCATGTTTGTGCGACATGACATTAGACATAAACCATCATCGGCGAAATCCAAATGTTCTAGGGTCTTTTCATCTGTCCAGCTAGCGTATGCCCATCTTCTCGCTCCTTGCGGTTTCTTGCATGATACAGTCCAGTCATAATCAGGAAGATCATCGGTGACAGTAGGTGGCAGCCCTGTTTTCACTTCAAAGACATCACTGAGCTTTCAATTGTCAATCACTTGGCATACAGCATCATATAGCATGGGGTTGAGAAAGGTTTGTGACAATGAGACCGTAGCGTTGAAGCAGCAGCTGCCAAATTACTTCTTGGTCGACACTACCGGAGGCTTTTTCAAAATCGATGAAGTTGAGTTGACTGGCATTCTATGCTGTGTTCTATGATGATGCGCAGCGTAGCGTTGCAATTCGGTCTGCACATGATTTGTTCTTCCTGAATCCAGCCTGTTCTGGTCGTAATTTTGAATCCAGATCGTTTTTCAGCTTAGCTTACTACAATAACTCTATTCACAGTTTCAATAAACTAAGGTCTTTGTAGCAAGCCTAACAGTAGCAGGTGAACAGAGTAACTTGCATAACCCAATACAGTTAAGTTAAACTTATTTCGTAAAAAACTAATGTGGTCTACAAGATGATATATACTCTGTTCCATTACGGTATGAATTTTTAAATAACAATAAGAAGAGTTTTCGCATATACACTATCCATCTGTCAATCTCTCAGTAAAAACGGAGATACGTAAGTATAAATTTCGCCGATAGTCGCCAAAATAAAACATTCAAGGCATTTCGAGTATAAAAAGCAGAAGATCTGAGCTAACTGTAAGAAAACGATGAAAATATATAGAAATAATGCACTAGAATCCCAGAGAGCGTTATCAAGTAAATGTTTCTAGAATAATGATATTAGGCAGTTCTTCAGCTATCTATGAACATAATGCACTCAGGAAGTTAGTTGTGATATTTACAATCTCTAAACTCGCACAGACCGACTGATATTACATTTTGTGAATTCATGCCATGTATTGATTTGAATAAACTGAGCCAATTTACATTGTGACGTTACGTCATATACATTACAGATTTTTCTAATGTTAACTAAGCATTGTGTATCTGCAATGCTGTCTCGTAGGTCTGTAAGATTTGTGAAATTTCTGCAAGCACTCAATTAGATAATACACATTACCATTTTATCACTTTCAATTGGACTAAGAGCATATGATGACCAGTTTTAAAGTATACTCCAATCACGGACAGCACAATACTTTTAGGCAATGGAATCTCAGAGTGTCTACCAGAACCCTGTGAAGCTGAATACGAGAAAAAGATATCTCCACTAGTAAGTTGATGACCAACAGCATCCTGCTCATTCTAGACAGTTAAGAACACATATGAGTATACATTATAGGTGTGCTTGTTATTCTGAAAGGATTGAGTCATGAAACACACACATGACATACATTTTAAACATCTGTCTAGTAGATTAAACAACAAAGTTAGAAAATATCAAATGAGAACCATTCACAGTTAGAACTTCCTACCACCTTGTAATCTATGAAACATTGAACTTTGCGCCATAATGACATAAATAGCATCTGATTATTTATAATAAAGTTTTCATATACACATTTATTACTTCATTCTTTATATTAATTAAATGCCATAAGCCAACTTAAAACCATTCAAAAGAAAATATAAGAGAAAATTCGTTGATAAATTGAAGTAAAATGAATGACTAATAAAATCATATTTCTATGATCAATGTCCAATGGACTGAATTACTTCTAATTGCATTAAAACAAGAAAGCAAAACTATGAAAACTTCAAATACATATTATGTTATCAATGAATAAATAAACATTTCACCAACTTGTCAATGAATTTATGTACAAAAGAAAAAAAAAATTGAAAAATATAGAATAAACTTATTCACTAAAAACTATAATTTTAAACAAACAAAAAAAAAAAGCGGTACACATTTTGAAAATAAGTTTATAGCATAAAATCATACTTCCTATTTAATTAATGAAATAAAAATCAGTAATAAAACTCCAATTAAACATATTTCATTATTATGGAAGAGAATTACAAATACAACACATAATAAAAGATGAATTTCAACTAAAAAAGTAGGCATACACACAATGACAACACTAAAGAATATAAAGTATTATAGTAGACCTGAATATATAATATGAAAGACATTTACTAAGAATAAAACATATTTCAAAGAAAGAGATCATGACTATAAACAATGTTTATTTATACTAGGTGAGATGAAAATCTGAACTGTGACCGGATTCGAACCAGTAACCATTAAATTTTTATTTCATCTTCAATTATCACTCAGAATATAAATATTATTCTGATAAACTATATCTATCTTTAAATAGTTATAAATGATAATATTTATTTATACTCAAATTTTTAATTATTATCAATAAGTATACAATAAATAATATCATGATAATTATGGATAATTTTAATGATATTAATAAACCCATGTAACTGGTATCCATTGTGGATTAGTTTGAAATTCATCTATTGCACGTTTCAATTGAATAACTGTTTCTTCAATATCATTGTTAACAATTTTTAAATCAAAAAAATGACTATAATGTTGTTCTAAGAGTGCACTTTCTCGAACTAATCTCTCTAAACTACCATTCTATAAAAATGTGAATAGAATAAAAAAGAAAAAAGAAATCAATACATGCATAGTAGATGTAATGATAAATTTGATTAATTGATTAATTAACCTTTGAAAATATTTCTTATATAACCTTCGATGGTAACCAATTTTATGTTATCCAATCAAACTATCGAATCCAGTTCCACAGGAGGTCAATTGTGGCTTAAATAAACTGCATTGGGTGAAGCAAATTCCAATCTGAGTCGAAACATTACTTCCCTTCAGAATGAACATAAGCCTTAACGATGAGTACCAACGAGAACCACCAACCAATTAAAATCATTTCCTTATGTTATACTCTATTTGGTAGCTAACTGTAAAATCTAAGACGCACGTTTCATCTTATTTAAGACTATTCATCTAGATGTACTTGCACCCAGTGAGTGGTGTTGTTCCCGTTGATATTTGAACTCAGTAATCATCGCTTCAAACGCTAAAGCGTTATCCCTTTATCACACATGACTGAATTGCTCGAACTCTAATAGCAGATGGCTTCTTATGTGAATGCCTCGATACTGTCTAAATATTCATTATATTACAGTTGATTTGGTAGCTAACAGCTGAATCTTTATTTAGGACTTATCAGTTGGATGTATCTGTCCAAGAGTTTGAAGCGATGAGTACTGGGTTTCAGTCCTAGCAGGAACGATATCATTCAGTGGAGTATAGGTACATTCAGTTGATAAGTCATAAAGAGGGCGAAACGTTTTGACTTGGATTCCACTGTTAACCACTAAATAGACTACAATATAAGGAAATGTAATTGTCATCTAGCCATAGTCTAACTTCCGCATTGAGTAACGTAGGTCTGTAACACCAAACTGGATACCAGTTCCTTCCTTTCTAATAAGTAGCATGCTACTGTTTCACTGTGTGATATTTCTAATAAACATACTAAAATGGAATTACACTCGACCACAGTGCCCAAGTTTTACACTTATGTTAAGCACCAGAAAGCATGAAATCTAGGTTTGAAGATTGTTGCAAACTGACACACATCAAATACGTTCTGATTCACAACGTAACTAGATTACACTTATCATATAAGTTTGTTTGTAGAGAAAAACGATAAATAAGCTCTGATGTTAACTCAATCAATGTTTCTTCTACAAACCGTGAGTTATGAACTATCTATTGTTACAATCAGTGACGTTGTTGCTCATATCGTTTGTTTATTTCATTTTGAAACTTCGAAATAATTAAGCAATTTAATAAGCAGTTTGATTAACCACACCATAAAATCTAAATAAGTAACACAAACAAGTCACAGATACTACTACGCAATATCTACCCTCTGGAGTTTAGTAAAAAATTTATAAGTACTTGTTTGAGAAAAAGAAAAAAGCCTCTGAAGTGTTTTCACATAAAAGAAAAATCACGAGGAATTCTGTGTAGGAATCTTAGACAACGCAAAGATTAAGCTGATATTCAGGTTGACAAACTTAGAGAGAGAGAGAAAGACAGTGGAACTTTGCATGATAAAGGATTCTCTCAATCAAATGAAGTGCTTTATTTATTATTGATTCCTTGGGGTCCTAGTGGAATGTAGGGCTTCAGTAGCACGTCGCCATTTCACTCTCTTCTCTAAACTCTTCCAAACCTGCCTCCACGAATCCCCATAACCTCTCATTTCATCTTCTTCACAAAATCTCCTTCATGTCACCCTCACCTCTGACGCCCAACTCGTCGTTTCCCATTTGCATTCCACTCGACGGCCTGGCCTCACCCGCAGCGTGATGTCACCAAACGGTCTTCCTTCTCAGTGTGTGTCCAGTACAGTCCAATCCATCTCCACTTTCTTCTTCTGCATGTTTGTTAGACGATGGGTTCTTGGTTGGTTCGTTACCAGCCAGCCAGCCAGCCAGCCAGCCAGCCAGCCAGCCAGCCAGCCAGCCAGCCAGCCAGCCAGCCAGCCAGCCAGCCAGCCAGCCAGCCAGCCAGCCAGCCAGCCAGCCAGCCAGCCAGCCAGCCAGCCAGCCAGCCAGCCAGCCAGCCAAAGTTCCTTGTTGCTTATTCTCATTTTTCTGACCATCTACTCTGATCTGATCTCATCTTCAGTATCAGTATCGAGTGAGCGTGGGCTGTGGCTGTTGATGTGATGCATGTCTGCAGTTTGTTGGAAATGCTTTTCTTAACGCGTCAAGTCTCTCAACCATTACATGGAAGCACTGACTCACTTGACTGACGTTAGTGTTGAAAATCCTGATCTTGTTCAGACTTTATGCTGAGTGTAGTGCAGTAAATCTCCACACTGATCATTTCAGATTAATGAAGGAAGACGTCTTTTTGGTGTCTTTCCGATCGTGACTTTGACATCGTCATCTGTGCCGCCCCCACCGTCTGTAGTTAGAACGATGCTGCCTAGGTAGGTAGGTGGAAGAGACAACTTCCTTTAGATTTTTTCCGTTGATTGTGATTGGTGCTTGTTGTTGTTGGCTGGGTATCTTCATCAATTTAAGTAAAATGGTCTAAATCATCGAACATCATGCAATGAATGAATGTTGCGTCAAGTACAAGGGTAAGAGCAGTCAATTAAAATCAGTCGGAAAAACAGCGGAAAGATGTTTATCGGAATATCGAGTAGTAGATCTAACAAACTAAGATAATTAGCGTAGGAAAAAGCTCGGCTACCACTATGCATAGACTGTCATATAACCACACTAGAAGGTGGAAATCAATGAAGGTAACAAAATCCTCTGGGTTTTAAGCAGAAATTGTTTATTGAATCTTTTTAAAAAAACTAAATCAGTATGTAATAAATCCAGTTGAAAAAGTTCACCACATATTGGGGATATCTGGAAAATTCTGTCGTCACTTAAAATAATAGACAATTGGTAGTTGGACTATGAAGAAGTCTCGAAGTAGTGTGGATACCTTGATATGATTATGATGCAGAAATTAAGGTCAAAACGTAACGCAGTAAATAATATTGTACTAACCACAGCTGTAAGCGATTTCTGATTTACCTTTACTGATTTTATCTTTTTGATATTTCGAGCTGTGACAGTTCGAGAAGATGCATTTTTACATACAGTTCTATACTTAACCCTTTCTCCAACTTTAAGCTTACCATAATAAAAAGATATGGTGATACAAATGAAACGCGCTCAGTGTAACCAGGTGGACTTTAGTATAGTAAACAGGGAGTCAAACCTAATGTCTGAGGGGGTTGTAATGATATCATATGGTTGCCCGGACCATAGACCTCGATAGGTACAGCAGGACCCAAAGACGTGATTTTTAGTTTGAGACGAAACTTCACAACTCCACGGTGATAGCCAATAGGGGTTTCAAGAAGATCTTCAACTTATTTCACGTTCAAATGAATACAGTAAAGAGATATCATATATCTTAGTTTTTCCATTATACTCTGAACACTTCGTTTTCGTCCAAATCTTATGACTACTGACTATAGAACAGTATGATTACACCCATGTATATCATACATCAGATATGATAATCACTTTCCAAATTGATAGGATAGCATGTTATATATATATATATATATATATATATATATATATATATATCACACGTGAACTAAAATGAATTCTAAAAAACCCACCCCATCCATCTAAGTCAACATAGGACCAGGCATTACTGCATAACCGTCCGAGTTGCCACACCCCATATCAGTACATCAACGAAAAAGACAGTGAAAGGGAAGATGAAGATAAGAAATTCAGTCAAAGGAAATGTTAAGTACTAAAAGAGAGAAACGAAGAATGAGAAAATGGTGAGATTTAGTATAGCGTTAGGAAGAGGATAATGTATGTATACATCTGCGCCACTGACATCGGTTCTGAGCCATATCACCTAGAGTCTCCAACCACTGATTTCTATTGTCCTGCGGACCCCATTTTTTTCTGCCCTAGTGCTTAATGCTGCGTTTACACCTGCAAGACCATAAGAACTAGCTATCGAATCTCCAGAAACTTTAAGGGTGAATTTTGAAAATTCACCAGATTGGCTGGAAGAGGTCAGGTGAATAACCGCACTTGGGTCCTGTATACGTGTCTCACAAACACAGCACACATCCATGCCCGGAGTTGGTAGAGTCTTGGCCAACGAAGCCTGTTGACCAGTTTGACAGAGGATCCGGATATTGAAGGTCTCGATCTGTAATTTGGAACGTAATTTAAGGAGATCAGGGATGCTGTTCTGTGGATTCAGAGCGTTATCGAAGGTTGCAGAGCTAGGAGAGATTGAAGATGATGTAGCTTCGTTAATTGAGAGACATGAAGGAAGATTAGAAGATTATGATGAACGAAGGGGATAGCAGTCTGAGGAAACTTGAGTGCAGATCGTGTTGTGACATCGGTTCACACTTCCTGGCTACCCATACCGTGGAAGTCTATTTCTTCTTAAGGTACCTGAAAGAGATTTATGTGACCGCAGATCCCATCGGACATTTGCTTGAGGCCTGTCACACACAGCCTTTTGTCTATGGTTGTCTTGAACTTTTGTATTTTTGGGGCCAGATGGTCGAAAGGAAACGACAAATAAACCAACACCGCAGGCCCAGCAGACCGTGGGGCATGGTGGAGTGTGTTATTTTTGGGGTCGACCTTTTCTAACGTCCCCTTCCACTGAGAAGACAGCATCATCAAGGCACTGCTGGTTATCCAAGGGAAATACCTTACTGCTATCACAACCCATCCAGCTAGCAGCAGTACGACTTCGCCCTCAGACCCCCATCATAGTGTAGTAATTTACACTACAACGGTAACTGCTTTTCGTCTAACCACTATCCAACAGATTTTTCTGGTATGGTAAGACCTCGAGGGAACAAGCATTTCACCAGCATAGCCCGTTGGGTCATTGTGATATGCAAACCCGACCACCACATCAAAGACGCAGGTATCGGTCGGGAACAAAATTAGTTACATACTCTTTGGCATAATAAATGGTAATATCAGATACATTTAAGGCATGTCTGAACGAATAACTGCATTGAAACCTATTGAAAACTTTCATGTCCATATAATGAATCATCTGGAAGGTGACAAGAAGGCTAAAACGACGTGGTTCTGAACCTAACTATGTGTATTTAAACTTTAGTTTCAAAGAAAAGCAAACAGGTGTAGTTTAAATAAATAAAAAGGTTGAATTTATGATGTTGGTCTTCATCTCTGAGATATACCATTCAATTGTCAATGTTACAGTATCACCTTAAAATTGTTTATGTAGTAGAAGTGACATGATATTCACAAAGCATAATGATTACTTGATTAAAACTGTGTCAGAGGAGAAGAAAATCGCCTAAATAAAGAGTAAAAAAATCTCTTTCAAAAATCAACAACTTACATTACTACTACTATTATTATTATTAGTAGTATCGGCTGTATTGTTGTTATGCTGTCCATTTGTCATATCATTAAGAGTTGGTGCAGCAATAAACACAACACATGGAGCAAATTCAGCGCCACGTAATATTTTCAATGCTTGAGGTTCCACATCTAATATTGCAATTAAACTTGCTGCATGAATTTGTCTAATTGTATCCAATTTTGTTCCATACATTGCACCTTCATGTGCACCATACTCTAAATATTCATTACTTGCAATGTCTCGCATCATTTCATCGTGTGATATAAAATAATAATTTTTACCATTGACTTCATCTTTACGTGGTGTACGTGTTGTGTCTATAGAGGTAGAAAAAAAACGGATGGTCATTTTATAATATACAATTAAATAAAAATGCATACAATTTACCTTTGATTGGTTACTGGAAAGCAACTTATTTCATGTTATCTAGTCCTGACTGTTGATTGACTATTTTGCAGTGTAGCCATCAGGTTAGGAGGCTCACCATCGCGATGCATTTTAAAGCATGATAATTGGATGGAGGAAATCAATATGGAGCCGTGGACCTAGGTTTCTCGCTTATTGGCACTCGAAAATAAGGCATATTTGCAAATGAGGATTCGCATCTCAGAAAGGGCCATCAGTCCCCTTGAGGTTGAAGATACGTCTTGCTAACGCGTCCTAACAAGTACGAAACTTAAGTCCATGGCTTCCTGCTGATTATCGTTAACCAAGTAGCACATAATTTAATTTCAGGATAAGAAATATTTGATGTCTTTCTCACAACTTCTGTTACTCCAATTGTCTAAGTTTTAGCACAAAGCATGGTAGATAGCCTTCTCATCCTACTCATAGTATGCTGGTCCATCGACCAGTCAGGTCCACGTGATTTGAACGGTTCTGCTTTGTGAGTTGAATTCCTCCCAGTGCACCACTGATGAGATCTACTCCTAATGAATGGACCGGTTGACTGTGTTTAGATAACTATAACCCGGTAGTGTAAACTGAATGTAAAATCTTTGTCTTATATACCGTTTAGAGTCACCACCAACACAGGCAGCATCGTTCTAACTACAGACGGTGGGGGCGGCACAGATGATGATGTCAAAGTCACGATCGGAAAGACACCAAAAAGACGTCTTCCTTCATTAATCTGAAATGATCAGTGTGGAGATTTACTGCACTACACTCAGCATAAAGTCTGAACAAGATCAGGATTTTCAACACTAACGTCAGTCAAGTGAGTCAGTGCTTCCATGTAATGGTTGAGAGACTTGACGCGTTAAGAAAAGCATTTCCAACAAACTGCAGACATGCATCACATCAACAGCCACAGCCCACGCTCACTCGATACTGATACTGAAGATGAGATCAGATCAGAGTAGATGGTCAGAAAAATGAGAATAAGCAACAAGGAACTTTGGCTGGCTGGCTGGTAACGAACCAACCAAGAACCCATCGTCTAACAAACATACAGAAGAAGAAAGTGGAGATGGATTGGACTGGACTGGATACACACTGAGACGGAAGACCGTTTGGTGACATCACGCTGCGGGTGAGGCCAGGCCGTCGAGTGGAATGCAAATGGGAAACGACGAGTTGGGCGTCAGAGGTGAGGGTGACATGAAGGAGATTTTGTGAAGAAGATGAAATGAGAGGTTATGGGGATTCGTGGAGGCAGGTTTGGAAGAGTTTAGAGAAGAGAGTGAAATGGCGACGTGCTACTGAAGCTCTACATTCCACTGGGAACCCAAGGGATTAACAATAATGATAATAGTTTGCCATATTTTCGGGATATCCAATCCATCTTTTCCGTCGATCGCAGGAAGATATCAACACATGTAGAACGTTTGAGGAAATAAACCCTTTCGTAGAATTTTTACCTTTTGAATGTTTTCTTTTTATGAGCTCAGTATAAGATATTATCAGTGATGGTAGAGTCTTTCCACTGTATAGGAAATTTTTGGTTGTTATTTGCGTCTTCAACCATGTTTACTGAGACGCGTTAGTAACTACCGCACTGTTTCTCTTGTACATGTGGCATCACACTCGCAACACCGTATCTTACAGACAAATTTCTATTGTTCCAGATAAGGAACAGGATTCTTCAATTTGGACGGATGTGAATGCGGAGTGTTCATCACTCTACAGAATACCCTGTTGTTTAGCAACTTCTTCGTATAGTTGTTTTGCTTTAGAAAATGCATTCTGGGAAAAAACACCATGCACCAGATTCAGCAGTTGCTGAATTAATGAAATGCACAAAACAAGCTACATGACTGGAAACTATGACGCAACGTATCCCATACTGAATGTATAAAGACACTACAGGCTGACAGAGTAATGGCACAGATCCCTTTAAACGTATTAGTTCCAGTTTCACAATGGTGCATGTCTGTACACTCTTTGGCTTCTTCAAAGTTTCAAAAACTTAGCTACTCTTCTTTTCCTTATTCTCTGCCTCCCAAAAACTTTTCTATATTCATATGTTACTCATTCTCTTTCCTTCCTACTTGTGTGATGCCAAGAAATGTGGTGAGTTGAACTGATACACTGCTTATGTAAGCTTCTAAGTTGATCTAGTTCAGATGTGTGCATTAAACCAGTATCAGCATATGACTTGGTACTACTGAGTAACGGTCTAAGTCGACACACTTAATTTCAAAAAATCAAGTTAGTAGGTAGAACAATGTGAAAAAAAGTGGAACTTCAGGGACTGATGCAATGTTTTGACCCCGACATTTTGAATCTTTTTCAATCCTAAAACTACATGAGGGAGCATTGCGGGATGTCAAACGGTGATTAGACATGCGTAACATATGTCTCGTCCACTTCAGTCTGTAAAGGTTTACAACCACAGTAACCAACTTTCCTCTTCCTCCTGAAACCCTACCTATGACTTCGACGTCACTGATGTGTCGGTTCAATGACAGATGGCCTATGTTGCGAAGGCAATAAAACATCTGAATCCTTCTCATGTTCCTTAATTTTAATGACCATTTTTCATAGCCATAGAGTGGAACAGAATGAACTGCAACACGGCAAACTCTGTCTTTAATAAGCAATCAGATATGGCGATGGTGTCACAGTTGGTATAAGCTGGCAAAAGCCAAGCGGAGCGTTTTAAGCGATGCAGAGATTTCATGGTTCACTGACCTACCAGGGGAATTTAAACTCCCAGGTAAGTGAGGTGGTCAATGCGCTCAATCACTTCACTCCCTATTGCTAGCCGGGGTGCAAATGAAGACCAGTCTTGGAGCAAGAATTTGTATGTGGATTCTCAGAAATCCACCGCAAACATTTTCAAATTGTCACTTCAGAAGACTACATCTTATGAGCTTCTTCACCTAACAGAGCTACCTCATCTACATACTCTAGATCTACTAAGAATTCTCCTATGGCAAAGTCAGTCCCGATAAAGTTAGATGAAGAGAGAGAGACCTCCATAAGAACGGTTACAATAAGGTTGAACAGAAATGGAGAGAGTGGACATCCTTGACTGACACTAACCGATATATACAGCTCGTCCGACAAGCCATCGCGTGCTCTAACATTCCCACCGGTGCTTGGGTGAGTACAGTACAGTACAAACTCCGTACCCTTGTCAGTGAAAGATTGAGATAAGACCTCTGGATAGATGGAGTCGAATGCCGCTCCCAGGTGTCATGCACTAGGTAAGTGTGCCTGTGCTCTAAGGCTTCACACTGTGAGTATTTGGTCAATACAATCCTTACCGCATCAGAAACTTGAAATGTGTCTCAAGGTTTCCGCTCCAAGGTATTAGACGCCATGTTCATCAGATTGATTCCTCTACGGTTATCACAGCAGGATTTCTCTCCCTTCTTGAAGTGTGAGACAATCAGCCACTGGAAGTAGTCACAGTGGATCATATCTGATTTATATACACTAGCTAACATTTTCGTCAACCCAACCGAAACATCATCGACCATCATCCTTAAATACCATGGGTGCCAGCCCATCTGGTTCTGCTGTCTTTCTTCGTTTCAAATTACTTACCAGCTTCTTAGTTTCTGCAAAACCTGGAGGGCCTACTCCAACTTTTCACTCAGCATTCGACCAACAGCGTGCAACAATATAGTGTGTACAAAAGAAAATAGTCACTAACTTATTATTGTCCTGGTAATAAGTGACTTATCATCCTCTCATTTTTCTCAAAATATTTCCAATACATTTATTCTGTAATTATTCTCATCCATATTCATATTGATTAACGCTTCATTATTATCGTATTTGTTATTTTCACGATAGTTTTATCCCACCTACTTATCATCTTACTAACATAATACTTTCACATTGGTTATGCAATCCCTTTTACTTACTTCTAGTTTTATCTTACTCATTCGTAAAAATTTGTCACCTTGCCTTATATAACCCTTATGTAGTTGGATTGAATCTATTACTTTACGGCAGCATTTATGACGGATCGATATCAGCTGGAGAACCATTGAAAACCTGCAACAACTGGACTGCCATTTCGTCCTAGTAGGGGACTCCTCAGCAGTACCCACCCACTACCCGGCGAGGGGCCAAACCCAGGACCTTCAGGTTTTACGGCGAATGCGTTAACAATGCAGCCACAGGGTCGAAGTTCAATTTACTACCTAAACTTCTTTTGTATCCTGAATTATTATATTTTTTTGATTTTCCAAAAGTTGACCGGTATCTTAAAAACGCTCTAGATAAAATATGTTGATTTTTGTCATAGTGATTATTTATTTATTTATTCAGGTTGTATGCAGCCAAAGAAAATCCTATGAGATAGATTACGTCATCTCATCCTTTAAAAGGTCTTCTCATTGCGTTATTCAAGTTAGTAAAACGAAGCTAAATGTATGAAATGGAATAGTAGCTGGACGCTCTTTAAACTTTTCCTCACATGTATACACTCATCTTCTTCGAAATCTTGAATATATTTCCCACTGATCTTCATTCGTTTAAGCTGTCTCATCTCATACACAACTTCAGTGTCTGGCTTTATATTGACTTGGTTGCCTTTCTGCCCATTGGACATATAGGTTGTAAATGACTGACAACGGCAGTACACCTATATCCAGAGATTCTCTGTCAATTATTTTCAACCCTACACCATCAAATAAAGTGTTCTACGGGGTCAGCTTACTTCGCTTACTGGAAACAACTGATACTTATATTAATAGATTTGGCTAAAATCCTAGGATTACAGAATGTTATTCGTTGCACTATACTCAAAATCAGTAGATAATATTCACCTTTTATATCTGTCAACTGCAAATCAAAAAATTAAGCAGAAATATCTCTACTCGAAAAGTAAGAGGCATAGGCTCCCATCCCAATTAAAATATAACCTTTGATGAGAATTTAGATAGGCCTTCATGACTAGCATAAGATGAATTGAAATGTTTCAGTATCCTTAAGGCTCTTTATGTATTGCTTAAACAACAGAAGTTATCCATCTCTAATACCAGAATGTTTAAACTTAACTACTAACTGAGGTCTAAGAGTTGCGGTAATTATTTCAGATGAATAACTCGAAACTGTAATGCATTGCTATGAAAAAAACGGAAGGGGGAATGCTGAAGATTAGTGAGATATAACCAAACGATGAATACCATTCATCCAGGATCAACAATCATAGAGTCGTAGGTTTTCATGACAGATTGGAATCATAAGTGAAACTAGATATTTGACAAAAGTGAAGTTTAAGAATATGGATCATTTCACGTAAGTGGATAACAATGACAGTGATTGCTCAAATGTCTGTGGGTAGAGAATAAATAATTGAAGCAGATTAGATAACGGTGATGAAAACTCCATGTCATCCTCGGCACCAACGCCAAACTCGTCATTTCCCATGGGGATTCCACTCGAGTAACTGGCCTGACACGTGATGTCCCCAGTCGGCCTTCTCAGTGTATGCCCAATCCATCTCCACTCCCTTCCACTGCATATTTGTTGAGCGATAGCTTCTTGCTTCGTTGGTTCGTTCCCAGAGCTCCTTGTTGCTTATTCTCATTATTCTGGCCATCTGATCTTCAGTAACGAGTCAGCGTAGGCAGTTGTTGATGAATGTCTGTAGTTTATTGGAAATCCCTTCCGCAACACGCCAAGTCTCTAAACCATACAGAAGCACTGACTTGATGTTGGTGTTGAAAATCCGTATCTTGTTCCACATGCTGAGTGGAGTGCAGAAGATCTCCACACTGGTTTCAGGCTAATGAAGGCCCGTCTTGCTTTTCCGATTCTGACTTTGACATCCTCGTCTGTGCCTGTGTCGCCTGTAGTTGAAACAGTGCTTCCTAGATAGGTGAAAGAGGCTACTTCCTTTAAGTTCCTCTCGTTGATGGGGATTGCAGCTTGTTGTTGTTGTTGTTTGGGTATCTTCATCACCTCTGTCTTCTCTACGTTCACTTGAAGTCCTGTTTTCTCTGCCTCTTCTGCCAACTTGTTAGTTTTTGCCTGTAGATCTTCAAGTGATATATAATATAACGAAGTATTTTTTAGTCCAACAGATCGACCACTCCCAGTTTATCCTCGGTTAAAATAGAAACAAAATCTCAAGCTTTACGACAGATCGCTGGATCTCGTCTATTACCGGAATGTTAAGTTGGAGAAACAGAAGTGTATTATAGCATGACCTACTCAAACGAATCAATGCATGTTTCAGAGACTATGCTGTTAATCAACATACAACTTGTAGATGGTCGAAGAGCGCTGACAATGAATCCATATGGATCTTAAAGGATCAACACATATGAAAGAACTTGTTTTACTACTAGTGATACGCATACTAGATGATGAGACGATGCAACGATTGCCAGGTCAAATACATAAGTCAAAGTAGTCGACCAGGATCAATTAGGCTATCGGAGCACAAAAACTTAGCTAGGTCAAAATTAGTAGATCCTAGGTAAGGAGTTTAGAAAAAAGCTCAGCCATAGCTATGCATACGATTACACACAATCACACAATAAGATAGGACAGGGTGAGAATCCTTAAAACTAACATAACAGGGTGGAGGGAAAGATTGATAACTGAGTCTTTGTTTATGGAATCAACACCTAACACAGACAGCAACAGGAATGACTTAACACCTGTTCCGGATATATTGAAAATTTTACTGCCTATCTCACAAAGAGACGAGAAAATTGAGACTATATAAAGGATATTTCAAAGTTGTGTAGTTATCTTGATACGACTATGGACAATAAATTATATCCGCAACGTAATGTAGTAAACAATATTGTTACACTGTGTGATAAATCTAATAAATCAATAAAAATGGAAGGTCATTTTATATCTAAATTATTGTCTTTTGTGCATATTTAGGCGTTACAATACACCTAATTGTTCAAAGAAAGCATTCTATGACAAGTGTTTACACTTACGAGGAATAGGATAGGCAAATTTATCAGGACATGATTGAATTAAACAATTCTTTATATGACGTCGACCAACTCCATGTGCACCAAGTAATACTAGTGTTCTTCGACGGAATTGTGGTAATCTTACTACTTCTTCATATGTGATTAAATCCAATTGATCATATATAGCTGTATGTTTACTTTTATACTTATCTTTGAATTGACGTTTTCTACGCTTAAACCATGCACCACAATGTGTAATACCCATTTCACGAGATAATTCAGCGGCTTTATTAGCCATACGCCATTCTTGAAGTTCTGGACTAGGTATAAGTCCAGCTGGTGCTTGATAATCTGAACCCCATAAACGAGCCTGTAAAACAACAACAACAACATTGATTTACATTGTAGATGAAAATAAAATTTATTGCAGTAGAATCTTGCTTCAATTTCATAGCAGATGGACAGATATGCTAATCAATAACTGGAACATAAGAGCTTCATCAATTATCGAACTTGTGCGCATAATTTAGTTCTACAGGTAGTCAGTTGTGCCTTAAATAACTTGGTAATAAAGTTTCTCACTTTAGTACTGATTGACACGGTTTAAAATCTTCTAAGTATGATGAATCCTCTCAAATACACAAGTACGTATTGTTACTCACAGACTATAAACATTTGGATTAAATAAGAACTACTGAAATTATAGTGAATCGTTAGTAAATAACTCTAGTACTTCTTTAGGTCAACTTGATGGAAGATGATGCATAATTACTTAGCCATATCACTGAATATAATACAACTGCTCAATAAATGTAAAATAAACGTTTTATGCTTAAGTTTTATAAATTTATCGTACGGAAAGTTTGAATTATCTTTTTCGCGCTCTTTTTTACCCTACATGTATCGCCAAATTTTACTACTTTTAAAAACGCTGTTTTCCTATTGGTTAAGCTCGTAATTTTAATATGCTATTTTGTTTTTTCACTTCAAGGGCGGACATAAAGTATATAAGTATAAGCATTGTGTCCTTGGATTTATTCATACTTTCACACTTTCAATTGGAATAAACTCTCTTCAGTTCAGTCTTATTTTATTCTTCTTATGTCAACTCATCAAGTTGTCAAGTATTGTATAGTTCATCTAATAAATAGATTACGCATCCTGAAAGCAACCGTATTCACGAATCACAACAGAGGACACATAAATTCATTAATAAATTGAATAACCGTTAGTCAGTCTTTCCTTTAAATAAAAACTTTAAATCTTAGAGTGTACAAAACCAAGAAAGGGATGAATATTACCTTGGAGATTTGAAAGTATAACTCTGACAATTTCAGTCTGCTCACCCTAAAGTGAAGTTGATTTTTTGTATCATCATATGCAATAATTTGTTGTTAAATATGACTTCAAATTTCTCATGTTTTCATAATAAGAGTTTGTAAAATTTAATTCTTTTAAATGAATAACTTATGAATTTTTATGCAGCAAAATGTTGAAGATCTTGAATGACCTTGGTGAAACATTTGTGTTCTTCATTCCTACCTGAGTATACCTTCTGAGTGACTTGGATTTCGCCGATGACTTGTGCCTGATGTCACATAAACTTGAAGATCTACAGGCAAAAACTAACAAGTTGGCAGAAGAGGCAGGGTAGCGAAGGAAGACGGGACTTCAAGTGAATATAGAGAAGACAGAGGTGATGAAGATACCCAAACAACAACAGCAACAAGTTGCAATCCCCATCAACGAGAGAAACTTAAAGGAAGTAGCCTCTTTCACCTATCTAGGAAGCACTGTTTCAACTACAGGCGACACAGGCACAGACGAGGATGTCAAAGTCAGAATCGGAAAAGCAAGACGGGCCTTCATTAGCCTGAAACCAGTGTGGAGATCTTCTGCACTCCACTCAGCATGTGGAACAAGATACGGATTTTCAACACCAACGTCAAGTCAGTGCTTCTGTGTGATGGTTCAGAGACTTGGCGTGTTACGGAAGGGATTTCCAATAAACTACAGACATTCATCAACAACTGCCTACGCTGACTCGTTACTGAAGATCAGATGGCCAGAATAATGAGAATAAGCAACAAGGAGCTCTGGGAACGAACCAACGAAGCAAGAAGCTATCGCTCAACAAATATGCAGTGGAAGGGAGTGGAGATGGATTGGGCATACACTGAGAAGGCCGACTGGGGACATCACGTGTCAGGCCAGTTACTCGAGTGGAATCCCCATGGGAAGCGACGAGTTGGACGTCCGAGGGTGACATGGAGGAGGTCGTGCGAGGAATAAATGAGAGCTTGTGGGGTGTCGTGGAACCAGGTTCAAAAGATCTCAGAGAACAGAGGTCACTGGAGACGTGCTACTGAAGCCCTATGTTCCACTAGGAACCCAAAGGACTAATAATAATAATAATAATAATAATAATAATAATAATAATAATAATAATAAATACCTTCTGAGTATGTTTCACTGAACTTCTCTTATTCCTGTCTTTAGTTAAGTTTTCTGTAATTGTTCATTTAGTCGATTCACCTCTTTCTATCAATGTATTGTTTAGATGCACTATATAATGACATTTCAAACAACTGATTATTCGTCATTTGATTCTTCTCTCTCTTTCTTCTTTTGCCTGGGGTTAATTAGTTTAAGCACTTGACTTTTAACCTAGGGATCATTGGTTTCAAACTTAACAAACGAGTAATACTGAAAGTCTTCAAGTAACAAGTGATACAAATAACCCACATACGAAACTGTACCAGGTTGAGATATACATTATTCCTCTTACATTCTTCTTGTTTATTAAACTATTACAATTCTATTTGGAGGTTTGTGGAGATTTAGTGATTTCAGGTTGGTATTCATCATCAACTGACATCAGTTGGTAGAACATAGGAAAGCTAGGAGTACTGGACAGCTGTTTCGTTCTAGTATGAAACTCCTCACCACTGTGCAACCATGATCCCGCCAGGAGTCGAACCCAGAACCTTCAAGCTGCGTGGCCAGCACGTCACGATTCAGTAACTGGGTCGGAATCTAATGGCCCATATTTCTTACTTCTCTCAGTCTACGATGCAGTGCAACCTCCATCCAATGTCATCGTTGGCTAACTGTCCTCATGTTCTACTTGGTTGGCACAACCGGTCACGGCTTCTCATTGGAACTTCAGGAATCCCCTCTCAAAGTTATTCATCAATGAGCACTAGATGAATACCAACCTGAAACCAATAAATTCTCACAAACCTCCAAACTGAACTAAACTAAACTTTGAGAGGTGATTCTCGAAGTTCCAATGAGAAGTGGTAACTGGTGGGGTCAACCAAGTCGAACATGAAGACAGTTACTCAGCAATGGCACTGGATGGAAATCACACTACATCATGAACTGAGAGAAGTAGGAAATATGAACCACTGGATTCTGACATAGTGGCTCAATGCTAACATGCTGGGCATCGAAGCTGGGAGTCCATGGTCCGATTCTTGGTAGGGTCATGCATTCTAATTGTTTTAACTTCCATTGATAGTTATTCACGGCAGACATTTGAGACCGTCATTATGCTGCATAAAAGCGGAACCACAATATATAAAGAAATAATGGAATAATAACAAAAATAATAAGAAAATACTTATTGAAACTTGTTCGAATTCCAATGAGAACTTCAAGAAGCACAAGTTTTATTCAATTATAATTGACACTTGCTGCATATGAGATGACCCTAATGACTCAGTAGCCAAATGGAAAACGTGCTGACGTTTGAAACAATCGGTGTTGGGTTCAATTCTTGCTGGGAACATCATCACTCACTGGAAGGCAGGCACTCTTAGCTGATAAGTCCCAAAGACGGCTTAACGTTTGTTCTGGATTTCACAGCTAGCCGCCACCAATTACATTACATATGAATAACAAGTTTTTGGATAATCTCGATTGCAAATAAGTGTGAGGTGACTATGCATATGCATGAGAATGAGAAATCGGGCAAAACTGAGTACATTCACATAATGGTTAGGTAACAGAATGGTTGGATTATCAATGAATTCTGAGTTTAAGTTGTGAAATATGAAGTCAAAAAGTGAATAGAATGATAAAAACAGTAAAAACAGATCATATTTACAGCTATCCAGTTTGATCGGAATAGAAAATCATTACATTTGTGTCTTGGTTGAAGGTGAACATAAAGCAGTGGAGAAGACCGGACACGAACCATTTCCCCACATATATTGTTAATTGGGAAAACTTTGATACCTTTTTAGTAAAGTATGTTTAATAATCGAAGGTACACAAACCTGAAGGCCTATGGTAAAACTCTGTATATGATAGCAAACGTTGAGGTCCTTATCCATTTACTAATCCGTATCCATTAGAGGCAGACAAACAGACAGACAATCAACCACACAAGTACATAAGTACAAGTTGTTTGACATCACAGTAGTATATGAAGAAAAAGTAGATCCAAGAAGAGTGATCTCAAAGTAGAAAAATTTATGTGACACGATAAGCATTCTGAAGATGACGGTTAGCGCAAATATTCAAGTTTTAAAAGACATCAAAGAGTGAATACATCGACGACCCTGTGACCGATTTTCAGCCGTCGCCAAGAGTCTTCAACCACTGATTCCTTTGACCTCGTGGACCCCAGTCAGGTAGTCTACATTTTCTTCAACACGACTCAGATAAACAGAAGAAGAATTCATCAAGTGGTGCTGCGTCTTCGTCTGGACACTCTGAACTCTCTTAAAGCCAAACTCAACTTCTCCTTGCATCATACGTTGAGGTAGGCAGTGTCTCAGCATGCGCAACCCATGTCTAAGCCACCTCAGTTGACTAAAGTTCATAATCACATCAGTCGACTTGCCGGTCTTGCCTAGTGCCCTTCTTCTAACTTCAACATTATTCACACGATGATTCCACCAAACGCGAGCAATGGCACATATCCATTGGATAAGTCAGTGTTAAATTAGTAATGGACATTACTTTTTAAAAAAATAAGATGCAGTGTACCACAGTGCAATATCACTTAGCATAGTGGTCACATTGCGGAATCAATCTCTGGACTTCAGTTATTTACTAAGAACTAAGAACTAGACAGCTATGTCCGTTATTCACCCATGACTACTGATTCGTACAATTAATCCAGTTCTACAAGAGGTGGCTCATGGTCTAAATAGTTTGGTGATAAAGTCTCTGACTTCAGCGCCAAAAGTAACACAGATAAAAGTCACCGAGACAACTGTCGTTTCATGATGGTTGCAAATACTTCTTACCGATGAGCGCTAACGAGTACGAGAAGTAGATAGATGGTTACCTGCCGATTACCTTTCAATATATGTTACAATTTACTTTCTTCCCATCTGATCACATACTGGATAGTGTTTGCGATATATATATATATATATATATATATATATATATATATATATATATATATATAAGAGAGAGAGAGAGAGAGAGAGAGAGAGAGAGAAGAAATAATTTCTACTTACTTGCCACCAATTATGATCATCTTTACTAATAATCTGTAAAATATCCCCAATATGAAAGTGGATACCAGCTTGTGTACATGGTATTAAATCATCATTTTCAGGGCTATAATCAAACATTGCGCGCACATATATCTACATAAGAAAACGTGAAACATGAAATTGTGAATGTCAACTATTCTTATGAATGCTACCTAAAAAATAAAATCCTTATTAACTTCAGAATATATTATTATTATTATTATTGCTATTAGTTCTAGAGGTATTACTGCTGACAGAGTTGTAACCCACCAACCCCAAAGTGACAGTGTATCGCTCAATATTCTTGCATCAATCCATGTATCCCACACTTCTTCTATGACAAGAAATAAAAGTATGTAGTTATTCCAGAGAATGAGTACACTGGGTTAAACACGTAGTCCTGGAAGAATAACACTCAGAATCAAGCGAGTATATTTTTGTATTGGTTCGTTACTGGAGGGTAACCAATCTCATGTTGTCTAATCCTAAAAGGATGATCGTATTTTACCGATCATTTTGCAATGTGGCCACCAGGATAAGAGGCTTACCATCGTGATACATTGAAATAGACGTTGATCCAAAATACTATTAAATTCTCCTAAAGTAACAAAAAAAATGTTTGCAATCCATCATAAAATATAAAAATTAATAAGCTCCATTATAATATGCAATACAATTGCAAAAATCTTCATAAGAAGCCATAAATCCATAAAACCTTTTACAACCAACCGTTTTACTCCAAAATAGAGGGGGGAAAGCATGTGAACAAACGTGTAAATACTAGATTGGTTGAAGAGACAAAAATCAAAAGGATATTATAATCTAGAGAGGTCTAGAAATAGCCAAGGTTATCGTTAAGATATGTAAACCGTTGTATTTTGTATATATTTGGCGGTACAATAGGCCTTCTAGTATATTACCGCCTTTTCCACTTACCAAGGAAATGAGTGACCATTAGGTATGAGATCTGGAGGTTCGTTGTTCAAGTATCTACAGTCTCACACACAAATATATAACTCGGGTTATATCAAGTGGTTACAAGGATATTACAAGTAGCGACAGGATTATATCAAGATTATAACAAGCTCTTAGGTTATATGACTGCTAACTAGTAACAAGAAGAACAGAAAATAATGAAAAATAAAGCGAAACTGGTGCCGTATGGTGACCCAATCGAGAAATGTATTATTACAAGTTGTAACAAGTCACAACATAACATAGAAACAAAATACAAAGTAGAAGAATGGGATTAAAGTTTGAGACGAAACTTCACAACTCCACGGTGATAGCCAATAGGGGTTTCAAGAAGATCTTCAACTTATTTCACGTTCAAATGAATACAGTAAAGAGATATCATATATCTTAGTTTTTCCATTATACTCTGAACACTTCGTTTTCGTCCAAATCTTATGACTACTGACTATAGAACAGTATGATTACACCCATGTATATCATACATCAGATATGATAATCACTTTCCAAATTGATAGGATAGCATGTTATATATATATCACACGTGAACTAAAATGAATTCTAAAAAACCCACCCCATCCATCTAAGTCAACATAGGACCAGGCATTACTGCATAACCGTCCGAGTTGCCACACCTCATATCAGTACATCAACGAAAAAGACAGTGAAAGGGAAGATGAAGATAAGAAAATTCAGTCAAAGGAAATGTTAAGTACTAAAAGAGAGAAACGAAGAATGAGAAAATGGTGAGATTCAGTATAGCGTTAGGAAGAGGATAATGTATGTATACATCTGCGCCACTGACATCGGTTCTGAGCCATATCACCTAGAGTCAGTCTCCAACCACTGGTTCCTCTTGTCCCGAGGACCCCAACCAGCTAGTGTGTATCGCCCTAAACGGCCCAAACCAACAGTCAAAGACTTCATACATTGGTGCCATGTTTTGGTCTGGCTACCTCGGGACTTTTACCAGCCTGTACCTACTCCGGCCAACATTGTGTGACGATGCGATCGGCAACTAGGCGTACGTAACACGTGTCCCAACCATCTCAGTCGATGACCAAAACTACAAAGACATGTATGGTGATGTACATAAGAATGACAGTTACAAGTGTAGGAAGACATCGATCACTTCATAATCAATACGATCAACTTCATTATTTATTATCGTAGTTGCAATCTACATTATTGGCCATACAGAGCTCAACTTTTAGCAAAGCTAAGTCAAAAGGTTTATAAAACAGTGTAAACAAAACATACCTGATTATATCGGTCAAGACTTTGTACACTGCCAAATGAATTGATTTAAAATAAACAGACTTAATGTAAGTGTTCAAATGAAATTAAAATTCTAACTTTTAACATGATCTTGGGAAGTAATTCTGCTCGAAATAATACCATTGTATGAAAAAGATACCATTTATAAACGAAAGCTATTTGGCATACATAATAAAGAAAACATTTAGAATAAATGGGAGCCATTACTTACTTCACACTGTAATGGATGTGTTCGATAACTGGGAATAATTTTCAAACTCACATTTCCACGAGCATTACGCTTTGAATATAAAGGGAAGAATAAAGTGGAATCATGAGTAAATTTTCAACGAATACTCTTTTAAACAGTGAAATAGGAAGACGAAGATTATCTGGAACATGTGATGTATTAGCGCTAAACACTTCGAACAATCTCATCACACATAGACTTGTTGAATTATTTATGTGAACATTTACGAAAAGGGTTAATGAAGTTAATAGGAAACGTAAGAATAGGACAGGAGAAAAAAATCGTTAATCACGTTACGCTTGGTATGAAAATTAAAATCAATACTACCAAGGTAGGTTCAACGTGAGTACGAATTATTTTTGTATACATAAAGCAAGGGGTTTGAATTTACGGATGACAAGAGCTTCAATAAATCTAAGCACTCAGCTCTGACCACTTTTATTTAGTACTTTAAAGGCTGTTTTCATGTCTATCCTATGTTTAGTCACTAGTATATGTTTAGCGATAGACGAAGATGGATGTTTGTCACCTGCACTTATCGGTCATTTATTTTTGTAGCCACTTAGGTAAATGTTCAACCTTTCTTCTTTTTCAAGTTGTTATTCATCGAAGACTGACATCAGTTGGAGGTACAAAGGAAACCTGGGAGCACTGGACAGCTGTTTCATCCTAGCATGGGACTCCTCAGCAGTGCGCACCCACGACCCCACCAGCAGGGATCGAACCCGCGACCTTCAGGTTCCGCGACCAGCGCGTTACCATTGAGCCACTGGGCCACAATCCAATGCTCCATATTTCCAACTTCTGTTAGCTCACGACATAGCGCAAACCGCCACCCAATGTCATCGTTGAGTATTTGTCCTCACGGCCATCAGGCTTTGACTCCACCGGTCACGACTTGTCACTGGAACTTCGGGAATACTTCTCGAAGCTAGTCACCAACGAGCACTAGTTCAATTAAATTTTGAGGGGGTTGTGGAGATTTGGAAATATTTCAAGTTGTTATTCATCGAAGACTGACATCCCTTCCTATTCTTATGTTTCCTATTAACTTCATGAACCCTTTTCGTAAATGTTTACATAAATAGTTCGACAAGTCTATATGTGATCAGATTGTTCGAAATGTATAGCGCTAATATATCACGACATGTTTCAGATAATCTTCGTCTTATCATATCGCTGTTTAAATTTATCAAAGGGACCAGTTGCTTTAAATTTTTGAAAAGAATACTTTTTTGTTACTTATAAGTAGTTAGACTTGTTTATATAAAATATCAAATGTTTGTAGTAAGCCCAAAATACCTTAGTTAACTTTGATTTCAGGATATTAAAAATCTGAATCAGTGAAATTAATGAGTCCAGGAGAACCACATTCTGTATAAATAGCAAAGCTTCCAATCAAATCTCTAGTATTATTTCGAACTACTGTAGTAAACGAACTGTGAAAACTCTCTCAATCATAACTATTAGGATCAATCCATTACTTTCAGTGGGGATATTTCTCTAACAATTGAGACAGAAAATGTATTCCTAGTAACTTATGTTGGGTACTAAATGCATACACGACTATCCATTGATTGTATTTAGCTAAAGAAGAAACAATTTAAGTGATAACAAAATGACAAGTATTTCAGTCGGCATTGATTTACTGGGGTGTTAGATTTCGACTAGTATTTATTTACCCACATTTATGATTGAAAAATGCCAAAACATTACTTCCAAAGTACTCACTATTCAGTTTTAGTTCTCGCTTAACTGTGCTACTTGATCTGTGCCGTATGGTTCTGAGTGCGCCAAACTTTCGGAACCCAAGAACCAATCATAGAGCAAGCTGAGATACTTTACCGAATATCATAGACTATTATTATTACCACTATTATTATATGAATTGGTGCATTTGAAATAAACACTAATCTCCTGATGGCAATTTTTTAATACTACTCTTTGTATCTTAAACTTCTAGGATGCGAATCCTACGGTTTTGGTTAACATTAGTACTAGGCTTATTGTAATCTCGACATAATTTCATAAAATGTTACAAATATTTAACTCTTTAAAAGTGTTCCTCCATTTATTCGCTGGTATCATGAAATTTACGATGTATTCAAAGTCTTACAAGACTGTCTAGTCTGTCTAAGTTTTTATGAAGTGTTGATCAGAGTACTAACACAATATAAAAGCATATTTGGTGGCTAAAATTGGAATCTAGCTCACACACTCTATCCTATTTGAGACGCGTTAGATGAATGAATGTACCTACGTCCTGAAGTTCACAACCACCCATTAAGTAAACCACTACATAATGAATATTCAGGGTATTCGCACATGAGTCCATCTATCAATAGAGGATGAGAGATTCAATCCAGTACAGCGACGGGGAATTACAAGTATCAATCAACAAAGTATTAACAGTTTATCAAATATGCTTAAATTGGTCAAAAGGGATAGTGCATTAAGCCGATCAGAGCTTTCGTAGATAGTCTAAGTGGAAAAAAAGTCAGAAATTGGTAGTTCGAATCTTGTAAAGAGCTAAGTTTTGTTCGGTCTTCTTCAATTAGCTTCCTATACATCTTTCTGTTACTAAACTCAAAATGAAACAAAAAGATACAAGCAAATACGAAAAAGATAAACTTGGTTGATAATCACGTTGATAAGAGAACAAGAGATCGGTAGCTCACATCGTAATTTCGCATGTTTAAATAATAAATGGTGAAAAATTAGATCACGTTGTTCATACATGATAATAATATGGGGATAAGTATCATCCTTATCAGTTATTCGTCTATGAGGTCAAGGTGAAGATGTGGATATGTGAGAAAAATATTATTTATGCTGAGTGATGATTAAAGGTGAAGTGAAAATTTGGATCGCAGACATATTAGAATCAGCGGCCACTGGGTCACCGGCCCGATGCTCTACCAACTGAGCTATGAGGTCCAACTGCTGACCACGTTTTTATTTAACTTCAATCACCAAGAGTGTCTCTTGACTGCCACGTGAACTGGTGAAGCGTTACGACTGCTTGATCGTATTCCCACTGGCTGCCTAGTCAGGACTTCTCATCCCAATCTAAATCTAACTGAATTAGTCTGCCAAACTATGACTATCTCAGAATGTCAAATGATAATCAATATGATGTTCACTCTCTCTAATTTAGTTAGATTTGGATTTGGATGACAAGTCTTGACTAGGCAGCCAGTGTGAATACGATCAGGTGGGAGTAACGCGTCATGAATTCACATGGTAGTCGGGCAAAACCCTGTCTTGTGATTGAAGTTAAATAAAAATCTGGTCAGCAGTTGGACCTTGTAGCTGAGTTGGTAGAGCATTGGGATGGAGACCCGGTGGTTGCTGCTTCGAATCCGGCCGCGATCCAAATTTTCATCTCACCTTAAATCATTACCCAGTATAAATACTAGTCTGCCAAACTACGGCTATCTTAGGTAGTCAAATGATGAAAAATATTATTGATGAATAATTCAGTTTGTTTGTTCGTGTGTGTGTACTTTAGTTATGACCATTGTGTGTGGGGACTTTGAAGGCCACCCTAGCAACACTTGAAATAACCAATTAGACTTCCCTATTTTGTATAAATTTGACTTTCCAACCATAATAGAGAAGCCTAACTGGTCATTTCGATTGTTGCTAGGGTGGCCTTTAAAGTCGTCCATTGTGTCCAACGTCTTCTTTCGGATAAACTGTCCAAGTTGATGGACGGATAGTTAGGCCTTCTTTTCTTTTGAGTATATCAGAATTCAGCATAATGTGAAATGTCTCAGATTCCATCTTTCTTTATGAATCAATTTTGTGACCATGATTCAACAAGGCTGGAATTAGGGTAGCATTTAAACCAACAAACTGACTCAAAGACAAGCTTTGTCGGCTGACTTAAGGATCCAATAGAACCAATTCAGCAAACTAATCTAATCTACCAAATCCCATGTAATGACTGCGAGATCAACCACGTAGATCAAACTGCCCGATCGAGGTCAGTTAGAATGGCGGAATATAGGAATCTAGCTAAATATAGAATGATAGACCAATAATCTAGAAAAACACTCGGCTATTGCAATGTACGCATTAACACACAACCACACAATAGGGTGGGATAAAACCATTGTACTCAAGTCCAATGTAATTAGGTGGAGACAGAGAGAGATTGGTTACTGAATCTCTGTTCATTGAATCAACACCCAACCCAACGCATGTAATAGGAATTACGCAACATATACCAGAAATGTGGAAAATTTTAGTACCAATAAAAACAAAGAATATGAAGTGACGGGACTATAAAAAAATCAGATGTCGAAAGTAATGTGATCACATTGATATGATTATGAGTAGTGATAATTTATGCTGGAAACGCCATCAAATAAATAATACTATATCACTATGTGTTATAAATCAAATAAACAAACCTAATGTAGAATACAACTATCGATTGCCAGTAGTAACAGTAAGTCAGTTGATAAGTATAATTCAGTAACGAAACAACTGAAAACAAAGCAAAACTTCTATTTCCCTTTTGTTTAAATTTCTATCTAATCTCGTGGTCATTCAACTTCTCTTAAGAATATACAGAGAAATTCACGATAGACGAAAAAAATTGCCTTCGCCCTTGATTACTGGATAATTTATATCCCAGTAACTCTTAATTAATTTACTGTCAGATGAGAATCTCTGTATTTCATATAACGCAGAGTAATGTCGCCGTCAATATATTCAGTAAGGAAGAAAAACACAGAATATATAAAACTAACCTAGGAAGACTCAGTAAATTATATTTCAACAATATTACTATTTAAGGTAGCATTCATCACACACTGATATCAGTTGAAGAACCATTGAAGACCTATGAGCACTAGTTAGCTACTTCGTCCTAATATGGAACCACTCAGCAGTATGCACCCACGAATCTGTTAGGGGTCGAACTCAGGACCTTCAGGTCTCACGGAGAACGTTTGCAACATGCAGCCACTGGGTCGAAGTCCAGTGATTTGCAGTTTCTTACCTCTGACAATTCGTGGTACATCGCAACACGCTTCCAGGTGTATATCCCGACGTCCTTATAAGAAGCCGTGACTTGTGGGGTCAGTCGGTGGGAAGGGAAGCAGATGCGAACAAAAGATGTTGGATGACGTTTACGCTATATCACAGGTTAGCAGAAGTGGGAAACCGTGAACTATTGTACTCCTACCCAATGCCTGAATAGTTAACGCGTTCGTTCCCAAACCTAGCGAGGGGGCGGTGTGTGCTGCTCAGGAGTCCTGTATTAGAGCGAAACAGCTATTCAGTGATCTCAGATTTTCCATGGTTCTCCAACTGATGATGTCAGTACGTGATGAATGTCACCTTTAAAAAAATCTCCATTAAACCCGAAAGTACAATATTTCGACTGTTGATTTATGAGTACATCGTTTACTGATTCGTAGACAAGCCTAAATTCTATACGTCGGCGATAATTGACTTCTATGCGTCGATATAAAGCATCCGTTTACAAAGCCAGCAGTAACAATAAAACAACACCTGATATCTTGAATTATTAGTGGTCAACACAAAATCCTAATTTATCAAAATCCATTGTTCTCCATCACTCATAATAATGACTTTTTTACTACGGGGTACTAGCAGACATCACTGATCATATGGACGGAATTTAGTTAACAATGATGACTAGATAACAAGACGCTGATTATTATTCCATGACTGATCAGTCTACTTAAGTCGATCCACGGTTAAGTGACAGCGTTTTCAATTCTGACTGTAAGTTATATCAGTTAAAGCTTCTAATGTAACATATATTCCCTGAGAAATTAAAGATATACCTTGGTTATTATTATTATCCCAACAATAGCAGAACATGGTCGGGATTAACTTTAGAGATTATATCTACACAGCCAACATTCTGATAAACCTGATGAGTAAACTAAGAAAATCTGGAAAACAAAATAAGACAAAACATTTAAAAACCATAGTAAAGTTGTTATATTCAATGAAATTTTAAGCTGACCAGTAATCGTTGTAAATGTTCGATTGAACGACCAGCCACCGGTTCACTGTTGATCTCACGTAATTCATCACCAACATGAAGGGTACCTGTGGAAATAAGATACAGAAAATAAAATTACCGAACTTGATAAATCATTTACATGGTTTGGAAATTGCTTCAATTTCTTGAGCATAAGGGCAGTTCGAAGACGAAGTATGTAACTTTTATAATCAATGTATACTGACGATTTCGTTGATTTATAAAGTTGCATCAAAATCAATTAGCTAATTGGTGATGAAACGTGAATGCAAATGAACAAGGCTCACTTAGCATCTTCTATACTTCCAGTGAAATATTCAGCGCGATGAGAAGAAGCTGGATGCATCCTATTCTACAGTAATAAGATATAAACCATGACGATGAATGAAATGGTAGGTTTTCGATTACTAATAGCGAGATAGTAAAGCTGTTCAAGTTGAAGTTAAGGCCTTAGTTTGCTTTAAAATGTTTCCATTAAAGAGTATCTAACTGATACTTAGAGTCAATAAGACATGAGAGAGAGGTAGATAGCTATTTTGTCCAATTCCAAGATCTCATAAGAGTAGGTATCTGCAACTGACTGTTGTATAAGAATCAAAGTTATCGGCATAAATGGTAAGCGATCGTTTCTCACTCAATCTAGTCCATATACAATAGTTGAATTATTTCGACCCACATATTAACTCATAAAATAGTACAATCTATTCTCGGGGATTATTTTAACACTATTATACAAACAGAAAGAAGACAAGAGAATTAGAACTATAAACACCGTGTCTCATAGTTATGGAGTTACCTTGATATGACTATGAAAAATAAATTGCATCTAAAATATTATTGAGTAAATAACACTGTTTCTAAATAAAGCGGAATGTCATTCTACCACAGTACCTAAGTTTTGAATATCTTTAAAGCCCCCCCCCCCCCACCTCAGCAACTGTTGAGATAGCCAATCAGGCTTCTCTATTTTATGAAAAAACCAACCATCGTAGGCGATATATTGAAAGCTGATTGATTATTTCAGCAGTGTTGTTAGATTGGCTTTTAAACTCACTCTAAGTTTTACTCTCACATTGAGCATAGAAACCATAAGTGATTTTTTCAATAGTAAAACTATTTATGAAAACATATGGTGATGAAAAGTCAAAGATGCAGATAAAGCAAGTATACAATACTTTCTTATTTCTAATGATTGTTTTATTCATTCAAATCATTTTCAACTTAACTGGTAATACTTGACTATATGTTAGTTAATCCTTCTACATTAATAACAAGAACCATCCGCGTAATTTCATTCAAATAAATTTTATACAGTAGTATGGAATGTTAAATTTATATAATTCCCTAATTCCTCATAAAACATGAATAGAGAAGTAACCATTTATAGTATGGTGGATAAGATCTGTAGTTAAAGATGAGGACGATAGTTTTCTAGTGTTTTTTAAGTTTCAAGGTTTGTCCTGGAATGTTTCACCACCAGATTCAAAGACTTCATCAGTATTTACTTCATAAATGCTGATGAATTCACCTAGTTTAATCTTGAATTGTCCAACAACGAACTTCAAAGCTCGGAGAACAACAAACTGCTATCTTAGCTCATTATGTCACACACACATACACACACACACATGTGCTGTGCACATTTACACTGGCGAATTGGAAATAACCTGGTAGACAATCCATGAAATGACGTCAAGATTTTAAAATTCTTTATAGTAACTATAGCTATGGGATCAAGCACATACATTCCATCCCTATCTGGAGTCGTCAGCTGCATGCAACTACATCCAAGTGTGTAGGTACGAGCACTAAGACCTACTGCCTACCGTTTCAAACATCAGTGTTATCCACGAAGATAATGAATTATAGGAACCACTTTTCCATCAACCAAAGTAAGTTGTCATCGAAAAAATGCTATTCCCTAAATGTAAGCTGCTTCGAATTTTACTGCAACTCACTACCAAAATATAATGGCATATTTCAAAGAGAATTTCGATTGATTTTGATGACAATGATTCCCAGTGTGACAATGGAACGTTTGCCAACCGTAAAACTGACCCGAGGGGGGAATAGTCATTATGGCATAGAATTACATTTCAATACATTTACCTTGACGATGTATCATACCACCGTGCAGAATTCTTGCCACAATACATTTATTTTCTTCATTAAGTTTCAAAGTGATGCCCTTTAGGGATTAAATGAAAATATAGGCAATAATACCCGTCATAACTTCACATTACAATAAAAATATAAAATAACTTCAAGTGAAATATTTATTTCAGGTTGGCATATATCATGTTCAGATATCAGCTGGAGGATCATTGAAGACGTAGGAGCAATGGACAGAGCTGCTTTGTCCTGGTATCGGTCATGGGTTCCCACTACTGGGGAGTTCCATAGTAGGGCAACATAGATGTCCAGTGCTCCCACTTCTTCCACAGGTCTCAAGCTGATGACAGTCCATGAGAAATACCAACTTAAGGTCAATATTATCCCCATAAGTCTACAAATTGAGATAGTCATTGTCGAAAAAAGATTGTAGAATAAACCATTGCAAAGTGAGCGCAGTATTTGGATACCCTGTTTCTGTTTATTGACAATCAAACTTATCCACGTTAAAGATGAACTTCATATATGATAAATATACAGATTAATCACCGAATTGTAGCTAATTCGTGCAAACATTTCACACCTACAGAGAGTCAGTTGTGACCTTGATAGCTTTATTGGTAAAGCCTTTAATTTCAGCACTGAGCGACGTGGCCACAAGCTTCAAAGGGAATATCAGTTTCCTGAAGTATACAGATACGCATTGATGATGAATGCCAACCGGTGCAAAACTTAGGCCTAGATTGGCATTAAGCATTTAACCCCAACTTATTATTTTACGATTATTATTTGTCCCTTGAGTTCTTAGTGGAACATAGGGCTTCAGTAGCACGTCACCATTTCACTCCCTTCTCTGCAGTCTTCTCAACCTGGCTCCACGACTCCCCATAACCTCTCGTTTCTTCCTCACACCATCTCCTCCATCTCACCCTCACCTCCGATGCCCAACTCGTCGTTTCCCATTTGGGTTCTACTCGACGGCCTGGCCTCGTCTGGAGCGTGATGTCCCCAAACGGTCTTCCTTCTCAGTGTATGTCTAATGCAATCCATTTCCATTTTCTTCTGCATATTTCTTGTGTGATAGGTTCTTGGTTGGTTAGTTGCCAGCCAGTCAGAGTTCCTTGTTGCTTATTCGTATTATTCCGGTTATCTGATCTTCAGTATCCAGAGTAGGCAGCCGTCGATATCTGTCTGTAGTTTGTTGGAAATGCTTTTCGTAACCCCAACTTTAATAACCAAAAATCTGAACAGAGAAAGACAATGATTATGAGTAAGTCTAAATGGTTTGATTTAATGCCTCAAACCCATAATCCCCAAAGAATTTATAATACCATTTAAGATTCAAAAACCAGGTTATCCTATTAAATCAGAGGTTTACTTCAAATATACACTAAATTACAAATCTGCTAAACACTAAGTCTCCATATTATAACCTCTCATAGGAGGCGCTCATATTGTAGATTAACCATTTCTTATAAACTGAAGCTAAAACTTGATAATCTTCATACGGAAAAGGATGAAAAGATGATTAATTTTGGTCTGACAAGTCTTTGCTCTAGCACACCAACCAACATGGATCCAGAAGCTGTTAGAAATGAGCTTAATATCAATCATGAACCCATTCAGAGAACCGCAGTACCAGTTTTAATGAAATTATTCTAAGAGTATGTTTATATCTGACCTCTATAGTTTTCACATTTCACGATAAAGTATATGAACAAACTGAAGAATTTACAATGCGATCACCGATATCCCCTATTGTTGCAGTCATATTTATGGATAAATTGGAACACGCGACTTTAATTACACCGAAAATCCCACCTCACACAGTATGGTGGGATGACACATTCACTCTGTTGAAATCAGATTATAACCCTAGTTTCTTGATACATATAAACTCAGCAGTAGCTGTAATCCAATTCACTCACAAGTTAGAAGAATAACAAGGGGAATTAGTCATGTTGAATTGCAAGGTTTGACGAAGGAAAGGTGATGCTGTACATACTATTGTTTATAGAAAACCAACACATTGTTACAGATTTTAAAACTTCAGGTGGCGAAATTCAAGACAGTACTGAGCAAAAGATATCGTTAGCACCATGAAAATGATGCATAGGGCTGAAAGAAGACATAGCAAAATTTCGAGATACTATCAGCTTTGTAATATTCCTAACTGTATAACGGAACGGTTTATAGAGACTTATTTACAAACCAAAGATAGTAATAGATGATTAAAAAACCACTGAATCAGTCACTGGTTAAACTCTTACCTCGTTAACTTAAATTTAAAGTGACCTGGGAGTTCCCTTGGCAATTACCAACACATTTGGCTTACAGACAGACAAAAGCAACGTAGAACCTTGAACACAAGTGCATCGGTTCAATTAGCTACCCTTCACAGTAGTATACAAAGAAAAGGTGGAAAGCAAAAGATCGATATCAAAGTAGACAAGGTTGTGTGAGAAAATAAATAATTTGAAGATAAAAGTGAGAGTGAAGATTCAAGCTTTAGAAAACGTCAGAGAGTGAATAAATGCGCTCCATCGTGACCGATTTCCAGACATTTCACCAAGACTCCTCAACCACTGATTCCTTTTGTCTCGGTGACCCCAACGAGATAGTAAAAATCTCCTCATATGGCTCAGATCAAAAGTCAGAGACTTTATAAACTGGCACAAAACTTTGGTCTGGCCAATCTGAACCCTTTTCTAACCTAATCTTACTTTCCGAAGTTTTGGAGGTCAATGCAGTGTGTGCAACACATGTAGAAGCCATCTCAGTCGACTGAGGTTCACAGCATTTTAGGCCACCCTGGCTAGTACGCTTCGCCTGATCTCAACATTGCTCACATGATGATTCCAACAAATGCAAGCAATACTACGAAGACATCTATGATCGAAACGCTGCATCTGATTCATGTCTTACACTTTGAACGGCCATGTCTTACAGCCACGGAACAGGACAGTGAGTACTGTAGTGCAGTATACTCGTCCTTCGATGGATAGTCAAACAACTCACCAGTGGGTAACACAGATCACGCAATTTGGCAAATGTCAAACGGGCCTTTTGTATCCAAGCTAAGATCTCGTCAGCAATCAGACCGTTCGGGCTGATGCAACTCCCCAGGTAAGTGAAAAGGTCGACATATTCCACCACTTCACTCCATATCATTAAACTGGGAATACTTGTAGTGAGCCAGTCCCGAAGCGCTATCTTATATTTCACGACAGGTATGAAACGCATCCCAAACATACTCAGATTTCTGCTCAACGCGTTCAAAAGACCCTGAAATATCCCATCATCATCACTTTGTGGGACAATATCATCTTCATACTCCAAGTGAACCAGATGACTTCTAGGGAGTATGCAGATCAATCCCTGCGAAGTTAGAGGTACCTAAGGTTATGTTCATTACCATGTTTATAACGAAATTAAATAAAAATGGTGACACTAAGCTTCCCTGACTGACACCATTAGTTATCGATTCGCATGACAGTCTTATAAGTCCTACAGAGTTGCGAAAGTTCGAGTGGAGGGCTTTTAGAAAGATAATATACTTCGTCGGTACTTCTTTTACAGTCAAACACTGTCAAAACACCACATGGTCAATAGAATAGAATCCCGCCTACAAGTCAAAAAATATGGCAAGTGTCGACCGCCAATACAACACACTAAATGATCTTTGATTATTGAGTTTTATTGTTATCATTACTGACTAACGCAACCTCGGCTAGTTTACTAGCTCACTAGTTTACTGGCCAGTCCTAAGCCCGGATAAAGAGGGAAGGTCGAACGTAGGCCTAGCAACCCTACCCCGTAAAACCAATTCAATCGCTAAAGAAACTTCAAATCACAGACAAAATGTAAAACACAAAGACAAACTTATTCCTTGCTGGAATCGGGCAGACGAAATGACGCCAGTTGGTGAAGGCCTTCGGGAAGCCAATTGGTCGATATGTCTTCTCTTCTCTCGATGAAAGCGAAAGTAAGAATGAGGACATGGAATGTCCGCATGATGTCTGAACCCAGCAGGGCTGCCCAGATTGCAGAAGAGATGAGAAGATATAGAATAGAAGCGAAGAAACAAAGGAAGAGATGGTCTGACGACTTCAAAAAACTCTTGAATCGACTACCACCACCACTTGCAACTCGTCCAGAAATACCACCAGCAGTCCAGCCACAGAATTACTAGTGAACATAAACCCTCCGACAAAAACAGAAGTGAAGTCCTGAACGCCATAAAGTTGCTGAAATCCGGGAAAGCAGCAGGACCAGATGGAATTCCTCCAGAAGCACTGAAAACATACATAGAGACAACAGCGGATATGCTCACACCACTATTGCAGAAGATTTTCAAGGAAGGGGGGAAAGGTGCCTGCCAATTGGAAGGAAGGCTATCTTGTCAAACTCCCAAACAAGGGCGACATAAGTCTTTACAAGAACTGGCGTGGAATGATGCTCCTGTCCACCCGTAGCAAAATATTGAGATGCATCATCCTGGAGAGACTAAAACATAGGCTGGATTCAAAATTATAGGCTGGCTGGCTTCAGGAAGAACAAATCATGTGTGGATCAAACTGCTACGCTATGCATCATCATAGAATAGAGCATGAACTTTGAAAAGGCCTTCGACAGCGTCGACCGAGAGGTAATTTTGCAGCTGCTTCAACACAAACCTTTATCAACTTCATTCAAAAGCTATATGCTATATGATGATACATGCCAGTTGATTGACAATGATGATGACTTTAAAGTGAAGACAGGGGACAGGAGTAAAATAAGGTTGCTGCTAACTATCACTGATGATCTTCCTTTTTTCGGTCGACTGGACTGGATCATGCAAGAAAATGTGAGGAGCGAGAAGATAGGCATACACTGTTTGACCGATGAGAAGACACTAGAAGATTTAGATTTTACCGATGATGATTTATATCTTATGTCTCATCGCACAAACACGAAGATCTACAGGTAAACCTAACAAGTTGACAGAAGAGGCAGGGCAGTGAAGACGAGACTTCCTTCAGGTGAACGTATAGAAGACAGAGGTGATGAAGGTACCCAACCAACACCACCACCACCACCAACAACAACAACAACACCAATCACCATCAACGGGAGAAATCTAAAGGAAGTTGTCTCTTTCACCTACCTGCCTAGGCAGCATCGTTTCAACTACAGGCGCCACATAGATGGGGATGTTGAAGTCAGGATCGGAAAGACAGCAAAACAGGCCTTCATTAGTCTGAAATGATCAGTGTGGAGATATACTGCACTACACTCAGCATAAAGCCTGAACAACATGCGGATTTTCAACACCAATGTCAAGTAAGTCAGTGCTTCCATGTGATGGTTGAGAAACTTGGTGCGTTACGAAAAGCGTTTCAGATGAATTGCAGACATACATCACATCAACAGCTGCCGAATACTCTTACTCGATACTGACACTGAAGATGAGATCAGATCAGAGTAGATGGTCAGAATAATAAGAATAAGCAACAAGGAACTCTGACTGGCTGGCAACTAACCAACCAAGAACCTATCACACAAGAAATATGCAGAAGAAAATGGAAATGGATTGCATTAGACATACACTGAGAAGGAAGACCGTTTGGGGACATCACGCTCCAGACGAGGCCAGGCCGTCGAGTAGAACCCAAATGGGAAACGACGAGTTGGGCATCGGAGGTGAGGGTGAGATGGAGGAGATGGTGTGAGGAAGAAATGAGAGGTTATGGGGAGTCGTGGAGCCAGGTTGAGAAGACTGCAGAGAAGGGAGTGAAATGGTGACGTGCTACTGAAGCTCCATGTTCTCCTAGGAACCTAAGGGACGAATGGTAAATAAATAAATACTAACGCCGACTATTTTTTTCATGAATATATATAATAGGAGGTTATTTCAATGATTCTAATTTGAATATTTCAGAGCAGAAGAGTCTTCTTGATAGAGTGATAAAGGTCTTAGGTAAAGCTGCTGAAGGTGACGAGATGTACAATACATTAGATGGGCAGTTATAAATGTTTTTGAAGCATTCGTGATGTTTGGTAAAGCAAGAATATCGGTTACACGGTGGTAAGTTGTGTCAGTCGATTTGGTTATAAATCGGTAATGTGTTACGTTTCTCACCTTCCCCTGGGTTGGACTGGATTAAAAGCAGACTGGAGGAAATTGAAGGATTATATGACACCAATTCATGAAGTCACTGATTACCAGGTTGAGACACTGTCACAGAACATACTGCCTCACAGGTACTTCATGAAAACGTTTACTGTTGTTTTCTATATTCTTTCAAATGCATTTAGCATTGCTATCCGAACGATTCTTCATCATTCTATACTGATTGTTATCTTTTCTGAACATTGAACTTTCCTCTAACGCAGAAATAGGAAATTAAGAAAGCATTCACGTGGAAAACGAAGTCAATTGAAAAAAAATTGTTTAGTGTTCAATTTCCGGAAACATTCCAAGGAAATAAAGAAAACAGACATAACATAATGCCTACCATTGGTTCATCTGTATTCTTTTGAAATTGTACTAATCGTACACGAGTTACTTGTGGTTGTTCTGTATCTGACTCCATGTGATCATCTTCATCCCCGTTCAAAAATGATGACAATGGTGGTGGTGTGACACGAATTGCCTCTGGACTATAAACTTCTTGAGCTATCACATCGTATGTTTGAAGTAATGCCTATAAAATACAAAGACTTTATTTTAAAATGTAGTATATAACTCGAAGATTCTGATCAAAGTCTAATGATCATGCTTGCAATGTAACTACTGGGAGGTTAAGTGATAAGGTGCTACGGTCTACAGAGTTGGAAGTCAATTTACGAGGAGCATTGAAATCACGTTTCGACCATCAGTAAGATATATCTATAACCTAAAAGAAACTGATGTGTCTAACTTGCTTGGTGGGGACTAGAAGTGATATCCAAGAAGCACATTTCGTCCTACTTAGGACTCGTCAACCCGATGTGTCTGCACTTTGTTTCAGTGTTCGAAACGACGGGTTCGAAGTGTGAATATTAGTGGGAAGAACACCATTCACTGAGGCGCATATACATCAGGCTAACGAGTCCCAGGTGAGATGAAACGCTCATACTGGATTCCTCTGCTAGTCGCAACCAAGTAAACTATTTCATACACAGTTTACTTAGTAAATACTCCACTACAAATGGAGGGGTCTTTGAAAGCACTGGTAAGCAAGAATGTAGAAACCATGAACGCTTTCCAAAGCTACATTGTATGATGACTTACACTACAACGCAGTACAATTCATGTTTCTTACTCATCTCATTATTCCACGTTCGACATATATGGTGTAAGGGTATATAAAACTAGTCTAGTCGTTAAGTCCCTTCTACTGATGAAATTCCAGGGACGAACGGAGTAGTCAACGTGATCAATCATCTGATTCTTTATTGTCAGGCGAGGCATATATATATATATATATATATATATATATATATATATATATATATATATATATATATATAGGAGCAGTTGCGAGGCTCAAATGGAGCAACAGTAATTACGAAATCAACTTGGTCTCAAATCTTTGTTAACATTTTCCGGATGAGATTTTTCAAATGAAATTATTACCTATATTTTAAGTTGTTATTCATCGAAGACTGACATCAGTCGGAGGAACAAAGGACAAATACTCAACGATGACATTGGGTGGCGGTTTGCGCTATATCGTGAGCTAACAGAAGTTGGAAATATGGAGCATTGCATTCTGACCCAGTGGCTCAATGGTAACGCGCTGGTCGCGGAACCTGAAGGTCGCGGGTTCGATCCCTGCTGGTGGGGTCGTGGGTGCGCACTGCTGAGGAGTCCCATGCTAGGATGAAACAGCTGTCCAGTGCTCCCAGGTTTCCTTTGTTCCTCCAACTGATGTCAGTCTTCGATGAATAACAACTTAAAATATTTCCAAATCTCTACAACCCCCTCAAAATTTATTACCTATATGTTAATTAGGAGAGAATACATGTCCACTGTATGACATATTGATGAATAAATGATGAAGAAAACAAATAGGAAGAGTATTGAATATTGAACAATTTAACGAGAGAAGTAATTTGTTTTAATTTCACAGTTGAACAAATTTCAATGATGACTAGCCATTCAATGGAGAACTAGAATTTTCTTAAGTTGAATATCAAACATTGTGAAATAAAGAAATAAGTATTGGATACAACTGTGGCTCATTGGTTAATGGAGATAAATTTCAACCAGATGGGTTGCGAGTTCGAACCCCGCTTCAACTACCGAGGTTTAAGCAGTAAGGTAGTATCATTCATCCTCACATACCAGGTGTGCTTCATTACTTACTAAAGGATGTACACATGGTGGCCGGGTGTATTTCGATTTGATTAGACGAAAATCTTTATTTCAGGGGTATCTTGTGAACTGATTACAAAACAGAATGTAAAAACATATGGTTTTATTCATTCACTGAGAGAGAATATAACATCGGTCAGCAGTTAAGAGAGACAGCAATAGTCATAGTGCAGTAGTAGATCATAACAGTAAATCAAAGGAGGTTATAAATGGTAACCGACTAGCCTAATTAAATACATAATGAAAGATGTATCAATAGTAGCTTCTATGCTGCCAGACTGAGATTGATATTCACCAGTCACCGTCTGATTCGTCAATGAGTGAAAGATAGGCTTCCACTTATGTCCACATCTATGTGTATCTACAAGTTAACATCCTCCTGTGGAGCTGACTGTATTGGACGTTGTAAGCGTGCCCTCCGAAAATGTGTTGCTGAACATTACACGGTTTGGCTTACCGAAGGCAACCAAAGGAAAACGACTTCATCCATTTGTGGACACCTTGTTGAATTAGGTCATTCAGCACCTCGACATTCGTCTTTTAAAATAATTTACAGAGTTAAATTGAACTACTCCAAAGGTTTACGTTTCTACCACTTATGCACAGCTGAAGCATTACCACCCATTATTGTTATTATTATTAGTCCCTTGGGTTCCTAGTGGAACATAGGGCTCCAGTAGCACATCTCCAGTGGCCTCTGTTCTCTGAGATCTTTTGAACCTAGTTCCACGACAGCCCAGAAGCTCTCATTTCCTCCTCGCACGACCTCCTCCATGTCACCCTCAGACACCCTCGCCCAACTCGTCGCTTCCCATGGGGATTCCACTCGAGGGCCTGGCCTGATGCGTGATGTCCAGAGTCGGCCTTCTCAGTGTATGCCCAATCCATCTCAGCTCTGTTCTGCATATTTGTTGAGCGATAGCTTCTTGCTTCGTTGGTTCGTTGCCGGCCAGCCAGAGTACCTTGTTGTTTATTCTCATTATTCTGGCCATCTGATCTTCAGTAACGAGTCAGCGTAGGCAGTTGTTGATGAATGTCTGTAGTTTATTGGAAATCCCTTTCGTGACGCGCCAAGTTTCTGAACCATCACACAGAAGCACTGACTTGACTGATGTTGGTGTTGAAAATCCGGATCTTGTTCCGCATGCTGAGTGGAGTGCAGAAGATCTCCACACTGGTTTCAGGCTAATGAAGGCCTGTCTTGCTTTTCCGATTCTAACTTTGACATCCTCGTCTGTGCCTGTGGCACCTGTAGTTGAAACAGTGCTTCCACCCATACATGAACAAAAACCGAAACTTTGCACTCAAAAACATTTTGTGAAACCACTTTGTCTACCTTAGCCTTAGCAATTCATTTTGCTGATTTTGTCAATTTCATTTCACTTCACTTAGGTATACTTCTCTTCTATTATCCTCATTATCCCCAATTTTCACTTCAATGACAACATTTGACCCATATTTCACTATTTCATATCAATTCATCCCTTATTCATTGACCTGTTTTGCATGTTTCAGCTAAATTATCACCGTTTTACGATTCTTTGACAATATGTGTCTCTTATCTATTCGTTCGTTATTCAGTGACCCATTTCTGTTACTTCCACTTGAACAAATACCACCACCTACCTTTATTCTATATTTTGCATATTGACTGAACAACTTTTTAGTGCAATTACCTGTCACTTAACCGAGTATAAATAAGACTGTACAGCGTGATAATGAAGTCGTTGAAAAGAAATATTTCTTCGTTGATACATTTCTTGTTCTTGTTAATGAATAAATGGGTATATTTCGTCAGTTGAAAGTGTATATAGTCCTAATTTCCTGTCCTTCTGAGTGTCCCATATATCTGGGACAGGTGCAGAATCATTTCGATTACATGTATTTGGTATAGATTCGATAAACAAAGATTCGGTAATCACTCTCCCTCACTACACCCAACTAAGTTTTTAACGCTGACACTCTATACCACCCTACTGTGTGACTGTGTGTGTGTGTGTGTGTGTAATTGTGTGCAGAGCTATAGCCGATCATTTTTCTAAATTTCATATCTTATTAAAATCTACTAATCTTGATTTAACTAAGTTTTTATGCTCTGTTATTCTGATCACCTCTGGTCGACTACTTTGGCCTATGTAATTAATTTCGCGTTCAATGCAAGGGATTTGGTCAGTCAAATTATTTTTCTTAATTGCATCAATAGGATCTTTTAACCTACAAAGCTTATTTCTAATCGAGTTTGTTGGCTTAATGCCACTTTAATCTATTATTACTACCTACTGCGTCATTAGATTAAGCATACATATATTCCACTACTGTGTGATGAACTATACTGCATATAAACAGGTATGAGCAGTCAGGCAGGAGTATTATTAGCCACCTTCCAATATCTATACAGAAATGGTTCAATGCCACTCCACTTGCTTCGGTCTTGACAACTGGGTAGTAACAGATAATTATTTGATATTCTCCAAGCTTTGAGGTTTAATCTCCCATGTTTTGCCATTAGGTTAGGTGACTACATCAGCACTGACTTCATATAAAGACTTCCACATTAGGTAACTGCTGATGAAGTCATGGTGATGAAACATCTAAGAACACAGCCTAGTACATTTATATGTGACCGGGTTGATTTGTATTAAATTTTAATTGATTTAATACAATAGTTAGAAGTCATAATCTAGACCAAGTCGAATAATGTTCTTAGTTGAATTATTTCGTCGTTGATTGGACCGAATTCGATCGGTCTTCATTGGCGAATGAGCTCCCATGGGAATGTCTTGCTATTACCTGTGTTTCAGTTTTATATATATATATATATATATATATATATATATATATATATATAATATATATATATAAATGATGGATAACGGCTAGCAGTGGAATCTAGGATGCGCGTTTCGTCCTGGTTGGGACTTGTCAGCTGGGTGTACCTACCTCCCAGTGAGCAATGTTGCTCCCACTAAGTTTCATAACCATTATATTAGTACACAACTGCTTGTGTTCTACATTTAAAAAGCTGGGGTCACAACATTTAATTTAGACTTCATAAGAAATCATGCCTACATATAACTGATCTACTACTTAAGAGACATCCAAGTAGGTGTAAACTACACAAAAATTCAGGAACACCTTTCGAAAGATGTTAAGTCGTGGTTTATACGTATCTTGAAATGATTTTTTATCATGTAAACATTGTAAAAAAGAAAATTGAGAACTTACTCGAAAGTGAGGTTGTTTCATATAGAATCTTAATTCATTAACTGTTGATACCATTTCTGTTTTATTCAGTAAAGATAATTCTGCCAAAACCTTGTTGAAAAAAGACAAATGAGGTGGGAACCTTAATCAGATACAAAGAGAAGAGCCACTGGGGAAACGATAAAGATGAATTAAGAAGCGGTGTAAATGATAGAGTTATCCAATGTTTGCCACACTGTTGTGCAGAAGACAACTTCGAGAATACTGTAAAGAACCAAATCAATGATTTACAGTCATCTAATCTGACTAGTAAACCGATCAATATTTGCATATTCTTGATAAACAAAAATAGTTTACCATGCTTTTATTCCTCGAAATTATTGATCGAATAATTTATTTCACTTATTAGCGATACATAAAATGGAAGCGATTTCATTCATCACCATGAAAAGTATGGTACTAAATTGAAGGTGAAATATTATTACGGGATGACCTTGGGCCGACCAATCAGAGGCGTGGGAAAATTAGGCTAATTTTCTTCCGGTACATATGCTTTTCAAACAAAATTTTAGTAAATTAAAACTAATAATATTGTTACATTTTTAAGAATTTGTATTTACATTAGAAACGAACAAAACAGTCATCTGGAGTTTAGATCCCTCGGGACTGGTTAATGAAATCTACAGATCAGTCTAAATGGTTCCCAACCACTCATTTTGTTCAGTTATCTAATTATGGACAGTTTTTTGTATCAGAGATTACACCTTGTGGTGTTGGTTGACAGGTGGTTTTCAATAAAGACCCTGTTGGCACTACAGTTGGGCAGTTGAAAAATTAATCAGCTATGAGAAATGACAATGTGGACCGCACAGGTTGTATATAATGAGTAAAAATTATTTATCTTAAAATGGAATTGATTTCATCAACATAAGGAGTATGCAACTGTACCGAAAGAAAACTATTCTCATGAGTCAATCAGTCTTTGAGATGTAGAAATATTGTATTGATTTTTTTTCAATAAACATAATTTCGATAAAAAGTTCCAGTCTAGTGGTAATCTAATTTATTCAAAAAAACATATGAGCATAAATCACACATACGACGTAAGCATATTGTTGGGTAGAATCATATAACCGTGTCATCATTGAAGTCATCGACTGGAAAGTGATTTAAAACTCTTGTGGTTTTAATGTGATAGGCTAAAGTAATCCAGAATTTTGGTATGTATTTGACTATTGAGGTGGAATATAAAAATTGCAGTTAAAGTTTAGTACTTACAGTTAATCATTATATGGAATAAGATTCATAAATTACAGTTTGATAGCTTAAACCGGTAGTCCGCTGTTTGAGTTAGCAAACGTTCAACCAAGGGACGTTTTTATGATAAAAGCTAAACATACTGACCAAAGTTACTGTATTCTAATTAGTTATGACCTTAAAAAAATCTACTAACTTTAGAGTGATAGCTTCCGCATGCTTACGAATCTCGTGATCCTTTTCAAAAGCGTTTTAAACCTTTGGTGGAAACATGTTTCGGATCTTATGCCTAACATATGTAAAAACTCACTTCAAGCACCGAGTCCATGTTCCAAATAAGAAGCTGATATGCTAGGGGATAGGATACAAGATGGTCAAAGGGTTCTATAACCTCTTGTACGAAGAAAGACTGAATGGATTAGGTTTTATTCTACCTTTTTTACCGTAAGATAACAGATATTATTTTGAAGTAATAAATCTTGAATAATGATTTATGCTCTCTCTCACCTTATCTATTCCTATCCTCCTCATAATAAAAACGTTCACAGACCACAGTGAAAACGTTTACATCTGGAAATACTTTTTTCGTACAGATTCGTGAAAGACTGAAACTCTCTACTGGTGAAAATAATCACTCCATCCTTTGTTGATACTTTCAAACTGAGATTACATCCATAATAGGCGATGAATGAAGGTGAAATGAAAATTTGGATCGCTGACGAATTCAAACTAGTGACTATTGGGTTTCCGGCCCAATGCTCTACCAACTGACCTACGAGTTTCGAATGCTGACCACGGTTTTATTTCACTTCAATCACCAAGGATTTTGCCTGACTGCCATGTGAATTGGTGAAGCATTACTACCACTTGATCGTATTCACACTAGCCGCCTAGTCAGGACTTCTCATCCCAATCCAAATGTAATTGAATAAGGGAGGGAGAGCATCATATTGATTGTCATTTTAACGATCTGAAATAGCCATGGCTTGGCATCTCCAGAGCACTACCACTAACAAGGATTAATATAGGTCACTGACTTACTATGCTTAATCGTGGGAACTGAAGAGAAAGCTGAGAGTGATCGGACCAAAAAATGTAACTAATCTATGACGTTACGACTGTTTACCCAAGTTGTCTAGCAAAATGTAGACTGCCTAGTTGGAATCTTTGAAAATGTTAGGTATCAGTGATTGTATACTTCTCATCTCATGGATGAAGATTAACCATAGTTCTGTACATGTATTCATTTTGTTTCAAGTTTAAAATTTCTAGCACTTGATTATCATTTTTCCAAATACATATTTTCTTTTCAACCAATCCTTCACTGACTTTTGTGCACAGTTCTAGTTGTCTAGGATTCGAACTAAGTAGCAATTTTTTTACCGTTTAACTGTTGCGCAAGGTTAAAGAAAGAAACATAATCCATTCAATGACATTTTAAAGAAAAGACTACCTATAGTTGTAATGATACTTGTGATTTCTCGTTGCTACATAAGGCCGAATTGCTCGACCTCGGTTAGCAAATCGGCTCCTTTGCAAATGCCTCGATACTGCCAGATATTCATGATGTTATATTGATCTTAGTGACTAGCAGAGAAATCAACGATGCGCATCCCGTCTTATTTGCAACTCGTCAGCTGGGTGTGCCTGCACCTCGGTAAGTGATGTTTTTCCCATCGAGGCTGGAACTCAGTACTCTTTGCTTCAAACGCCAACGCTCCGGTGTTTGAAAAGAAGGGTACTGAGTTCCAGTCTCGATGAGAACAACATCACTAACTAGGGTGCAGGTACATCCAGGTTACGTAATTATTTGTGACTAAAGAGTGGGGGTGGTTTATGAACTACAGCTGAGACTGTAACCAACCTGAATCCAGCTAGCGCATTTCGTCCTATTTAGGACTTGTAAACTGAATTTATTTGCACTTCACTGGGCAATGTCTTTCCTATTGAAACTCTAAGTTAGTACCCATCAATTCAAATGCCAAAGCGTTATCCATTAGAACCTTAGCTAAGACTGTTGTCTACAGATTGGATGGTGTAAACTACGCCTTAGCCATAATCTTAATAGGTAATTTATTCAGACTGTTGACCTTAGGAGAAAAGAATTCACAGAATGTCACAGATTTAATAAACTATATATGTATAATGTAATGGAAACTGTTATTGATTGGGAAACAATGTAGACGGAAAACAACTGATTGACATCCAAATTTTAGGATTTCACTTACTTTAGTCAATAATAATATCTACTAATCAATATTAGATCAGGACAACTTGTAGAATGAAATGATTATACAGTCATCAAAGCAATAAATACTGACGTTATTTAAATTATAAGGATAAAACTTTCTTGCAATAGCTGTATATTGTGAATTATATGAATATATATGTACCATTTATGCCTCTAATTTTATCTACTTTTTTTTTACACTAATAACATTGATAATTACAAGCTATTATTTCGATTCTGATTGGTTTATTTAGTAGTATGATCAGATGGCATTGGTTTTCAAGGTCACATGGATTGACTTATGTCATCAATCGAACAAAATGCTTCCATTCCATTCTCCAGAGAGAGAGAGAGAAAAAAAATAACACAGTGGCAAATAATATAAACAGAAGACAATAATGCAGAATGTTAATTCAACTCTATGTATTATACTAATTTTATATAGTCCCGCTGAAATAACCCTTAAAATTGAAATAACTGAATATTTTTATATGCATTTATATATTCAAGTGGTGTTACGTTACGTTAACTTACTTAGTCAACAGAAAAGGAGATAAAGCCATTTTTCTAATAGTCTTAAAGTTGATTATGACAAAGTAATAATATCCATGCAAAACTACTGGAAATTACTTCGTTTTTATTATTAGTTTTTTAGTGCCAAACTATCCTATGTTTATGCTGAAATAAGAAACACTTAAACAAAAAATAATCTACATCAAATGGCTATTTGATGGATACATTTGCACAACTGACATCGATTTTGAACCATATCATCATTTATGATTTCCCAACCATCTGTCTCAGCTGTATGTGTATCCTAACCAAAAAGTCTGAATTTCCACTAAACGGCTTAAACTGGAAGTCAAAGAGTCCAGCGATTAGCACCACATTTTGGTCTGGTAACTTATAGTCTTGTTGAATAATAAACCTAATCTGTCCAATACTGTACTTCAGGATAGACGGCAACTGGGAAAGTATATCACAAGTCCCAGTCACTTGAGTTAATCAAGGTTAGAAACTTCAACAACTAGCCTACCGCTTTCCCTTAAGACTCTACTCTTGACTATCTATTTCATGACATGATGATTCTACGATATATGATCAATGCTATGAAAATACTGATGGTCAAACACCTCACACCTCACTTTTTCTAAGACATGACAGTAATATCAACCGCAATGAGAACAAAAAGTCATAGCTAACAGAGAGATGTAACCATATTGTATTAGTTACCTACTCATCTTTGCATAATTCTTGATTAATAGTCACATATTACCTTTGTTATACAAGTGTTACCTTATTTCACTGCAGAAAAAGGGACTAACATTTATACTGGGCGGTGATCCAAGGTGAATTGAAAATCCGGACCTCAAACAATCGGCCTAGTCAGACAAAACTCTTAGTGATTGAAGCGAAGTTAACATCTGGTCAGCAGTCAGGTCTGGTAGCTCACTCTACTTCGAAACCTGTCGTAGCCAAGATTTTCATTTAACCTCGAACCACCATCTTATCTGCCAAACTACGGCTACCTTAGATAGTCAAACTGCGAATAATATTTAAACAATGAGTTGACTAGTCGTTTTATGTTCTGATATCTGTTCGATTGAATACTTAAAACAGTCACCATTGTAGTCCAGTTAGTCACTAACTGGTGATCAGTCAACTAGACGCTAAAACATAATCACATACCCAAAATAACAACGATAATAAAAAATTCCCTTTGATAACCAATCCCCATTGAAGGTGACGAGTGGCTTTAAAGACCACCTCAGCAACGAATGAATCAGTCAATTAGGCTATGTTATCTTTATCTGGAAAAGCCGTTTTTCTCCATGATATACAAAAGGCTTAATCGATTATCTTAGTAGTTGCTAGAGTGAATTTTAAAGTCAGTCAATAAGATATGACATATCTAACACTTTGTTAAATAAGGTGATAAGTGTTAAGTTAAGCCTCAGTCAGGACATCAAAACACATTAGAGTTTAGGTAAGAAAGACCATCTGACAAGATCTTGACTCTACAACACATAGGTAACATTTTATAAGCATATAGATGTCCTATATTTACTAAAAGAACATACCTCAGACCATTTTTCCGTTGCATCAGCAGGAACACGAAAATCACTACCAGGTGAATGTGTATTAATATGATCATAGAGCTGTAAAAATAAAGGTGTGAACAATAGAAGTTATATTAAAACTTAAACATTGTTTGCTGAACTACACAAAAGATATTAGTGTAGATCTTCATGATAACATTTCAAATACTTTTAAACAAAAGATATATCTCATCAACTCTGTATTTTACACTTTTATTATGAAAGTTAATAAAAAGACTATTACCACATCTTAGTTGTATTGTGTTCTCTGAGTTGCGTTGTTCAATCATGGAGATTTCATCGTCTTTCTAGATGACATATTCAGCACTAACTTCAGTATGAAGTCATACTGTAGTGGGCGTTGCTGATAAGGATAGATATAAGTAGTATTCACTTGGATCCTGACAGCGACACCAGTTGAAAGAAGCAAGAAGATAGGTATGCAGGAAGGAATGTTTGTTGTCAACCAGTGAGACAGTGGTCATCAAATTTAGTACACATTGCACTAGAACCATCATTTCTTATTCTGCTTCTTCCTTGATTTGCTCTTCATACGCCTGCCTTGTCTCTTGCGTTTCTCCTGACGGAATCCTTACCCATTGGTGGTGATTCCCTATGATTCCTGCCACCCTCTCAACATATACTACTTATATCCATTCTTATCTGCAACGCCCACTACAGGATGACTTCAGATAGTCAAACTAAGTATGACTTCATACTGAAGATAATGCTGAAGATGTCGTTCAGAAAAACAATTAAAGCTCCATGACTAAACAACCCAGCTCAGAGAACACAATATAACTGAGACCAGCCACCTGAGCTACAAATACTCTCCATCATTTCACTATCACCGCATAGATGCTGACTTCCGTAGATAGGATGAGTTTCGTACCGGTAAGTTCAATGGTTAAAGGTTAACAGATTGTGTTAATGGATCACAGTTATATGGATGTATTTTCAGACGAATGAAATTCACATCATGTAATAAGTTCTAACCACCTTTACAGTTTTTTAGAAGGGAACTGAAATGAGAAAACACGGAAAATTGTATTCCAATAGACTAGACGACACACTTTGAATGATCTTTGTTAATCACTTTTTTCCCGATGTTGCTAAGTAACAGTATTTATAAGTCTATTTTTGATTCATTATTCAATGTCTTGTCACTTATCATTCAGAAGTAATAGTCTGTCAATTATAAGTATCATGGAGCTGTGGGTCATCGGCTTTGACACTCGACTTCTGATTGACTGGTTACCAGTTTGAAAGCAGCTCCACCTTGTAAGGTCTTGACAAAACAATAGGTGAGTAGATTTCGACTATTGTTTGAATTACAAACGTTACTCAACTTTCTAGCAAAACTATTTCAATTATGCATTTAGCTTAACATTTGTCATTTGTTGTATGTTTGTTAAGTCATGATACAACTTGAGTTTTCTGTATCCCCGACACTAAACCACCAGTTGATTTCACTTCATAACTATTCATCCTTCCATGGTGACCAATTAATATAAAGACTTCAGTTTTTTTGTTCAAAAACACCATCACAGACCATTAACACCTACAGTACAAGATCTGGTTATTAATTTACAAATTCTCTTTCGAGAGTTGTATAAATGAACAATGAATTATACTTCTCAAAGGAGACAATTAAAAAAACAGAACAACTTAAAATCTACAATTCGTTTAAACTGTCATATCTTGGGACAACACAATACAATCATTTGCAAACAAACAAGAGAAAAGATAATATCAACAGTTGATTTGAGTGTACCAAAATAATAGGAAGCGGCCTAAATGGGAATCAACATTTTCAATCATCAGGTTGTAAGGTAGGATATTTTGCATTTTAATTTCATGTAGTTTTGTGGTCAGGGAAAATCTTATTGGACAGTTTTATCTTACAGTTAACCAATCAGAAAAAGTTATTGAACTTTTGACCTGGTTATTTTATATGTTCATGAGAACTGTATATAAATGATGTATTTTTGTGCAACAAAATATCTTCCTTACAGTTATAAACCAGTTTTGTCTTCTGATATTTTTGTGACTTGGTGAAGTTGCTACTTCTATTCAGTCCAAGTGTCTCATTGCCTCAGTATTGTTCGTGTATTATTAACTTGGCCACTTTATAAAGTCTCTGTTCGACCTTCGTTTTTAAAATGAATTCAAACAAATTCACAATAAGGAGGAGTAAGGAGAATTACTGACCAAGTGAAACCGTAAATCTGGCGACTAGTTCTCAATCGATATATCCTGTTCACGATGAATATCAGTTATTAGGGAACATTTTAAGACAGAACCATCATCATCATCATTATCAACATAGGACCAGGCATTACTGCTTAATGGTCCGAGTTGCCACACCTCACGTCAGTTCACCAAGTAGAAAGGTAGTGAGGTAAAGGATGAAGATAAGTGAATGCAGTGAAAAGAAATATAAATTACGAGAAGAAAGAAAGGACAAAATGGTGAGAATCCGTATGGTGTTAAGATGACGATAATGTGTGTATACATCTGTGCCACTAACATCGGTTCTGAGCCATATCACCTAGAGTCTCCAACCACTGGTTCCTCTTGTCCCACCGACCCCAACCACCTAGTCTGCATCGTCCTACATGGCTTAAACCAACAGTCAGAGACTTCATACATTGGTGCCATGTTTTAGTCTGGCCACCTCAAGCCTTTTTCCAGCCTGGACCCACCTCAGCCAACATTGTTTGACGAGGCAATCGGTGACTAGGCATACGTAGTACGTGTCCCAACCATCTCAGTCGATGAAGGTTCATAACCTCGTCAACTGACTTACCTCTTCTCCCTAAAACTCTACACCTGACTTCTGCATTACTCACATGGTGACACCACGGAATACGGCCTATACTACGAAGGCAACGGTGGTCAAACACCTGAAGCCTTTTTATATCTTCCGCTTTCAATGGCCATGTTTCACAGCCATACAGTAGAACAGATCAGACTGCTGTGCAGTACACGCGACCCTTAATAGACAAACGAATATCACGGCGGCGCCATAGGTGGCGCAAATTGGCAAAAGCCAATCGAGCCTTTTGTATCCGTGCAGAAATCTCATCGGCAACTAACCCACCAGGGTTGATCCTACTTCCCAGGTAAGTGAAATGGTCAACACACTCAACCGCTTCACTCTCTATTGTTAGCCGCGGTACCGCTGAAGACCAGTCCTGGAGCAAAACCGTATAAAAGAATTGTTAACCAGGTGAACAAATCAAGGTATCGTTAACATCTATGATGGAACACTGTTAGCGTTTCAATGCAATACATGACATTTAATTCCTTAGCTAGATAACTGGAATTAGAAGCAATTGAGCTCTGAATAAAGGTTTCGGTCATATTACGACTTGTCAATAGAACCCTACACGCTTATAACTGCTTAAGATTTCCAATCTATTTGGTTGATAACACCCTTAGTCTTAGATTTTACTTTAACCAAAAGTGAAAGACCCATTTCAGTCAATTTCACACACTTGACATTGAATACAATAGACCGCCACTTAGAATAAGAAAAATGGAAGGTGATTACTCTATACAAGAAGTTTGAGTATTGTATAATATGTTCACTCGAAGTTAGATAGGAACGCATGAAACTGCAATCAATATCCTTCAGGTCATCATTTTATGCTTTGCTTCTTTTTTTCTCTACTGAATCGATTGGGGAGAGAGAGAGAGAAAGAGAGAAAGTCGATGTATTTATAATAAATACTATTGGCAGTTCAGCTAACCACTTATACCTGATTGTAGCCTAAAGGCTACATATTGGATAGTGAGTATATAAACCTTTAATTAGTTTCGATAATAAAAACAAATTTGAAAGATGAGTCATAGATATGTAGGTTAAAACAAATTCAACTCGAAGAAATACAAGATATCAGTTTGACTACTATCTGAGATAGTCATGGTTTGATAAACTTAATATTATTGATACTGGATGATGATTTATGTCATAGAAGAACTCGAACTAGCGACCATCAATCCAATGCTTTATCAAGTGACCTACAAAATCAAACTGTTGGTTAGATTTCTATTTTGTTTTAATCATTAAGAGTTTTACCCATACTGTTATATGTAAATTCATGATAATTTTCTGCTGCTTGATTGTATTCATAATAGCTGTTCAGAAGAGATAATTAAGAATGTGAATAACAAAAGACAACACGAATAACCTAGACTCCTTTAATCAACTGATTGAAACTAGGTTATGTAAATGTTCAAGTTAGCAAGTTAGTGATAAACAAGTGACATGAAATCTAATCATTAATATTTTCAAATTTATTTAGTTCGTGATACCACCCAACAACTAGTAATGAGAAGCATCCGTTAACAGGTAGAATCTTCTAATATGACGGTAGAACATTTGCATTATAAATCCTAGAGATGATATCCAGGCAGGTTGATTTGACATTTTCAAAGTTAAAAATAACACTGATCGAAATTATCAAGAGTATCTAAAAAGTTGTTTGTTACGTAACCTAATCAATTTTGACTACACTATAGAATTATTCTTTGGATATTTCAAACTCTGAAAAGACAGTGTTGTATCCCTACACTCAAGATGAATGATAGTAATAACCAATCGATAGTGAGTGACCTTGACTTCAACACCTACACATTTCAGGTTTTATACATTTTCTGTGCAGTTTGCTAAATACATAGTTATTCATTATGAGCTATAAGGATTACACTTGTTTCCTCTCTAAGTTGCCTAGTGTAACGCCAAGCTGAAATCCGTGCAGTCTGAGGAAACTTGAGTGCTGACAGAGTTATGAGGGTGGTTGACACTTCCCGGCTGCCCACACCAAGGAAGGCTATTTCTTCTTAAAGTACCTGAAAGAGATTTGTGTGACCGTAGAACCCATCGGACATCTGCTTGAGGCCCGTCACACGCTGTCTTTTGAGTATGATTATTTTGAACTTTTGTATTTTTGGGATGGTCGAAAGGAAACGACAAATAAACTAACATCACCGGCCCGGCAGACCGTGGGGCATGGTGGAGTGTCTTATTTTTGGGTCCGACCTTTCTAATCCCTCCCTTCCATTCAGAAGGCAGCATCAGCATATCACTGCTGGTCACACCCCATCCAGCTAGCAGCAGTACGACTTCGCCCTCATACCCCCATCATAGTGTAGCAATTTAGACCACAACGGTAACTGCTTTTCATTTAACCACTATCCAACATACTTTTCTAGTATGGTAGGACCTCGAGGGAACAAGCGTTCCATCAGCATAGCTCGTTGGGTCATTGTGATATGCAAGCCCGACCACCACGTCAAGGTAGCAGCTATCGGTCGGGATCCGCGTATATCAACGCAGAGCAATGATAGTAGGGAAAACTTATGATAAAACTTCAGAGGTCACTCTAAGAACCGCTGAAATAACCAAATAGGGGTATTTATTTCAGTTGAAAAGATAATTTTTTTGTAAAATAACGAAAACTAATTTGATTATTTTAGTAATTGCTACACTGAGATTGAAAGCCACTTGAGAATCAATGAACTTAAGACCAGTAACCATGGGTTCATAAAAATTGTTGAATCAAGACCTGAGATCATGGAATACAACAATCAACTTAAGTTGGATAATAGCAATGTGAGATTTGGCTTAAATGTACAACAATCTTATCTACCAGAACTCACATCAAGAAATAAAAATAGAAACTAGCAAAACCAAAGATAAAAAACAGACTCAAGTAATGTACTCAAAAGTCGCAGAAAAGCAGAAAAGTGAAGCAAAAGGATTTGAATAAATCGAGAATAGTGACTTGACGATGCAGACGCGGCATAGGTGCATCTGCTTCATGGAGATTGTTTCTGTACCATATTTATCTAAAGTTTCTGAACATCAACTACGGTTTTCATCTAGACTCTAGAAACACGAAGATAAAATTTATGCTTCAGTGTGTTGACCTTAAACTGTTCGGCACCGTGGATCTACATTGGCTAACATTGTATGTCGGATTAGACTATATGCAGCACACATTTCACCAGACCTAGTCAATGTAGGTCTAAAATCCAGTCAACTAACTTTCCTCTCCGCCCTAAAACTCTACGCCTTACTTCTACGTTACTGACATGTTGGTTTCTTGACACATGGCCTATGCTACAAGGGCAACAGTGATCGAATACTTCAAGTCTCTGCATATCCTGTACCTTCGAAAGTTATGTCTCACAGCCACAAAATAGGACAGAGCGAACTGCTGTGGGATAAACTTGACTCTTAATAGGATATCGGATACTATATCGGTGCAGCAGATGGCGTGAGTTGATGAAAGCTAGACAGAATTTTTGCATCTGTGGAGAGATTTCACCGATCACAGACAGACTAGGATTGATCCACCTCCTCAAATAAGTGAAGTGGTCAAAGCGCTCAACTACATCACTCCCAACTGTTAGAGTGGTGACAAATCCTGTAGTAACACGTTAACATTGGCAAATTATGAAATGCATACCAAACATTCTCACACTGTTAATCAATCTGTTCACAAAACTTTGCATCATATCAACTTCCTCACTTAACAAGATTATGATATCTGCATACTGTAAGTCTGCGAATGAGTCTCTTGTGACATAGTAGATCCCTGTAAACTTGTCTACGCTAAAATAAATGGAACCGAAAACAATGAATCAACATAAGAAACATCAGTCAATGTACACAGCTAGTATTGGCCTATTCTTTGTTCTCTGCATTTACTTTGTATATGCTACATGACTATTTAATTGGCTTAAATCACTTCTAAAGAAGGTTTGTCTTAGCAGGCAAAAATTAGACAATTTACACTCTTAAAAAGTCAAAAACATACACAACCTATCAGTGTAATTCAAAAGTTTAGGGATTTTTTTCTACAAAGCGATATGCTTTGTAAAACTTGGTGACATCAATTAAGAGTCATTCCTCCTAGAAAATCCTCTGAAAACTTTAACTTATCAGTAAGAATCTAAATAGAACTTATGTTGTGCATACATCATAACTCTGATGTAAAGCGTGCAATGATATTATCGCTTCTTTTTGTCCAACATTTAAGTGTTTGGAAAGAAGAGAATTTGAAAGCCTAAGCCTAAGCCGTTAACGTCATTAGTATTGCATTAAAAAAGCTATCATATTTTAAATAGCACATCCTCTAATCACTTTTATGATGAACACGTTACCTTTTACTACTTTCAAGTAAGCATGTTTCATTTCTGCTGTTGGTAAACTCGGTAACAAAATTGTTGACAAATTAACAACTGTTATGATTTATGTATTGGTTGGAAACATAACTGTACAGTTGGTATAGGAGTTGAATGTAATGGCTTGCCATTACTTAAAATTATAGCCTATCTTCAAAAGGGTGTAATATATCCATTACTTGAAACAATATTGTGATGCTAAGTGCTTAATGTTATATGTTAAGCATCAACCGATAGAGATCCCTAAATTTACTCTCTTTATTCATCGAGTATGGTGTCTTTGAAGTGAAGATAGGAGTAGGACAAGGTTACCGCCTACTAGAACTGATGATCTTCCTGTTTTCGGTCGACTGGACTGGATCATGCAACAAACTGTGAATAGCAAGAAGATGGGCATACGCTGTTTAACCGGTGAAAAGACCCTAGAAGATTTGGATTTCACCGATGATTTGTGCTTAATATCTCATGTCCCACAAACTCGAAGAGCTACAGGCCAAAACTAACAACTTCGTAGAAGAGGCAGCGAAGATGGGACTTCAGGTGAACGTATAGAAGACAGAAGTGATGAAGATATCCAACCAACAACAACAATAACAACAAGCACCAGTCACCATCAATCGGAGAAACTTTAAGGAAGTTGTCTCTTCCACCTGCCACCTAGGCTGCATCGTTTCAAATACAGGCGGCGGTGGCACATATGAGGATGTCAAAACCACGGTCGGAAAGACAGCAAGACAGGTCTTCATTAATCTGAAATCAGTGTAGAGACCTACTGCACTGCATTCCACTCAGCATAAGGCGTAAAAAAGATCCGGATTTTCAAAACTTATGTCAAGTAAGTCACTGTTTCCGTCTGATGGTTGAAAGATTTGGTACATTACGAAAAGTATTTCCGACAAATTACAGACATACATCACATCAACAGCTGCCGAATACTCTTACTCGATACTGACACTGAAGATCAGATGGTCAGAATAATAAGAATAAGCAACAAGGAAATCTGACTGGCAACGAACTAACCAAGAACCTATCACACAAGAAATATGTAGAAGAAAGTGGAGATGGATTGCATTAGACATACACTGAGAAGGAAGACCATTTGGGGACATCATGCAACAGGCCAGGCCAGGCCCTCTAGTGGTATCCATATAAGAAACGACGAATTGGGCATCTGAGTCAAGGTTGACATGGAGAAGACGATGTGAGGAAGAAATGAAAGCTTCTGGGCAGTCGTGGGGCATTAGTGAAGAGATTGAAATGGCGACATGCTACTGAAGCCCTATGTTTCACCAGGAACCCAAGCGACAAATAATAAATATAATAATTCATCGAGTATGTTACCTGTAATCTTGGCGATTATTGAATACCTACCATTCCACTGGCAGACAGTCAAAAACTAATTTTTAGGCAGACAAAGGTTAAACAGTATCTAGCAAACTTGACACTGGCAATGCTGGTGACAGTAATGAGAAAAATGTAAAAGTCTACATAAATTCATTTCAAAAAACAGAGGGCACTGAAAATATTGGTCCCCAATCGAAAGAGTATAGCTGATTAAATTGATAAAACCAACGTAGAACCTCGCGCTTCGGTGCATCGGCTCAAGTTACCATGTATCGCAGTAAAACAGGCGGGGAGAAAAAGTGATATCAAAGAAGATGAAGTAGTATGGGAGAACAAACAATCTGAAGACAAAGGTTCTGAAAAATATTCAAGCTTTAGATGTCAATGAATGAGCACATCTATGTCTATGTAAGCAGTTTCAAACCATTTCACCAAGAATTCCCAACCACTGATTCCTTCCGGCTCAACAACCACAAGTGGACAGTCTACATCTCCTCCACACTGGTCTCAAGTCTTGGTCTAGCCATCACGAATCCTCTTCAGAAATAATCTAATTCCCACTAGCATGGAAAGTAGAAGTAGGCAGCGGCTTAGCATGCTCACTACATGTTCAAGTCATCTCATCAATCGACTTGCTTGTCTTGCCTACTACTCTTCGCCTGATCTAAACATTGCTCACACGGTGATTCCACTAAACAAGAGCAATACTACCAAGACAACTGATCAGATTGCATATTAAACAGACTATACAAGAAAAACTAAATAGTAATTAGTTTCTTTTTAACAAACTCAAACAGTTACGAAATCTACACCAATGTGTTCAACTCAATGAAATATCGTAAATCAATTCATCTACCAACATCAAGACCATCAACACAACAAATCATCCAGCATTAAACAGTCACATGTTTACAATCTAAACACTACAGAAATGGATGCAATCCGAAGAAAGCAGTTCAAACGACTAATCACTCCAAATACTCATGATAGATTTTTGCCTTAATAAAATATTTTATTACAATACAAACAGATACTACTGAACTATATGCTTAAGTAGTAATATTGCATTAATTAAAATAAAATTGGACGAAATTTACGAACACTGAAACTTACCTCTAATAAACAATGTAAGTGCTCATCTTCAAATACTGGTTGAAAAAGATCAGCATCTTTTTCAAAACATTCTGTAAGACACTGCATCTCTTCAAAACTATCCAATACTGCACTGACAGCTGTTTTTTAAAGAATTATTTTAAGGAGCAAGAATGTGAAAGAAACATTAAGGAAGAATAAACATGGAATAAGTTGGCAGTTAATCGAATACAAGATAAATAACAGTTATTATATGCTTTGCAAGTGATAAATATCATATCTTAGTAATCTAATGCATAGCATATGGCTATGTGAAGGAATTAGTACATGGAGTGGTTACCAGTGGGTAACCAATGTAGTTGGTTAGTCAGCCGTATTCAGGTATCCATCGTAGACTGTCGATAAAGTTAGGAATGTGATCAATAAGCAATATGTGATCAGCCTAGGAGTTGATAGAAACATCGTCATGGGATGTCTAGGTGATAAGTCTTAGATAGAAATAAACACCAATCCTAAACATCGACGTCAATCACCATTATGCTTTCCTCCCTAAATTTGATGTAAACATCAACAACACATTTTAGTGTTTAGAAATAAGTTAAAAATTGTCACAGCTACATCAATTAAGATCAATCTCTTCCTTGTTACAACCATCGCTTCTTCATAGACGCTTTCCATACAGTGTGAATACAAAAAACCTTATGTCGAGTTATGTACCTCTTACCTTTCGTTATTACAAAGACCAGGTAGTATCTAGGAATGTCTGAGAATAGTTGCATACTGATGGAACATAGAAGGTTAATTATTCCCACAGTAAAAGAAACCAGCGGAGTTGTGTCTTGTTGGTTAAGGCGAATAGCTGTCAAGCAATAGGTCACGGGTTTAAACATCACTTCACTAACCAAAGTTAAGGCAGCCCTCACACAATATGTGTGACTCAATGACTAATGCCTATCGTACTGGCTGCAGAACCCGAATATCCTGGGTTTGATCTCAATCGGGGTCACAGATGCGCACTGCTGAAAAGTCTCATACTAGGAGGGAACAGCTGCTCTCAATGATTCTCCAAGTGATATCAGTCCGTGATGAATATCATCTTAAAAACTGATATGTTTTATATTAACTTACCCGCTGATGTGACCTCATCATCTTCATCTAGTATATCATCATCCGACATAATATTTGGCTCTGTATAAAAGCTTGCCCATTTTGTACTCGAAACAGCAGCTAATATGGCGCCCTGAAAACAATGAGAGAGATTGAGATTATATACGAGCCTGGAAATATACACTAACAATAATACCCGATATATATCCCTTACACGGAAAAACGCAGGTCTATTAGACAAATCAGAACACACAAACAAAGGCACAGAAGAAAAATGTTGACCGTAATCAATAAATTGGAAAAAGCATTAAGATATCCTTTTACTTATTACAATCATAATTACCAAACAGCTGTATGTCAATCATTAGAAAATGATAAATAACTTCGACAATATGTAACTTTCCCAAATAATCACTTTGGTTTTCTTTGATTATTTTAGTTTCTACAAAGAATTCTGAATCCACCAGTGGGCATCAAGCTGTTTTACAGTTTTGACTGACAACAAAAACACTAACTGAATGAAAATTCCAAAAAAGATGGGAATGCATATTAAGCCAGCTACCACAAATTACTTAGAAAAAATTTCGGCTTATTACGAAATAGATAAGAGTGGAAAGAAACTTGACTGTGGATATATATATATATATATATATATATATATATATATATATATATATATATATAAATCTTATTTGATTCACTTATCTATAATAGGTGAAGATTGAAGGTGAAATGAAAATTCCGACCAAGGACCGATTCGAACCAGCAATAACTAGGTTTCCGGCCCAGTGCTTTACCGATTGAACTAAAAGGTCGACTGCTGACCACATTTTGATTTCACTTCAATAACCATATGTTTCACCCCACTACCATGTGACTACCTCTTGGTCGTACGCACAATCGCCGCCCGCAGTTAGGACTTCTCACCCCAGTCCAAATCGAACTGGATTAGAGAGGGGGAGCATCATATTGATTATCATCTTGACTATCTGAGATAGTTGTGGTCACTGGTTCGAAAACGACAACGGTTCAAGTTTTCATATCATCTTCAATCATCGCCCAGTATCAATATTAGTCTGCAAAACCACAGATACCTCAGACAGTCAAAATGATAATTTGTCCATCTTAAAATTTTCCTACATATAGGTAACCAATCACAAGGAAAATGATGCAACACAGGGACTAAATACTCAATTTTGTACTCAGATGTGATGCGGCTCAACTCAAAATTCATGTGCACATTCATGTAATAGGCTATGACTAATGCAAATTGTAAGAGATACAGCCGACTTTCCTAAGCCTTGATAGCTAGGATGCAACTAACTGGACAAACATTTAGTATGCAGACCACTGAACGATAATCAAATTGACACATTATACCTCTTATTACTCAAAAGTTCTTTTCAAAACAATATAACAAATTAACTGTCAATCCTGCTATAATATCTAAACTGTAGTTGCTTTTCATTGGTAATCACAATCTCCTGTTGTTACACTGGGTTGGATTGCTTGATCTCTGTTGGCAGATATGCTTCTATGTGGTCGCTTTGTTACCGCCTAGATATTCATTATATTGTAGTCTATGTGGTGATTAGGAGTGGGATCCAAGACGCGCCTTCCTTCCTATTTGCGACTCTTCAATGAATGATATTATCCCCATTGAGACAGGAATCCAGTATCCATCGCTTCAAAACTCCGAAGTGTTATCCACTAGGCCACTGAAACATGAAAGCAACCACTTGTGCAACGTATATCAGTTGTTGTTATTTTATTGACACTTGTACCTACTGCTAGACACCACATAGACTTCAATATAATGAGTATCGGGGCATCGGCAGTATCCAGCTCATCTGCCAATTTGACACAGTATAGCAACGGGGAATTACAAGCACCAATAAAAGAACAACAACAACTGATACCCACTGGACATATGAGGACCCTGATTTCCCAGTGGTTAACACTTAGCAGTTCAAAGCAATGGGTGCTGAGCTCAAGTCTCAAGGGGAACAACATGAGTTACAGGGATGCAAGCACATCCAGCTGACGAGTCCTAAATAAGACGAAATGTGCACCCTAGATTCTATTACTAACCAATAAATAGACCACAATAACTAAACTGTAATTTATCATCAACTATGTAGTTATATAATTCAAATGTATTTAAACATTCAAACAGGACTGAGAAAAAAAAAGACAAATTTATGCCCATTCATCTTGAAATTTATCTACTGAATTACTTCAAGGAAGAACATCAAAAGAGAAAGAAAACTTATCGATCGTGTTCGATTCAGTTTAGAAAAAAAAGGACAAATTTTTTTCATTCAATACATCATTATCAGCACTACTACTGTCATTCCATATCAATTATTTCTCATTTTTATTTGTCTAACACTTTTGACATGATTTACGTAATAACTTTTTTGGCCAAGATTTTTTATATTTTAAGCAACAACAAAAAAAATGTATTTATCTTTCCAAAAAAAAAGAAGTTGGGACTAAGAAAATTGTTAGTTTATTTTCGAAATTTAGAAACTTTATTTTTCTCTCCAAATTAATTTTAAATGTATTCTATGACATTATAGCATTAATATTGAAATGAAAAGTATTTCTCAGAAAGAATATATTCAGTGACGAAGATAAACTGAGGGAAAATAAAATCCATATCTAAAATAAGCTTATAAAAGAGATAATTGATGAAGGTGTTGGTTAAGTAGACCCATGAAAAAGGTGTTCAATAGGGCGAATATATATACTGCAATCTATATACACTATACTGAAAGGATGTATACATGGATTTTCATCAGCTGGTTTGAAAAAGCACAAACTAAGCCTACTGACAGTACAATTTTCTTTTATTCTAGCTAACAAGAGCTATATAGTCTGTCATGTATCCACATTAGAGTAGTCTGTTAAAAGCTAAACGGCAATGTCTGTGAAACATAGTTGAATTCATTGGTAATAAACACAAAAAAATGTTCATAGTGAGTTGTTCTGTAAGCTAGTGTTCTACTTGGAAAACGTTTCAATGTGATGACAAACACTATCATAAGCGCATTAGAATTTCATAAAGAAGTGAAGTAATCGGTTGTGCATGGATTTTTATAAAGTGCTACTTTGCCTAAATCTAACTTGAATGGCCACCAAGTAAATGTGTGAGCATATGTTGCACTCATTGGTTGACTTCTTACCTTCACTTTTCTCATAGAGAAGTATAACTATGTGATTGGTTGAATTCCTTTTCCCTTCAGTACTTTATCTTTATTGGTCGGCCATTTATGTTTGAAAGACTAGACGAAAACCACTCTGATTTCATTGGCTGATACTCGTTCGACCAAAAACGGTGAAAATTGTTTTGGTCTGATTTTTGACTCTCATTTAATGACGCAAAAACTTCTCTACGCTGGTTGGTTCGTTTCCCTTCAATTGGAGAAAAGCAACCAATCAGGTGCAACATAAGTCCATACAAGCGGTCATTCAGGTTGGACTCAGATCAGGTAGCACGTTATAGATATCTATGCACAACCAGTTACTTCACTTCCTTGAGGTGTGTTAATGACGTCCAGCATGACACTGGAACGTTTACCAACTAAAACCTTAGGTCCGAGGATGAGTCTTTCTGAACATGCACACCCTGAACTACTAATATTCTCCTAAAATACAAGGAAATGTAACCCCTCTTTCTATCAGTGTAACATTCCACTTTGTACTGATTGTTATTATCACTATTACTTTTAGCTTGCGTGCAAACCTTATCCGATTCTAATATCATATTCAAATGGTAGTTCACTCCATTCCATATGAATCACTGCATAAGGGTGTTCATACTTACTGTACGATACAATACCATGCTCATACATATTATATTTCAACTAAGTATATATTAATGATGGATACTGGCTAGCAGTGGAATCTAGGACGCGTGTTTCGTCCTATTTGGGACGCGTCAGCTGGGTGTGCCTGCCTCCCAGTGAGCAATGTTGTTTAGTACAAGCAACAACGTAAGTAGCCTTATGTTTGAAACCATAGTCCACTTTGGTGGGTATTTCAATCACAATTAAAATAAAACTGACGATTATTCCTCAGTTGGTTGAATAGTGAAAGGGACGTCATTGCTCTTAAAGCAGTTTACATTATTACTGGTTGACATCAGCCACTTTTCCATCTTTGAAACTCAACTCCAACTGATTCGATACTGGTTACCTACACTGCCCATTGTAAAATAAAATTTATCTTTTTTTTGACAAACTACAATATAACAAGAAAAAAGACAATTGAAAAATAAAATCAGTTCATTCTATTTCGTGGTCTTTCATCAACCGCCAACAGCCTACAACTGAAACGAATAAGTAGTAGTGATAATAATGGTGTAGCATGTAGAAATAAATGGAGATTTGAAATCCAGAATCAACAATAAGGTAGTGAGTGAATCGAGGAGACACAAGACTAATAATCAAAAATCTTAGTCAAAATCAATGGTAATTTCATATCTGATGAGATAGAAAACCCTGGAGCTGTGGAATGGGGAGATGGTGGGGAAAGACAACAAACAAACTTAGGTGCAAAATAAGGGATTGTTAAGGAGCTATTAGGTTACGTTATTGCATGAAAAAACTGGAAAATCGTTAAGGGGTCAACAATTGGTGGTAATTAATTAATAAAGAGACAACGCAATCCAAAAAAGGAAGACTATGTACAACCACATGTAAGAAAGTTTATACAATTACTAAGGTAAAGAAAGATTAATTAAAATCTCTTTCAGAGTGCACAGTTCAGGTTGAAAATGTTCGAAGGTGAGACCTTCCGCAAACCGTAATAAATATGGTATTCTTTGTTTGTTAATTATCCTGAAGGATTGAGAAAAATTTGTTTGATGTCCTGTTTTCATCAGGTGCCTGGCGATTGCGCTGGTAAAAACCTCGCTACCTTTCAGTTAAATTTCTTGGAATATGCTCATAAAATCGCGTAGATACCCCTCTTTTGTTTCTATCTTTGTACTTGCTTCCACAAGCACTAGTGAACTGATATATGCAGTTGGAGGTGACGTGAGATAAGTATGTGTCTACTTTCAACTGTGTTATGGAGCACACTGTATTGTAAGCTGAGATCAGTCTGGCAGCAGCTCCTTCTTTATGCAGCTTTCGTTCTTCGTTCTATTCTTTCAGATATCACTATTGAATGCTAGACGAAGGAAAACAGGCTTCTTCTAAACAATTGTATGTATTTGTCTCTCCATAAATTCTTTTCTATACTTCATGATGAATTTCTTCGGGCATCCATTACCTACAAGAACATTCTCAATTATACAGAATCCTTCTTCTTGTTTATCTTTTAAGCACAACGTTCTTATTCTAGTGAAGGGCATCCTGACGAAACCACGCTTATAGCTGACACGAAAGGGACCATTGTAATGAAGGTACTGACCAATCCATGTGTTTTTCCTGTGGTAGGCAACAGTACATTTTGTATACCACAAGCTATTTATTCGGGTTTCTTTATTTCAGTCAAAACCCCTTTGAATTACATATCCTGAGAGTAAAATCATAACTGTTGATTATATCATCTGATTTATCACTGACAAGAAATCAATAAAAAAAGATGAGTTCATCTTACTCCTTGAAATATAACCGTCAATGTTTTGATACTGGGTGATGATTGCAGAGGAAATGAAAATTTGACCACAACCGGTCTCGAACCCACGACCACTAGGTTTCCGACCCGACGACCTACTAACTGAGCTACGAGGTCCAAATGATGACCACATTTTTATTTCACTTCAATCACCAAGGGTTTTGCCCGATGACTGCCATGTGAATTCGTGACGCATTACTATCGCTTGATCGTACACTGCCTACCTAGTTAGGACTGTTCATCCCCATCCAAATCTAACTGAGTTAGAGAGCGGAAGCATGATATTGGCTATTTTTTTTGACTATCTGAGATAGCCGTAATTCGGTAGACTAGTATTGATACTGGGTGATGATTGAAGGTGGAAAGAAAATTTTAACCGCAACCGGATTCTAACCGGCGATCACTGGGTTTCCGACCCATGCGCTACTAACTGTGCTGCGAGCTTGAAGTGAAATGAAAATCTAGTCAGCAGTCGGACCTTATAGCCAAGTTGGTAGAGCATCGGGTTGGTTAGCCGGTGATCGCAGCTACGGTCCAAATTTTCATTTCACCTTCAATCATCACGTACTAATCAATAGTAGTTTGCTAAACCAAGGTTATCTCAGATAGTGATGATAATCCGAATGTTTCTTTCGAATTGAATGCACGGAAGAAATGCATGAATTCAATATTTGAGACTTAATTTAGACAATGAATGGAAGGGAGACAAAAAAACTATACCGGACAGGCTTAAAACTGAAATTGGTTGATTGATTCATCTTCTCATCTTTCTTGATTCTCAGTCAAAATGTTAACAACTAGGAATACTTTTTTTCCAGTAGCAAGAAATTAAATCAAGTTTCTTTGAGACTATGGACTGTAACGTTAAGTAGAACAGCAAAATTTCAATATATCACGCAAAAATTTCAATATGGTATATGGTTAGGAAAAAGATTTTGGAAAAGGATTATTCCTTTTAAGGTGATCTTTTTTAACCAGAAAACAATATGCTAAACTGTATACATGGTAGCAATAATAGTCTTGTGAAAATGATTGATTTGCATTCACCTTATTTCACCTCAAGTAATTAATCGTTTAAACAAGTGATAATACAGTAGGCGTTGCTGGTAAGAATGGATATAAGTAGTATATGTTGAGAGGGTGGCAGAAATCATAGGAAATTACCATCAATGGGTAAGGAGTCCATCAACAGAAACGTAAGAGACAAAGCAGGCGTATGAAAAGCAAATCAAGATGGAAGCAGAAGAGGAAATCAAGCACATTTTGCAAATGACGGTTTTAGTGCAAGGTGCACAATATTTGATGACTACTGTCCCACTTGTTGACAATGTACATTCCTTCCTGCAAACCTGTCTTTTGCTTCTTTCAATAATATAGAGCCAACAGGGATGGTAAGTATTAAACACACCTACAGCTCGGTTACAGGATAATCTGTAGGAAGCCTTATTCAGAATAGTTCTCAACTTGACACGTATTTTCGCTAAGGTGTATGTCATCTTGTCTATGAAGAATAATGGCAATGTAAACTTCGAAGGTTGAAAGCTCCAGGTGATATGGCTTAAAATCGATCTCTCAGTGCTGAAGATATCATCTTCATTGTGATGGTCATCTCACAGTTTTTTGTTATTGTTGTTTTACCTCTCTCCCTACCTTTCTTCTTCTCTTCCATTGGATTTATATACGAGTTTTGATCACATTCCTTTCCCCTATTTCTCTTGATGCAATATGTGTGGCACTTATATCGTTTAGTTATCGTTCCAGGTCCCATATTGATAAACTGACTGAAAAGCTGGAAACCTATACCATCAGATGCAGCTTTGAACCAATAGGCATATAAGACTGGATGACAACGCCGATTCCTCCTGATTTAAGTGCTGTTTTCTAAATTAGTTCTGCAGAATTCAGTGATTAATCAAAAGTAGGTTGTACGGTATTGGTTACTCACTCCCCCCAACTCTTAAAATAGGTGTTTGCGGACTTGATAGTAATACACCACATGGCCTTCATTAAGAAAATAATAACTTATTAATCAATACATATTTGTCACTTTCAGTAGTATTGTATTTACCTTCTTCATCAGTAATTAGACGGGAATTTCGACTTTTCGTTCAGAAGTACTAAATATAGTCATCATAGACAAACTTATCGATAAAGGAATGTAAATACCCCATACAACAAGATCATATTATCATGTTTATGGTTGTAATTACTACTTTCAATGATTATTACCTTAAGTTTACGTCTAGCATTGAAACGTCTCATCTCTTCAACTGTTTCATGTAGATGCGTTTTAGATGCTCGAGCTTTTTGACTTATCCATGGATGACGTAAAGCTTCTTCAATTGTTAATCGTTGTGTTGGATCTGTTTCAAGTAGTCTTTTGACTAAATCTCTTGCCTCTGGTGATATCATATTCCATACTTGAGGTTGACGCTAAACCAGGCAAAAGAAAAAAAAGAAATGAAGAGAGTATTTCAGAGAAGTAAATTTCATTTTTCCACTTGTTCAATGGTACTAATATGTAAATTACATAAGATAATAACCAAAATTTTGTTTGTACGAGTGTTTCATTTTCATAGTGAGATGAATCGTGAGGTAGGTTGGTATAAGTAAGGACAATCAACCATTTCTACGAATTGGTTAATTCCAAAGTCATAAAACTGCACGGTTGAGGAGTCCCATACTAGGACGAAACGTCTGTCCAGTGCTCCCAGGTTTTCAATGATTCTAAAAGTGAGTGATGTTAATCTCTGGTGAATACCGCCTCAACTTCATGAACCATCAAATCGATTAGAAAATATGGGAGACTAGTGGTGAAGAATGCAAAAGTGGTTACTGAGTGAATGAATATAGTGTAATTTCTTCCAAAAGTAGTTGAGTCAAATTCTGTGTTTACAAAAATACGTATTCTGTGCTGAGAAACTTCATCGTTATTTCTTATGGAAACCGAAATGATTTAGATCATACAATGTGATCTGCTCAACACCTCAATCCGTATCGAAATTGCCAGCATTATTTTCTACACGTAATATACTACTGATCGGTATAAGTAATTCGATATTGCTCATATAGATCAGTAGTGCTTGATAGTCAGGTCTAAACATTGCACAGTCATTCAGCTCGTTTGTGACCGTGCTAATCAGCAGTGTACGTAGAATGATCTCATAGGAAATTATGGTGATGTTTCTGTCCACGGAATGAATATTTCTGTAAACACCTGATTTGATTCTATGTATGACCAGCCGGCTCAAGAAGCTAGCCGGAATTCCGGCGCCATAAGAGCGAAATGACCGTCTGATGCCCAGATCACCTTCATCTGGATACTGAGCACTTCTAATCAGTGTGAACAGTGTAGAACTATACATGTTACTTAGTTGTATATGACGTGTGTAAATATCTCGATCTCATGGCATTCGGATCTGATCGGGATTCATATTTGTCATGTCACGAAATTTTGAGCTAACAAATTTTAAATGAAACTACTTATCCACCTCTTAAATTTTCCGATCGGCATGCCGATCCGTGGAATACTATGCTTACGCATACTAAAGCACATCATAATTCCATTCAGTATAAAAGTAAAATACAAGTAAACGTTCGTCAGTATCAAAAATACGTCTCATTTTGATTGTCATCATCAACATAGGACCAGGCATTACTGCGTAACGGTCCGAGTTGCCACAACTCATATCAGTAAATCAAGTAATAAGGCAATGAAGTAGAAGAAAAAGAAAAGAAAATTGAGTTAAAAGAAATATAAAGTACGAGAAGAAAGAAAGGAAGAATGACAAAATGGTGAGATTTGGTAAAGCGTTAAGATAAAGATAATATGTGTATACCTCTGCGCCACTGACATTAGTTCTGAGCCACATCACCTAGAGTCTTCAACCAATGGTTCCTCTTGTCCTGCGGACTCATTTTGATTGAACAGTTACAAAAAATGATGTCGTTGCAAAAAGAAATCTTCCTTGTTGAAATCACTGTTTTATATCTGCAGGGAGATTACAGATTTCATTGTACATCTCTTGAACCATTCAAAATTTACCTTAAATGTGTTAGATGGTAGGGGTCAATTAACAGGAAGCCCTAAACATAGGTTTAGTGTTTTTCAATACTCATCAGCAAGGTTTATCTGCAAACTTAAATGTATTCAAAATATTGAAATTGTTGACATCATTACCTAGATATATGCACGAGAATTTCATTTAAATAGCTAAATAACGTGATCTAAAACCATACGCAATACCTTTTATTACATAAGTTCATATGTTCCCAATGTCACACGATTCCCATCGCTAATTTCCAGTAGAAAGCACTATGAATATTTACGCTTCGCATTCATTCCTTATTAGATGGATTATTATATAGATGGAATCTACCTTATTTAATGCAAGCAATAGCGGTTTTGTAAAGCACAGTACTTTTAGCACCACATAACTGAAGTGCCATTGCTGAAAGAATTATGGGTCACCAGATAGCTACATTATAGGACTTGTCAATAGTCCTCGATCATAACATTCCACGAGTTTTGAAAGATAATTTTCAAATTTAGTAGCAGTCATTATAATACAAGCAATTATACTAAAACTACCCGTAGCATAAGAAGTGGCTATCGTGACTCAGGGGTGTAGTCGATAACGCTCTTGCATTTGAAGCTATCGCTCCCCAGTCCGAATCCCGGTGGGAACAACGTCACTCACTGGGAGGCAGGTACATCCAGCTGAGGAGTCCCAAATAGGACGAAACGCGTATCCTTGATTCTACTGCTAGCCATTATCAATCATTAGTAGTCAAATAACTGTTAAGACACTGGATCGCAATGTGAGTGTTAATAATTTGCAACTGAAGGGAATCCGCAGTTTAGGGAGTCTTTCTATTCACTATCAGTTCAAATTCCCAACATGGTTAAACTCGGAGTTGATAATTTGTTTCGGTCTTATTTATAAAAAAACTCGCTATACGAAAATACCAGTGCGTGCAGTTTGACTGACTGACTAACAAAATCAACGTTTTGACCTCTGATGGGTCCATCAGCTCAAGTTGTCACAATTCACAGTACTATAAAAAGAACAGGTGGATCCAAAAAGATTGATCTCAAAGTAGACAAAGTTGTGTAAGAGAAAAAATAATTAGAAGATAACGGTTAGTGCAGATATTCAAGCTTAAGAAGACCTCAAAGAGTGAGTACAACTGCGCCATTGTGAACGACTTTCAGCCATGTGATCAAGAGTCTTTAACCATTGATTCCCATTATCTCTGGGACCCCATCCAGACAGTCTACACCTCTCTACACAGCTCAGACCAACAGTCAGTCACCGGTTTCATGCACTGGTGCTATGCCTTAGTCTGGCCGCCATGAACCCTCTTACAACCTGATCCGACTTTCCTTTGCATGACACGTCGAGGTAAGAGGTGGGTTGGCATGCGTAGTAAATGCCCATTGCATCTTAACCAACTGAGGTTCACAGTCTCATCAATCGACTTGACTTTCTTGCCTAGTACTTTTCGCCTCACTTGAACATTTCTCACATGATGATTCCACTAAACGCGAGCAATGCGACGAAGAAATCTGTGACTGAAACCCTGTAATCGCCTCATGTGTTCTACCGTTGACGCCCATATCTCACAGCCGTATGACAGGAATGAACGGATTGCAGCACAGTATACCCGTCCTTTCATAGATAATCGGATATCTCACCATTCGATAACAGAGGTGACGCGAGTTGGCAAATCTCAAACGGGCCTCCTGCATCAAAGCGGAGATTTCGTCAGTAATCAGCCTCGTTCGAGCTGCTGAAACTCCTCAAGTAAATGGTCCAAAAATTCCACTACTTCACTACCTATAATAAAATTGGAGTATTTGCAGCAGACCATTACTAGAGCATCATCTTACATTTCATGACAAGTGTAACACGTATGCCAAACATACACCGGTTTCTGCTCAACGCGTTCACAAGACCCTGCATTTTGTTATCATCTTCACCTAGCAGGACAATATCATCTGGACACTCTAAGTCAACCAGATGACCTCCGGGAAGTAAGTCAGCCCATATGAAGTAAGACATTACTAACATTATCTCCATTATTATGTCTATAACGAAGTCAAATAGGAACGGCGATAGTTAGCATGTCTGGAGCACACCGCTAGGTGTAGTCAATTCTGAGGACAACTCCCGTGTGTGTAGTCAGCTATTATTGTCATTACTATACCATGGAGTATCTTTTTTTGGTTTAAACAGTTAAATTGTTTAAGGAAAAGCAATCTACACAGATCAACAACCAGTGTCTCTCACCTCCCCCCTACCTCTTAACAAGGAATTGGAGGAGCAGCAAATTAGTGATTGAATTATCTTGATTCCGCTAGCAAACAGGTCACAGTTTATGATAAAAATTCAGTTAAAGTTCCATGACTATACTCAAAATCATTTATGTGACTTTCATCTAAACGGTTGTTATGATTTGAAATTCCTTTTCCACAATATTTAGAAACTAAGTAACTCTAGAGCTATGTAGTTAGAGTAGTAATTTTAATATCACCCGTATACTTATACATATTTCAACAAAACCTGCTCTAGAATATTATCTTTAGAGAGAGGTTAATAAATTGATACTTACAGTTGATATTGTGTGTAACACGAAAGATAAGTCCTAATGGAGTTGTCCTCACTAAGTACCGTCAATTATGGGTTACTAATATTCACAGACAACGATAATTAATCAGAAAACAAAAAGAACTATACCGGATATGATTTAAAGTCTGAAGGAAGTTTCTATCTTACATAATGTCATAAAAATATTCACCTAGGTTTCGTGCTTGCTCACTTTCTTCAGTAAAATGTATCAACGACCTCAAAAGGATTGAGATCTAAACTTGCCTCATCATCTTATATAGCGAAAAACTAAGCTATTTGGTTTAAAACTGACCTCCTCTAAGATTTCAATAGATCCAATAATCAGTCAATAATAATATTATTTCATTTTTGTCTAAATCTAGTAGGAAATTTTACAGATAGTTAAAGAAGTTCAAATGTGATACATTTTAAGATGAGAATGAACTGAGAAATTCTCAATCTGATGTCAAATTAATTATCTACAACTGAAAATATAAAAGATTATCTGTACTGGGTGGTGATTGAAGGTGAAATGATAATTTGAACTGTGGCCTGATTCGAACCAGCGACAACCGGGTTTTCGGCCCGATGCTCTACAGGCTAAATTACGAGGTTCGACTGCTGACCATATTTATATTTCATTTCAATTACCGTAGGTTTTACCCTACTAGCATGTGAATTCGTGATTCATTACTACCGCTTGATAGTATTCACACCTCGTAGTTCAGTTGGTAGAGCATCGGACCGGAAACACAGTGGTCGCCGGTTCGAATCTGGGAGCAGTCCAAGTTTTCAGTTCACCTTCAATCATTACCCAGTATGGATAATAGTCTGGCAAACCAAAGCTATCTCAGATAGTCAAAATGATAAAAGATTATCTGTTGATTTGGTATACTGCGTACAAATTTATACTGTTTTTAAAATTGGAAAATAGACACTTGACAGTGTAGTGATTACGAATTAAACACTGAATGACAAGCAATTTAATTGTTATGGCCAGATTACTGATCGAAATGGGGCCATTGGGCTAATTTATATAACATATTAGTGCACCATAATAATCAGTATTACCAATATGCGATATACATTATGTTTTGGTGTAAGATAAAATTGCTTAAATCGGGATGAAAAGTCCCAAATCCTTGAAGCCTTTCACAACCAACCACGTTCTGAGAAAAAGGCAGGGAACATACGTGTAAATATCAGATTTGTTAGGAGAGGCAGAATCAATGAGATATATCCTTTTACAAAAACCTGGAAATAGTCAAGGCCAAGATATATATATATATATATATATATATATATAACCAAGGTTTTACTATATCGGTTTTCAGAAAACACATGTGATATACTACAATTAGTAGAAGCAACACTAGTAACACTGAAATTTCTGATACACAAGATCTGCAATGATGTCTCTCTGGCTTGAATGTGATGTTGAATAAAAAACATCAACTTGTTAAATATATGTGAGCGAAATCTTCAGTTAACACTGAATGACAGTTGTAATACCTTTTTAGTGCAAAAGAAAAGTGAATACCATTTACGCACAGAAAAATATCGTGAAAATCAGCAGTCAAACAGTTAGGAGTAACGTTAGGTGTAGTAAAATGATTCTTTAAAGGTTTATCATGAATTTTAATTAACTCAATTCTATACAATTTTAAGTACTAGACTGTAATATACACGTGCTGTGTTAGGATTAATGATATTATATGGTTAGCCGGACTAAAATAGGTGAAGAAGAATATGAACCTGAGAAGCACTGCTCAAGTTAATTGAGCTTAATACTAATACTTTTGATGAAATACTTAAAAATAAATTGATTAGTCATTGAAGAGTAACCAATTTCATGTTGTCTACTTTTGATTGTTGACCAAAATTTTATCGATTACCTTTTAATGTGATCACCAAGTTAGGAAACTCGCCATATTGCAGTACACTTTGATTGACATCAGTTGGTTGGCAGCAATCGGTAATAAGTCTCTTGGTTAGTTAGAAACTATACCTACTGACTGTCAGTTCAGATAAGCTATAATCTGATTACAATATTATTAGTGTATTTCTGCTAGTAATATAATCATTACCCACCCTAGTGTAGTGGGAATATTCTTAGCCTATGCATGGCATAACATCAATATAAAGTTTCTAGAGTGCACATATATCCAAAAGTTTGCAGGTATATCTTTTTCATGAGTGCTAACCAGCAGTCTTCCCATGAGATCAATCAAGACTTCATAATGCGCTTCTACAACAGTTAAACTCATCTTAAATGATAATCGATTGAATTTGATATGCATTCAAAGGTTAATTCCATATATTAAAAACAAGATATTCAGCGAACAGGACTCTTTTCAAAGAATTTATTCTCAAAGTGTACATTCTTATCTAATATATATATATATATATATATATATATATATATATATATATATATATATATATATATATAATATTTAAAGACTGTAATCCGTGAGGAAGATTTAACTTAAATAATAGGGGGGGGGGGGGTTGAAGCAATAATAATAGTAATGGTGGTGATTATAAGGATAACGCTGTTGCTAGTTGGTGACGTGTAAAGGTCGAAAGATAAAGATTTTAAATCGTTTATCAGGTGCATACAGATTAAAAAAAGGGGGTGGAAAACGAAAAAGAGGGACGAAGCACACCAAGACTAAAATAAATTAAAGCCAAGGTAGAGACAAAGACTGTACATACTTCTTTTGCATATAAAGGTCAAGCTGGCTTCAGTTCACGGATAGCCAAGGCCTCTGCTGTTTTTAAAAGCCGAACATGGTCTGGTTTTATAAGGGTGGAAGAAAATGCATCAGTAGTTCCATGCTTGAGCATTTAATCCATTCCAACCATTCAACCGAACGAAAAAATGATTTTACGGTTGTCTATCGAATTCGCTCAAATACCTCACATTATCTCTGTGTTCAGCTTCTAAAAACAGTAGAGGCCTTGGCTATCCATGAACTGAAGCCAGCTTAACGTTTATGTGCAAAAGAAGTATGTACAGTCTTTGTCTCTACCTTGGCTTTAATTTATTTTAGTCCTGGTGTGCTTCGTCCCCTTTATTCGTTTTTTACCTCCCCCTTTCTTGTCAGACTAATCTTTGTACTCTTATATTGTCATTATTACTTTATTTTTATATTTAATTATTTCCGGTGTTGTTTCATTTCATCTTCTTAATAATCGCAACTTTCAGCAAAACATTTCCAATTTACTCCAATTAACTTGTTGTCTCATTCATATTATGGTTCGAATCCGGCAGCGGTCCACATTTTCATCGTATCTTCAGTCATCACCCAGTATAAATACTAGTCTGCCAAACTACAGCTATCTTAGGTAGTCAAATGATAATCACTTATATTACCTAATCCTTTGATTGTTTATTAACTCTATCACGTTTTCACTCCCCTTTTTAATATATATATATATATATATATATATATATATATATATATATATATATATATATATATATATATATATATATAAGAATGTACAGTTTGAGAATAAACTCGCCCTGTTCACTGAATATCATGTTTTAATGTCACGATGGGAATTGTAATTCAATATATGCCAAACGTTATATCCAGGAAAATACAACGTGTTAAAATGTACATATACAGAAAAACTATTCATAAAAAGCATACATGATAACGTCCAGAAACTATTTGTGTAAACAGGATATCTCTTGTTCCATAGAAAGGTAGAGAACCACTAAGCAGTACAAATAGTAAGATACCACAACTCCATGCGTCTACAGCCTTTCCATACGGTTCATGACGAATCATTTCAGGTGCCATATAATGTGGCGTACCAATACGACCTAGAATAATATGGAGATAATATTTATGAAGAATATAAAACGGATGAACATTATCAGAGAACTTATAAGGGAAAAACTGCTCAAACAGTGAACATTTATACTCAGATACCTAAAGAGTGATATATTTAGTCAGTTTATTCGATAACTTCTAAGAAAGCAATTCGTTATTAAGAAAATTAACAAGTGGAAGAACAAATAACCAGTACATTGAGATTCAGTAGGGATTCAGTTAGAATTCACAATATAAATCCAATTATAATTATGTACGTTAATATAAACTCCTTATCCTAATGTATTGATGATATCGATATTGAATAATATCTGATAAGGGTGACTAAATGTGTGTACCATTCTACTGAGCGGTAAATAGTAATAACTAGAAGTGATCCTATCTAACCACCTCTATGTGTGTATATCAACTGGGTTTATCGGTTGTTTGATGCAGGTTTCATTCAAAAAGGGTTCAAAGAACACTATCCTCCACGGTTATAAAGTGATGACAGTGGATCTATAAGAAATACAATAATTCAATAGCGTTGTTAACACTACTCATTCAATCTCCTTCAAAGTTGTTTAAAAAGTGAAAAGAAATTTGCCAAAGTCAACGTTCACTCACCTTTTTTGTATTGCCTAGGCTTGACCAATTCAAATAGTAAAATTTGGAGCTTTCTATACAAAAGAGACTTCTTCAAACCCTGATCCTTTTTATGGTCTTAATCTTCAGCCTTTCATAATGTTCCCCACCTCTCTTCTAACATATTATCAACTATTCCTTGTTTCTATACCCATCCTGATAACAATTCATTCAATTAAATTTTGAGGGAGTTGTGGAGATTTGGAATTATTTCAAGTTGTTATTCATCGTAGACTGACATCAGTTAGAGGAACAAAGGAAACCTGGGAGCACTGGACAGCTGTTTCGTCCTAGTATGGGACTCCTCAGCAGTGCGCACCCACGACCCCACCAGCAGGGATGATGTCAGTCTACGATGAATAATAACTTGAAATAATTCCAAATCTCCACAACTCCCTCAAAATTTAATTGAACTGGTGCTCATTGGTGACTAGTTTCGAGAAGTATTCCCGAAGTCCCAATGACAAGTCGTGACCGGTGGAGTCGAAGCCTGATGGCCATGAGGACAAATACTCAACGATGATATTGGGTGGCGGTTGCGCTATATATCGTGAGCTAAGAGAAGTTGGAAACATGGAGCATTGCATTCTGACCCAGTGGCTCAATGGTAACGCGCTGGCCACGGAACCTGAAGGTCGCGGGTTCGATCCCTGCTGGTGGGGTCGTGGGTGCGCACTGCTGAGTCCCGTACTAGGATGAAACAGCTGTCCAGTGCTCCGAGGTTTCCTTTGTTCCTCCAACTGATGTCAGTCTACGATGAATAACAACTTGAAACAATTCATTCATTGAATATATTTTCCCATGTTACTCTCACAGTTGGTCACTGAAACTTAATTTTCATGATATCTTGAGCAATACTCACTAGTTCAACCAGCCCTGCATATTTAGATCATGACAATTCAACTTTGCTTGTTACTATGCTTTTAGGTAGCTTTTCAAAATTCATAAACATTTTGATTATTGATATGTTATTTCAATTTTTTATATCTATCACTTCATTTGTTGCTAAGCTTATCTAACTGTTTTAATACATGAAAACTACTTGATGATTTTTTTTCTAGGAGAACCCTTATCCATGCAGCTTCATCAAAAGATGTTTGTATAATTCGTTGTCAAACAAGAAGTCAACATTGAAGACCAACATACGGGTTATCTTACTCCACATGAAGAACGTCTCCGAGATCACGACTAGATCACTGTGTCCTACAGGCCCATAAAATCTCTTCAGTCTCTGTTACGCAAGCTAAAATATGCAATTGCGAAGGAAGACAAACCGAATATTATCTGCAGAAACTGGGAAAACACTACAACGGACAGAGTGGATGCTCTCTTCGTATCCGTCTACATAAACATCAACTAGCAATGAAGCGTCATGATATATCTTCGCTCGTATCAGTGCATACAGACAACTGTGGACATGAATTTGACTGGGAAAATGTGAAAATTCCAGATAGAGGAAGTACAAAGAATGTCAGGGAATTTTTCAAAGCTTAGCATTCAGAATATTGACACAATCTATCAACCAATAAGAAGCATTAATGAAGTTAAAGTTCACATCAGCAAGACAACCAATCAAAATAAATATGGAGACAATGAGAAGACTCTGGTAGAAATAACCAATCACACACAAGACCATCAGGATGAGCTACTAAGCCCTTTGAGGAATAAGCCCTACAGCGCTCACTTTTTTCTGAAGTTTGTGCTGATGTTGTCCAGAAAGAATGACAACGAAAGTTTCACGATCAAACCATCCAGGTCAGAGAACACAGCATCACAAAAATCATCCACTTAACCTACGAATAGTCGAAATCATCATACATGAAACAAATTGTATACTGTGACTATAAACTGTATAGCTTAATGAATGAAATGGTCGAAAAACGCCTTGTGGCTTAATCGATTGTTTTCATTTTCTTACATGAAAAGTTAAAGAGTGATATGATTCTAGCAGATAAAATAATCAGAAGTATTAAGCGTTCGACATTTGATTCTCGTATTAAAAAAACCTTTAGCGACAACTTTCTTGAGTGTTGTAAACTGATATGTTTTGACACAGACATAAGTTGTAATGTTGAACACTTGTGTTAAAAATTTTTCTAACGAAAACCATTTACTTAGTTGTGGCTAACAGAAGAATCTAGGAAGCGCTTTTCGTCCCATTTAGGACTCATCAGCTGGGCGTACCTGCCCCCCCCCCCCCCCAGTGTGATATTGTTCCCATTGAGACTCCAGCCCCGTACCCATCACTTCCAACGCCAAAATGTTATCTTCTAGACCATTGAGGTACGATAGAAACAAGGTTACAGGTGCAATCGCACTCCAATAACACTCAAACACAAATAGGCATGTTCAGCTACATTTTTATTTTCTGTAACATGAAATAATAAAAGAAATGAGGCGGATATAGAAAACAAAGTAGTTTGCTTCTACACTTACCACATTGATCAGAACGCAAAGAAACAAATATTTCTTGATCAACTGTAATTGGTGAATCTACAGGAGGAATTCAATTATGAAGGTGAGATAAACCAAAATAGCAAAATAAAGAAAATTGATTATGTCAAGTGGTACAATAAATATTTCACGCAAAAAGTCATGTATATGATAGTAAGTAGTAATTAAATCTCCACACAGATCAGATGACATGATATCTTCACTTATCACTAATAATTAACGAATTGATTTTCAATACTACAATATTAATTAGCGATTATCCCAAGATCTAACAGTGAGTGTAATTCATGTATTATATTTCCACCTAATTTAGGTAAACGATTGATAAAATTCAATGATGTTGTGATTTAGTTCTTAGTTTTCGATGACAGCAATGAACAGAAAGGATTGTCATTAAAGATGTGGGTATTCATGGTGTTGAATACAACTTTCTTAAAAGTGAATCTCATTTCTCATAGAGTAAAACATTCAGTTCCGTTGCTATCAAACGGTTATTGTTATTTTCCGGATATTTTAGTACTTCTATTCGACCGAAGAATGTAGACAGTAATGGTTTTGAAATGTATCTGTGTAGTTTTGGGGAAATGATATCACATAGTAATCAAAATTCATCTTTTAATGAATCCATAGAATTAATCTCTCTGGGAAAAAAGAAGCGAAATTCTCTGATTGTCAAGAAACTGAATCAATCTTCTTGACACATAGTTGGATCTTGAAGATACAACTCAGTCACAATAATAATGTGTACTTATCATTAGTTATTTGTCGCTTGGGTTCCTAGTGGAACATAGGGCTTCAGTAGCACGTCACCATTTCAATCTCTTCTCTGCAGTCTTCCAAATTTGGCTCCACGACTGCCCACAAGCTTTCATTTCTTCTTCACACCATCTCTTCCATGTCACGCTTGGCTGGGATGCCCAACTCGTCGTTTCCCATTTGGGTTCCACTCGAGGGTCTGGCCTGGTGTGTGATGTCCCCAAACAGTCTTCTTTTTCAGTGTATTTCCAATCCAATTCACCCTCACTTTCCTCTGCATATTTGTTGGGCGATAGGTTTTTTGTTAGTTAGTTGCCAGCCAGCCAACCAGAGTTGTTTATTCATATTATTCTGGCCATCCATCCATCTGATCTTCAGTATCAATATCGAAAGAGTGTAGGTGGCAGCTGTTGATGAATATCTGTAGTTTGTTGGAAATGCTTTTCGTGACACGCCAAGTTTCTCAACCATATAGGAACACTGACTTGACTGACATTGGTGTTAAAAATCCTTATCTTATTCTTTGTGCTGAATGCAGTAGATCTCCACACTGATTATTTCAGATTAGTGAAAGCCTGTCTTGCTGTCTTTCCGATCCTGGCTTTGACGTCCTCATCTGTGCCACCACCTGTAGTTGAAACAGTCATGCCTAGGTGTTAGGTGAAAGAGGCTACTTCCTTTGAGTTTCTCCCGTTCATGGTGATTGGAGCTTGTTGTTGTTGTTGTTGGTGGTGGTGTTGGTTGGGTGTCATCATCACCTTTATCTTCTCTACATTCACTTGAAGTCCCGTCTTCCTTCTCTGCCCTGCCTCTTCTGTCAACTTGTTAGTTTTTGCCTGTGGATCTTCGAGTTTGTGTGACATTAGACACAAGTCATCGGCGAAATCCAAATCTTCTACGATTTTTTCCCCGGTCCAGCTAGCGTATCCCCCTCTTCTCGCTCCTCACAGTTGTTTGCATGTGCCAGTCGACCACAATCAAGAAGATCATGCGTGATAGTAGACAGCCTTGTCTTACTAATGTCTTTACTTGAAAGGCATCACTGAGCTTCCCATTGTGAATCACTTGGCATGTGGCATCTTCATATAGCTGTTGAATGACAAGTATATAGGTGTTGTCGAATAAGGTTGATAAAGGTTTGTGGCACTAAAACCGTAGTACTGAAGCAGCAGCTTCCAAATTACTTCTCGGTCGACACTGTCGAAGGCCTTTACAAAGTCGATAAAGTTGAGGTAGAGTTGACTGCCATTCTATGCTCTGTTCTACGATGATGCATAGCGTAGTGGTTCCAATTTGATCCACAGATGATTTGTTTTCCTGAATCCAGCCAGCGTGTTCTGGTCGTAATTTTGAGTGCAGAGCAAATTTTAGTCTCTCCAGGATGATATGGCTCAATATTTTGTTTGGGGTGGACAGGAGCATGGTTATGCACTAATTCTTGCAGAGACTTACGTCGCCTTTGTTTGGGAGTTTGACAAGGTAGTTCTTTTTTCATTCGGTAGGTACCTTTCCTTCCTTCGAGACCTTCTGCAATATTGGTGTGAGAATGTCAGCTGACGTCTCTCCGTAGATCACATAAATTAGTCACTAGTGAATAATGAATGTAACTGTGTGGTTGCCAGTGATCAAACACTGAGTTCTATCAATCAACTTTCTAATGCGGTCATTAAGCTAAGTGTTGCGATGCAGTACAGTGGCCGATGAACACCGTCAATTGACTTCTAACTTCTAACAGCAAGATAATGAAGATTATTTTAACCGATACAACAGAATGTAAAAAGAAACTGACAAATATAAGAGAACTTTAGACGCCCTCAACATTTTCACACAAAAAACATAGGTGTAAGCCAATACACTTCTAGTAAATTCTAAATAAGAATTGGAACATTCTTGAAAGTTGAATTATGCAAAGCACAAAAGGTTGAGCTCCATTGTTTTTAGGAACTAACTTAGTTTCAACATTATGACCTCAGTATATGAAACATCTACTGAATTTATTTCTTGTTTTAACCAGGTAATCTTCAAGGTCACATTATCCCGTACACCTGCCGTCGTTTAAAATAATTAACTGAAACTTTGTTAGGCATAAAAGTTTGTTGATACTGGATGATGTTTGAAGGAATCAAATCAGTGCTCCACCTCTAACCATCACCCAGTGATCAGTAATACAAGTCTACAAAACCACAACTAAGTCAGAGAGCCAAACTGGTAATGAAAGTTTATAATTAGATTTCACACTCTCCTTTTTCCTGGGAAAAAAAAATTCGCAGAAGCTGGAGTCCTAAATTAATTAATCATCCAAAATAAACTAAATGTAGTTGCTACCACAATCTTTGAAATAAATTTTTAATTTCCTGTTCAACTTGAAAGATCAACCAGGTTAGAGGGTTAGTTTTCACGTGACCTGTAAAAGGTACATTCATTTCAACATTCACTAGAATGATCTCTAAAGTAACTCCTATTAGGGGAAGTATATTTCCAAAAATTTCATACCATATTCACAAAATACAGTACTGTTGAGTTGACAGAACCAGAGGAATTCCCCCCGCCTCAAATAATAATCATCGTCGTAGTTACTAAGACAATATGAAAATAATTACAAACATTTGCCAACTAAACTAACGACTTTTTGATAGAAAAATTGGAGCTCACTTCTAAATCTAATGTGGCAGACGTTGCAACGACATACACTCACTAATAATTATTCTCAAAGAATGGGTCTTGTAATCATTATAAACTTTTCAATTCTTTATAAACTTTCATTGTATTATCGTTGGAAAAGTATAAAACTATCAAATGAATAAAATCAAGCAAATATTACTTACCTCCACTAACTTGATTTGTATCCAAGTTTAGGTGTGTAGCTAAACCGAAACCACCAAGTTTAACTGGTGCTGAATTCTCTTTACTAGCTAACACAATACAATGTGGTTTTAAATCACGATGAATAATATTATTTTCATGACAGTAACGTATAGCTTCCAAAATTTGTCGTAAATAGTGACTACATAAGAATTTGATAATTGTGTAACAATTTCAGTTGATAAAAAGGAAAGGAAGAGAACAATGAACATATTACTACAAGGTGAATCAAATTGAATAAATGTTAAACAAGTTAAATATTTACTTCCCTGTAGGAATTTGTGAGGATCAATTGATAGAGTAGTTTTTACTAGAGTTTAGTACCAGTTGAAGAATCTTGAAAAAAACTTACAAGCATTAGATAAGTGTTTCGGCCTAGTTTAAGATTCTTCAGTACTGCACACCCAAGAACTCAAAAGAGATCGAGTTGAGAACTATCATGGAATTCAATGAAGGCATTGAGTGATGATCTGACTGTGTTGCGAATACATATAGGGCATTTAAATACAGGTAACAAATAAGGAGTCTCAAAAATAAGGAAACCGACCGAACAACCCTAAGGATATAAAAAAGATAGTGTAACTTTCTGAACTACATACTGAGAAGTATTGCAATTATCTTCGAAAAAAGCCCAAGTTAACAGAAGACAGAAAGACGTTCAATACTAAGCGTTATTTTTTTCAGCAATATCATGTAAGGTCTTCAATTATCAATGTCTAAAGTAGATTGTAGTTAGGAAACTATACACTAATTTAATGAACTTCTATCAGCAGTAGGTAACTTCATGAATAGATGTCTGACACAATGTCGATGCTCAGTTCAGTACAAAATGTCAAGGTAGATGAAAATGTGTAGTATATCTCTGCAGCGTTTCAAGTCATATATATCCTTAATCTAATAATTTATTTCATCTCTTAGTGTCTTCGGACTGTTTCCATGAATCTTCACTAAACTTTCGATTTCATATCCAAACTACAAACAGAATTCCATAAAAAGTAGTCTTGGGGTTATATGAAACATGGTTCTCTCTCACTCTTCTTCAGGGACTGTAAATTAATAATATTTCTGATAGTAAAAACAATTGTATCACTTAGTAGTCCAAACATCCATAGTTGAAGGTGAGTTCAAACCCATGGCTTAATCTGCCTAGATGGGCGAGCCACGACTACATACAATGAAAACAAAACTACACCACCATCCGTCTAAATCCACTAGCCTATCGTATTCCAACCAGAGCCCGACAACTGAACCATAGGCATTTCAATAAAACATGAGACGTACAATATTCTTGTCTATGTTAGTGATTTAAAAACTAGAAGACTTGATGTAAGCTTGTTAAAGGGTGAATTTTATTGAATTCAGACGGTTAAGGCTTGAATACTTGAAAACCTAACAACAATTTATTCGACAAAGCGATAAATATATCCAGGCTTATTGAGACTGCATATAGAGTACTATAGTATTATAGCAGATTCTCCTGCCTAACAATGACAATAACGCAACTCCACAATCAAATACACTACAATATGAAATTGTGAGTATAATGTCAGGCCAAGTGATACCTACAGAATCGAAAGTTAACCACTTCATGAGCCAACGAGCCACAACCTCAAACTATAAATATATCGTTAGATAAAACTATAGGTGACAGATACTACTGAACAACTTGAGTAGTTAGAAGCTACTCGGGCTGATCTGTAGCATTTCGCTAGCCAGATCAGAGTGATTTAAACAACAGACAGCTGTTTCGCTTGTTTGGAGACGAGCTCATCAGCGGTTTATCCAAGTCAGATAACCAAATTCAGGTGGTCTGAATTAATTCGGCTCTATGGGCTGAATTTATCCGAGTACGCCGCTGATGAGTTCGGCCTCAAACCAGTGAAACGTCCATTCGGTATTTAGACCATTCTGGTCTGGCTGTTGAAGTCTTACACACCAGCTTGAGTGATTTCTGAATACTCAAGCTGTTCAACAATGGTATCTTTCACTAGTTCATGGGACTTTTGTGTCAGAGATCCCATCTTGTAATCTCAACTGACTAGTTTGCAGAGGAAGCCTTGTCAAATCATTTACAAATTGATCATTCTATTCTGTAATATAGGTATACGAAAACAAATAGTTAGTAGGGTTACCGGACGTAGTATTGTTCTATCAATCTGTTTAGTATACTCACAATGAAGATAGCATAGCATAGCAACTCTGAAATGGTGGGGAATATTTGTAGCTCAGGTGGATGGTCTTGGCTGCATTGCGTTCTCCGAGCTGAGTTATTTAACCATGGAGTTCTCATCGTCTTTCTAGACGACATCATCAGCACTAACTTCAGTGTGAAGTGAGCTGTCAATATCTCTCCATGAGTGACTGATTTAGTAGCTTGTCCTGATGAACTGGTTTGTGATTGGTTGTTCCCTTTGATTGTTGTGTCACTAACTGCATAGATTTTCCTGTTGGCTGTCAGTCTATTTGACCTCTGACGTTTCTGTCGTTTATCATTTCTATTATTGGTTGATAGATTGGGTCTATGTCTATACATCTGTTGATTGCTAGCTGACCTGAATGTCAAGCTTCTAAGAATTCCCTGATATTCTTTGTGTTTACTCTGTCCAAAATTTCCACATAATGAAAGTTGAATTCATGTCTATAGTTGTTATCCACATGCATTGAAATGAGTGATGAAATGTCGTAACGTTTGATAGCCAATTGGTGTTCATGTGGACGAAGGCGAAGAGGGCGGCCGCTTTATCACATGTAGTGTTGACTACAGTTATTGCAGTTGGTTTTATAAATGATATTCGGTTTTTCTTCTTTGGTTGTGGCGTCCTTTGATCTGCATTAAAGGGTTTGGAGGGAATTTGTTGGTTTATGAACCACACCAATTCCAAGTGGTCTCAGTAATCTTGTCATGATTCCTGATATATTCTTTATGTATGGTAGGGTGATACGTTTGTTGACTTCTGTCGATGACTTTGACCTAATCTACCAACCAATAATAGAAATGATAAACGACAGAAACGTCAGAGGTCAAATAGACTGACAGCCAACAGGAAAATCTATGCAGTTAGTGACACAACAATCAAAGGGAACAACCAATCACAAACCAGTTCATCAGGACAAGCTACTAAATCAGTCACTCATGGAGAGATATTGACAGCTCACTTCACACTGAAGTTAGTGCTGATGATGTCGTCTAGAAAGACGATGAGAACTCCATGGTTAAATAACTCAGCTCGGAGAACACAATGCAACCAAGATAATAGCAACTCTGGATAACCAACTAATTTGGTGCACACGTTCAAATAAAATATTCAATATACGCAATCCTACATGTCAATAATGAGGCTGAATGATCCCCCTGAGCTACAGGAACGCATAACTGTCAAATAAGATAACAATGATAATGAGATTTCAGAGAAAAACAAATGATTAAACGATAAGGTTTAACTTTATTTACACTGAGATATTTCAAGAGTGAATCACTAGCCTGAAGATTAACTCTGTTTGGATGTATTTGGTATTTAGTATAGAATTAAACGATCACCAATAATATATCTCAATTCATTGATATGTAACTCAGTATAAATTCAAATTTGACAAATAACAGATTCCAAGTTGGTATTCATCGTAGACTGACATCAGTTGGAGGAACAATGGAAACCTGGGAGCACTGGACAGCTGTTTCGTTTTAGTATAGGACTCTTCAGTAGTGCGCACCAACGACCCCGGTAGGGATCGAATCCGAGAACTTCAGGTTCCGTGGCCAGCACATTACCATTGAGCCACTGGGCGGAATCTAAATAACAGATTGCTTTTATTGTGTATACCCTCAAAACACTTCACTCTGAACTGAAAACTGTGGTTAGCCTAGATATGAATCATTTTCTTGAATACAACTTTACATGCAGTAAACACGCTATAAACTTCTAACTCACAGTTTTACTTTTCTGACATTACAAAACTTCACTCTGAACGACCGATGTAACTTACAGAATGAATTTATTATGATACACCTGGTTAGTATAGCCAATTGTAAACATTTGGAACAAAACATGAGAACAAAGATGTTTAATGTTAACAAAAATTCATAAGGAAATTGACTATTCAGAGAAGATAATCGTTCTAAGGATCAATGTGGTCAATAGTCAGCTAGTTGTGAGGTAACATTGGAGAAAAATTAGTTCTAAACTATATGACCCATAAAATATCTATATTAAAAGTTATAAGTCTTCGAAAAGTCACTTTCACATTACTAATTCCTGACGAGGTCATTAGTACGTACTGCTGAGGAGTTCCATAATAGGATGAATCAGCTATCCAGTGCTCCCAGGTTTTCAATGTCTTCTCAATTGATGTCAGTTCATTAATATGGGAGTAAAACTTGGGCATTGTGGTAGATTGTAATTCCATTCTTACCTGTTTATTAGAAATTGTCCCATAGTGAAAGGGTATCACTTACTGGATAACGTTTAAGACATAATTTATTGTCTATATTCATATTAGGTAACTCTACAACTTCAAAACAGAGTTTATATAGTCCTAACTTCCTCTTCTTTTTTGTGGTGACAAAGGTAGTAGAATTTTCCATATATCTGGTACAGGTGCATAATCATATCTATTGTTTTTACTCAGTGTTGATTCGATAAACAAAGATTTAGTTAGCAATCTCTCCCTCCACCCAAGTTTTTAGAAGTGTCGCTCTATCCCATCTTATTATGTACAACAGAGCGCACAGCTACAGCCAAACTTTTTTCTATACTTCTTATCTCATTAGGATCTACTAATCTTGATTTTCCTTTTAACTTTATGAGACGGTCGTGGTTTGGCAAACTAGTAGTAATACTGGGTGATGATTGGAAGTGAAATGAAAATCCGAACTCTTGCCAGATTCCAACCAACGACTATTGGATTTCCGGCCCGATGCTCTACCAAGTGAGCTACGAGGTCTGACTGCTGACCACATTTTTATTTTACTCTAATCACCATTGGGTTTTGTCCGACTGGCATGTGAATTCGTAGTCGGTGGTTCGAATCCGGCCGCGGTCTAAATTTTTATTTCACTTTCAATCATCACCTAGTAGTCATCTTGATTTGGCTGAGATTTTGTGCTCTGTTATTCCAAATGAGCCTGACCGACTACTCTGACTTATGTAACTGACCACGTAATCATTGCATGGGGTTTGTTCAGCGAAATTATTTTGCTTAATTACATCAATAGGATCTTTTAACCTACAAAGCTTGTTCCTAAGTGAGTTCGTTGGTTTAAATACCACTTTAATTTCAGCCAGCTTTATTGACAGTTGTTCGTAACGTTTATGAGGTACCTTTCGTGTATGGTAACACGACGGAGGCTTTGAATTTTCTCTCAACCCTGTCACCATGTTAGTTCATGATGAAAATCAACCTGAAATCAATAAATAAATCCCACACAAACCTCAAAATCGTAAAAAGATGTTTGTTTCTACTCACCTTGCCACTGCTTCACTATACACAAAACCAGCTGTAGCACGTTTGACAATTTCAAATGCGAGATCAGCACCTTTCATGCTACAGATTTTAATGTGCGTATATGTATGTTGTTTTAGTGAGATAAAATAAAAGTGGACAGTAAGAAACTGGATAAATATGTCAAAGTAATCACAGTATATAAAATAGTACCGATTGATAATCCTTGGTAACAAAAGAAATGAATGAAAGAACAGAATGAAAATGAGTGATCTGCGGTTTATTACTTCAATTTTTGCCAAGGTGATATATACAACCAAAAACTGACTTCAATAGACTTTCAGTTACTTCAAAGTTTACTTGAAAACTCTCTTCTAATAGTGCATGATAGATGGGTGTGAAATGTACATTAACTTTGAATATTATAAACTGATCTTATTGTTACTATTATTAATTATTTTTCCCCTGGCTTCCTAGTAGAACATAGGGATTCAGTAGCACATCGCTATTTCACTCTCTTCTCTACAGTCTTAGAAACTTGGCTCCACGACTGCCCACAAGCTTCAATCTCTTCCTCACACGTCCTCCTCTATGTCACCCTCGACTGGGACACCCAACTCGTCCTTCCCCTTTGCATCCCACTTGAGGGTCTGGCCGGCTGAGTGATGTCCCCAGTCAGCCTTCTCAGTGTATGCCCAATCCAGTCCGTCTCCACTTTCTCCAGCATATTTGTTGGGCGATGGGTTCTTGGTTGGTTCATTGCCAGAGCTCCTTGTTGCTCATTCTTTCTGCTCATCTGATCTTCAGTGTCAGTATCGAAAGAGTGTAGGTGGCAGCTGTTGATGAATATCTGTAGTTTGTTGGAAATGCTTTTCGTGACACGCCAAGTTTCTCAACCATATAGGAACACTGACTTGACTGACATTGGTGTTAAAAATCCTTATCTTATTCTTTGTGCTGAATGCAGTAGATCTCCACACTGATTATTTCAGATTAGTGAAAGCCTGTCTTGCTGTCTTTCCGATCCTGGCTTTGACGTCCTCATCTGTGCCACCACCTGTAGTTGAAACAGTCATGCCTAGGTGTTAGGTGAAAGAGGCTACTTCCTTTGAGTTTCTCCCGTTCATGGTGATTGGAGCTTGTTGTTGTTGTTGGTGGTGGTGGTGTTGGTTGGGTGTCATCATCACCTTTATCTTCTCTACATTCACTTGAAGTCCCGTCTTCCTTCTCTGCCCTGCCTCTTCTGTCAACTTGTTAGTTTTTGCCTGTGGATCTTCGAGTTTGTGTGACATTAGACACAAGTCATCGGCGAAATCCAAATCTTCTACGATTTTTTCCCCGGTCCAGCTAGCGTATCCCCCTCTTCTCGCTCCTCACAGTTGTTTGCATGTGCCAGTCGACCACAATCAAGAAGATCATGCGTGATAGTAGACAGCCTTGTCTTACTAATGTCTTTACTTGAAAGGCATCACTGAGCTTCCCATTGTGAATCACTTGGCATGTGGCATCTTCATATAGCTGTTGAATGACAAGTATATAGGTGTTGTCGAATAAGGTTGATAAAGGTTTGTGGCACTAAAACCGTAGTACTGAAGCAGCAGCTTCCAAATTACTTCTCGGTCGACACTGTCGAAGGCCTTTACAAAGTCGATAAAGTTGAGGTAGAGAGTTGACTGCCATTCTATACTCTGTTCTATGATGATGATAGACAAATATTTCCATTACAATAAGTTTATTAAGTAGACTTCAAATTCCTAGAAAGTGTTAACATTTCCTATGGACTTACAGCCCAAAATCTCATTGAAGGCAGCTTTTTTAACCAAGAACCATTCATTAAATCTTAGTAAGCCATAATCTGTTGAAGAAACAAAATCACCAAAGAAAATTGCTTATTATTCTAAAAATTTACAGAAACCTATAAACTAAATGGTGGTGAAGAACATCGATTACTGGATATCATGCTAATAGCTCAACAGTTCACATAGCTTTCATAAGATTTTATAATAGCAAGTTTACTCTTGAACATAATCAAAATTATGTAGTCTCATAATAGTTGAGCTCCCAAAAGAAATCGGTTGGATTTCAAATGGCTGTTTTCCTGATATTTATTCATAATACAATCTATCTTTAAATTTCTTAATTTTTTAAAATCTCCAACCATTCAATATTTAAAACTCTGGTAGGTCAGACAAATTCATCATTAAACTGATGACAGATTACAGATTTTTAAAAACATATGTAATAACAATGTTATTGCTAGTATTATACCGTCGTTGATCCAACTGAATTGATCGGTGTCTACCGAGCGGATGCCCCGGCATTGCTGGTGTTTTTAATTATATAGTAATGATAGATGATGGATAGCAGTGGATTCCAGGATGCATATTTTGTCCTATTTGGGACTCGTCAGTTGGACGTACCTGCCTCCCAGTGAGTGGTGTTGTTCCCACTAGGATTCGAACTCTGGATCGATTGCTTCAAACTCCAGAGCATTATACACTACACCACCGAGCCACGATAGCCACTTCTTGTGCAATGGGTATAGTTTTAGTGCTATTGCTTGTATTATGCCGTCGTTGACATCCATCTGACGAGTCCCAAATAGGACGAAATGCGCATCCTGGATTTCATTGCTAGCCACTATCTATCATTTCTATCATTTCATCAACTGATGAAGAAACAGTAGATAGACAGACAAAATCAACACTGGATTGGGTATTAGTGCGTAATGGACCAATTTGTTAGAACTGGCATCAGTACATGAGCACACCAAGCAGGATGAGAGATAAGGAAACAAAGAAAGCATTTAAAAGTGGTAAGAAGTAGTAACAGGAGGGGAGGCAAGAATAAGAAAATACTAAATTTGGTATGACGATTAAGATGAGAACAATGTGCGGATACAACTGAGCTGTATCACCTAAAGTATCCAAACGCTAATTTCTGTTATCGTGTAGACCCCAACCCGGAACTCTACGTTTCCCAACACAGCTCACACTAGCCATGACGTGATGCCATGTTTTATTTATTCAGGCCAACCCAAGCCATTTCTCCAGTCTGAACCTATTTCAGCTAACATTGTGCAACAACGCAAACAGTGACTAGACATGCGTAGCATATAACCCATCCACCTGAGCCGATGAAGGTTCACAACTGCATCAACTGGCTTACCTCTCCTCCCTAAAGCTCTATACCTTACTTCTGAGTCACTCACTTGGTGACACTGCGCTGCACATCCTTTGCTACGAAGGCAACGATGACTAAACACCTGAAATCTCATGTCTTCTACCTCCAATGGTCATGCTTCACAGCCATGAAATAGGACGGAACGTACTACAGCACAATACACACCACCGTTAATAGGCAAACGGATATGGCAACGGTGTCACAAATGTTATAAAATCGCGAAAGCCAGACCAGCCTTCTGTATCCATGTGAAGATTTCATCGATCAATAACCTACTAGGTCTGATCCGACTTCTTAAGTAAATGAAGTGGTCAATCAACTTAACTATTTCAATCCCTATTTCTAATTAAGGCATCACTTAAGAGCAGTCCTAGAGCAACAATCTGCATTTAGCTGGGGGGAAACGCACCCCAAACCTTCCAAAATTGTCGATCAAAATTTTCTGAAGACTGCATATTATCAGTGTTTTCACCTAACACGACTAGGTCATCTGCGTATTCCAGATTTACCAAGGATTCTTCTGTGATAAGATGAATCCCTGTAAAGTCAAACAATGAGATGATGACCTCCATACGTATGTCTATGATAAAGTTAAATAAGAATGAAGGGAGTGGACATCCTTAACGGACACCACTCGTTGTATACAACTCACATGGCAACTCACTTTAGGCTCCAACATGTCCACTGGTGTACAAGCACGGAGAGCTCAACAGAATAGTACACACACTCAGCCCCCATTTTCAGTGACAGACAATGCTATAAGACCTCTGTAACAGTCTGATAACCAGTAAGAACTAATGATGATTAATTTACATCGCATCAACAATTCTAGATTATGAAATACTTCACTCATAAACAAGAGGATAAAAAAATACACTTAGCAATCAAAGTTATCGAACTTAGTAGTGACACAGGGGCTTGTATATTACGCCACATAGAATGGTTTTAACTGACTTGATGCAAATTAGTCATCAAATAGTAGAAATGTAACTTTTAAATCCTGAGTGTTGGTTAACTTTAATCGACCGATTTTACAATACAATAATAATCATAATAATATATAGCCACAAATCTAAGTTAAAAAACATTGCTTTGCGATATATCTTGACTAAAGTACTGATAGATGTATGTGTTTGGTGTTATATCTAACGAAGCAATCAACAGGAGGCGCAAGTTGACCTAGATTTCGCACTGGCTCATATACATCAGTATGAAGCATCTATAATCCCGTCCAAGTTCGTTCTTCCTCGAAAATTTCAGCACATATCGCCCACTTCTGAAGTCGCCAGCTTTATCCGTAAGCTGTTCATCCAGACATTAACCATTTATACTACTTGACAGCTACACTGGGTACCTTCATTGACCAATTGGTGTACCTAATCCAGGACAACACACGATTGTTTGTGGTGTGAATAGACTAGTGGTAAAGTTTTTGACTTTAGGAATGAACAAACCAAGTGGTAAAAATACTTGAGGCAATATTTGTTTCTTCAAGTTTGTAAATACACCTCAATGATGAATCAAAATACGTATAAGATATCTGAGATCATAACTTTTTATCAATTAACTCCTAACAATTTTATTGCTGAATTATACTTTATTCATCAATTCAGTGAGAACCGGATGTATGAAGCCAATGACTCATACAGCCGTTTAAAGGTTCACCGGAAATTATCAAGTGAGTTGATTATAACTTGTGGCGTCCTTCAGAGATGCCCATTGTCACTGTTCCTATTTAACTTGGTCAAAAATGTGCCAATGGACATAACCTTAGGTACGTCCGAGTTCACAGGGATTGACCTACTTACCCAAAGGTCACCTGGCTGACTTGGAGTATGCAGACCATATTGTCCTGCTAGGTGAAGACGCTGACGACAAACTGTAGGGTTTTCGGAACGCATTCAGCAGAAATCTGAGTAAGTTTGGCGCGTGATTCGCATCTATCGTGAAATTTATGATGTTGCTTCAGAAATGGCCTGCATTCACCCCAAGTAAGATGATAGCCAGTGAAGTGATGAAATACGTCGACCAGTTCACTTAGGAAGTCGAACGAGGCTGATTACTGACAAAATCTCAGCTCAAATATAGAAGGCCTATTCGCATCACCTCTTTCGGCAACTCGTGACAAATCTGATTATCTATCAAGGGATGAGTATACTGCACCGTAGTCTGTTCTGTTATACGGTTGAGACATCGACGTTAAAAGTAGGAGATATGAAGCGGTTACAGGGTTTTGATCACAGATGTCTTCATGGAATTGCTTGCGTTTGATAGAATGTCCCTGTGAGCAATGTTGAGGTCAGGCGAAAAGTACTAGGCAAGAAAGGCAAGTCGGTTGATGAGGTTGTGAACCATAGTTGACTACGATGGTTTGGACATGTACTCCGCAAGCCGAGCGACTGCCTACCTCGATGTGCCATGCTTGGGAAAGTTAGGTTAGGTTGGAAGAAGGTTCAAGGTGCTCAGACGATGACGTGGCACTAGTCAATGAAGTCCCTGACTCTTGATCTGAGCCACGTAGAAAGATGTAGACTACCTCGCTGGATACCCAAGACAATAGGAAAAAGTGGTTGATGATTCTTATTGAAATGGCTAAAAATTGGTGACAATGGTGCATATGTATGCACCCTTTGATGTCTAGTGAAGCATGGATATTTGCACTAACCGTTATCTTGAAATGGTTTATTCTTTTACACAACCGGATCTACTTTGATATTGCTCTTATTCTATCTACTTGTTCTTTGTGTACTACTGTGAAGTGTGACAACATGGACAGATGCAGTTGTGTGTGCGAGGTTCTACGTTGATTCTGTCTGTCTGGTTGTCTGTCTTTCTGTCTATCTGTGAAGACAATGCTGAGCAACGAAGTGACAGCTCCTTGTATGTTGATTGCACGAAATCAAACAATAAGTACCCGTCTACGCAACAATTATTTCATCGATATATTACAATGAAATGAAAGAGGAAGAATCTAGTGGGCTGTTACGTAATCGTGTAGCGAATGAATGGGGGGAGTACAGATTATACGAAAAAATTTAATGATAAGTATTATACATAAATATAATCAACTCACTATTCAAATATCATGTATAACATCCCATCACTACTGTACGTTTCAACTAATTCAACAATATGTGGATGTTTTAACAGATGACATATACTGGCTTCACGTTTTAAATCTAGAAAAATGAAAAACATACAGCAACAAAAAATGGTATCGTCTTGGCGAAAAGTTATGATGTAAATTACAAACAATAAATATTGTTTATAGTACTAGATATTGTGGAACTGTGGCTAACTGGTCTAGGCACTCAACAATTATTCCATGGATTATGGATGAGAAGTCTGTGCGTAAGGGCAATCAGATAATATCAGCCCTCACATACACACAATATGTATAGCCAAATGATTGGTGCATGAACCTGTATATAGTTACTGAATTACATTACGTTTTTATTCTATACACCGAATTTTGATGTCTTACTGTTATATTCGTTTGAATGAAAATCCCACGGGTGTAGACACAATAAACTAGGAGGGTGTACAAAAATATGATCGATCTAAGTTGTCAGATTACACAAAAGTGGATAGATGAAACCAAACAAAAAGATCCGACGTTTTCGGCTGTATTGTGTTCTCTGAGCTGGGTTGTTTAATCGTGAAGCTATCATCATCTTTCTAGACGACATCATCAGCCCCATGATTAAACAACCCAACTCAGAGAACACAATACAACCGAGACCATTCACATGAGCTACACAGATTCTCCACCATTTCAACATTTAAAGTTACTGAAATGAACAGAAAACAAGATTTTAGTTGATAATCAACGAATGAATACACAGTTTTAAGATGTTGAAGGTTTCAAGGGAAATAAAAAACGATACTAATCAGTCGGTCTACTTTTTGCATATTGTCTACTCCTTAAGTATATTGACTGAATTACAAGGTAATTTTTGTGAAGTTACCACTAGAAAATGTGACTCAACATCGGTATTCACATAGTTGGAGGTAAGCAAAGTATCCTGTGCAATTGTCGCCGATTTTGAGTCATGAGCATTTATTGATTTCGAACACTAAAAAAATCTCAGCTACAAACTTTGAGTCAACAACTTCCTGAACTAGTTTGGCTATATTTAGCCTTCTTACAACACAAATGTTTACTTCAATCAGTTCTTACAGTGAAACATTTCATTAGAGATCAATATATGCTTAGATTAAGCATATCAGAAACACGATAGTGTATAGTAGTACAATCACACTTATGGATACAAACTGTTGAAGAGACTTAAACTATGATATAACAACCATACATTGCTGTCCAGTTTTCAATGATTTCTCAATTGACGTCAGTTTGCTATGGTAGCACTACCATTCAAATCCTAGAAGTACTCATGTACGATATCGCCTTAATAAACAGGGATAACATGACAAGTTTTGATTCACATATTCACAAATTCAGTCAAATACTCATCAGAAGGAACTGACGAATAAAAACGAGATCCACAGGCAAAAACTAACAAGTTGACAGAAGAGGCAGGGCAGCCAAGGAAGACGGGACTTCAAGTGAATGTAGAGAAGACAGAGGTGATGAAGATACCCAACCAACACCAGCATCACCAACAACAACAAGCTCCAATCACCATGAACGGGAGAAACTCAAAGGAAGTAGCCTCTTTCACCTAACACCTAGGCATGACTGTTTCAACTACAGGTGGTGGCACAGATGAGGACGTCAAAGCCAGGATCGGAAAGACAGCAAGACAGGCTTTCACTAATCTGAAATAATCAGTGTGGAGAACTACTGCACTCAGCACAAAGAACAAGGTAAGGATTTTTATTACTAATGTCAGTCAAGTCAGTGTTCCTATATGGTTGAGAAACTTGGCGTGTCACGAAAAGCATTTCCAACAAACTACAGATATTCATCAACAGCTGCCACCTACACTCTTTCGATACTGACACTGAAGATCAGATGAGCAGAAAGAATGAGCAACAAGGAGCTCTGGCAATGAACCAACCAAGAACCCATCGCCCAACAAATATGCTGGAGAAAGTGGAGACGGACTGGATTGGGCATACACTGAGAAGGCTGACTGGGGACATCACTCAGCCGGCCAGACCCTCAAGTGGGATGCAAAGGGGAAGGACGAGTTGGGTGTCCCAGTCGAGGGTGACATAGAGGAGGACGTGTGAGGAAGAGATTGAAGCTTGTGGGCAGTCGTGGAGCCAAGTTTCTAAGACTGTAGAGAAGAGAGTGAAATGGTGACGTGCTACTGAATCCCTATGTTCTACTAGGAAGCCAAGGGAAAAATAATAATAATTTGCTGTCAACCAGGAGTTTTCACCTTATTACATAATGAATACCATAGTATAAAACTTCACTTTTTTCTGGATCAACAAAATATTTGAAATAAATACCATAAACCCTTTCAAAAAAACCTAATCGATGACCTGTAGGTATATAAATCGAATTTCCGTATAGTAGATTAGTGATTAACAATAAACAGGTGAAAAAATAGGGGTACGGCATAACATGATCATCACGCTCAATATCAATGAAACAAAGTTCAGTTATGAAGGTTGTATAGGTCAACTGCGACACTGATTTTTCTCTGAGGATCACACTTAACTTTAATCAGATTCGCATAGCATATCTTTTGTAATATATATCACAAAGAATCATCAGCCTGCATTTTTACAAATCAAGTAATAAGTGAGTGGAATACATTTGAAATTTGCGTTTACCTTCGAATCAAATCTATGCATAATTCAAATAAAAAGGTAACTGAAAAAATTCAATTTTCGATAGTCTCTAAAAAGTTTACATTTGAACCTTAGTATTTCAATCTAGTCCTTGAAGTAAAAAAAAGACGAAGGAATGGCCAATTTCATCTACAAAATTCAAGAAGCGTTAAGCAAAGTGATGTGTAGTGTATGTGTGTGAGTGGTGGTGGAGGGGAGGGTGTCTCCATGTAAATTACTGCAGTAATCGTGATGATATGTGGTTACCAGCTAATTATACTAGTTAAATAGGCTACATCAGCATTAGCTTATGACATTGACACTAACAACTCACTATGATCCACCGATGATTATCGAACCGTTAACCCAGAGGCCCCTGGTTCGAGTCCAGACATGGCCCAGGTTTCCATTCCACCTTTATTCATCACCCAGTATTAATTACATCAGTCTGCTAGATCATAGTTATTATGGATAGTCTGATTAATAGCTGACAGTAATTTGGATCCAGGAAGCAAAATCACGTGCAATATAAGCACAGTCTTTTATATACTATAGTCTGACCTTCACGTAGCCAATGGTCAATCAAGAATAATACAGACTTGTAAGTAGCCAATAAATTTTCATCAATAGGGGGGGAAGTCACACTTTTATCCTAAAATATTATCTCCTCTTACTGTATTTGTTAAGAGTGCAAACTGACAAAATCTCATTGTCAAAACAGACTTCATTTCAGAGGAAAAATTAACCCTTTCCGAAAAAAAAATAAGGAGAATTGATTTCATTTATAGGCAATCTTCACCACAGATTGAGAAACCGAAGAACGCAAGATGCATTTCTCATATAAAGTTATAAATCCCCAACAATTTATACATCTTTGATGACGTTCTAATAGGTAGTTGCGACCCAATCAAATCAATTAAAAACGAAAGAGATAATGGTTGTCCATCAATGACATTGGACAATGAAATATACAATAAAATGAAAAGTAACTAAACAATCACGAAGAGGTTCATCCAATATCCACAGAGCCATACCCAATGTGATGTAGTATTCGGCGTCGCGAACTTCAACTACGCAGGCAGTACAAATCAAATTCAAGACGGATTTTTTCGCAGGAACACACCTAATGCGTGAGAGCCGATGATACTAGCTGGCTAATGTTGCCACTTTGGACATTTCGGGGTTCGAACCCACAACCCACTGCGTGGAAACCAACTGCCAAGACCAATGAACGACAGATACATATTAGACAATAATCAAACATATCGTAAACTGTTTGGAGTTGAAAAGAAAACGACAACAGCTTTGTTTAGTGATGGATAGTGGCTAGCAGCGGAATCCAGAATGCACATTTCGTCCTATTTGGGACTCATCACTTGGATGTGCCTGCCTCCCAGTGAGTGATGTTATTCCCACTAGGATTCGAACCCGGGAACGATCGCTTCAAACCCCACTACACCACAGAGCCATGACAGCCGCTTCTTGTGCGACGAGCACAGTTTCAGTATAATTGCTTGTATTATACCGTCGTTGATTGGACCCGATTGATCGGTCTCTATTGGCATATGAGCCCCTGTGCAGATGCCTCGATGTTCCCTGTGTTCTAATTATAGTGATGATGGATAGTGGCTAGCAATGAAATCCAGGATGCACATTTCGTCCTATTTGGGACTCGTCAGATGGATGAAAACACCGACGTAATACAAGCAATAACACCAAAACTATACCCGCCGCACAAGAAGTGACTATCATGGCTTGGTGGTGTAGTGGATAACGCTCTGGAGTTTGAAGCGATCGGTCCAGGGTTCGGATCCCGGTGGGAATACCACCACTCACTGGGAGGCAGGCACATTCAGCTGACGAGTCCCAAACAGGACGAAATGCGCATCCTGGATTCCACTGCTATCCATTATCTGTCATTACTATAACTAGAACACAGATAATATCGAGGCATCTGCACAGAAGCCCATATACCAACAGAGACCAATCAATTCGGTCCAATCAACGACAGTTTTGTTTAATCTCAATAACTCAATGACTATGCCAAACTGTGAGATATCATCGTGGAACTGGAGCCCATCAGACATCATAGTATGTGTACTGCTGATGAGTACAATATCCTACTAGGACAGTTGTTTTGAATAGTTATTCAACCTACGTCAGCAATCTTCAAATATCAGAAATCTACTGATGCATTGATAAGCAATAAGTAGTAGATACATGATCAATGTAAATCATTCAACCGTGCATACACGAAACACTCTGGCTGGGAAAAAAAAACAAGGTTCTAATGAATTCGAATAGTTTATTTCTTATTTCTTAATTCTTTCCCAGATTAATGTAGACATTTTTTAAAACTTTCACTCAATAAATTCACGCAAATGGAATAAATAATATTTTTTTTAAAGCCGAACAAACTTAATTTCACTAATAT